TTTTTTTTTTCTCCTACCATTATTATTGTTTTGTTTTTTATTTAAATTTAACTGTATTATTAATATAATTTTTATTGGCATTTTAACCCAATCGGACTCGACAAGAAGAAGATCCTGATGTTGATCGCCTAGTTGTTGTATCACCAGCATAGTCTGCATCACTATAACCATGTAATTTAAGTTTCACCCTAGAATGAAAAATTAAACCATAGTTATAGGTTCCTTTTAAATATTTTAAAATACGTTTCACCGCATTCCAATGTATTATCAGAGGCTTTTCTAAAAAGCGACTGACAAGATTTACAGCAAATGTTATATCAGGCCTTGTGATCTGACTTAGATATAACAAACTTCCTACTGCTTCTCTGTATGGAACTTCCCCTGCTTGTAATGATTCAGATAAATTTGCATCTAATGAGTGTTGTGGATCTGCAGGAATGCATAGGGCGTTGGATTCAGCCATATTGAATCTCTCCAAAACGCGTTGACAGTATAATGACTGATGTATAAATATTGACCCATCTGATCTCTGATCAATTTCAATTCCCATTTTCTACGTTTTTCTTTTGGTATATGAACATAAACATCACTACCAAATACTTTTAAATTGCTTATATTGGGACTTTTATTATACCATAATTCATAGGTGTTTTTTCTTTGTTACCTGAATTTAACGTACGATTCAATACATATACAGCTGTATTTACCGCTTCAGCCCAAAGATTTTTTGACAAATTTTTACTGTATAACATAGTTCTAGCTGCTTCTACTATTGTACGCATTGTTCTTTCCGCTTTACCATTTTGCTGTGGTGTATATGGTACACTGGTCTCATGTTTTATACCAAATTTATTCAAAATAGCTTTGACTTCATCATTCTTATATTCCAAACCACAATCACTTCGTAAAGTAAGAACTGATATATTTAACTGATTTTTCAGTTATTTATACTGTATTTAAGAATAATTCAAACTTCTCTTTTACTTCTGATTTTTGTTTCATAAAATATACATATGTATACTTAGAGTAATCATCTTTGAATATAACAAAGTATCTTTTACCACCAAGAGAATTTTCTTCCATGGGTCCACAAACATCACTGTGAATTATCTGACCTGGTTTTGTTGTTTTGGTACTGCTCAGTGTAAATGGTTCTCTGTGTTGTTTACCATAAATGCAAGCTTCACAGAAAAATTTGTTTTCCATATCTGTGAATTGAATACCCATATGCCTTAGGTAATTTCTAACATATTGAACATTCTGATGACCTAGTTTTTCATGCCACTGTTGTAATGTAAGAATTTTTTCAGCAATATTCACTTGATCTATCTCTTGCGAAATCCTTGTTTTAAAAATCATCGAAAACAATTTATTCTCACGAATTCCAACAGCAACTGTACTATTTCCTCTTTTAAATGTACAAACATTTTTGTCTGTTATCATTATTATACCTTTATCAAGGCACGCTCCACATGAAAACAAATTTACTTTGAGTTCAGGTACATGTAAAACATTTGACAAATAACTGTCAACCCATTTTTCGCCAATTTTTGCTTGAACATATATATTACCTTTACCAATAGCCATAATATATTTACCATCACCAATACGTACTGGCAACTGAATCTTGAACGACTCATAAGTTCTGAAACACTCTCTTCTACTGATCATGTGATCACTTGCACCGGAGTCCACATACCATTTATCAGAATCACTAATTTTGCTTACCATTGAATTAACGCCTATTAGTGCATTACCAGAATTTGATTCGTTTTTATACTTTACGTCTTGTTCTTTCTTCAAAATCCAGCAATCACGTTTCCAATGACCTGGTTTCTTACAAAAATTGCAAATTCCTGGTTTTCTATCATTTTTTTGTTGATTTCCAAATTTTGAATATTTTTTTTTTGCGTTCTGAATGATTTTTTTGCCGCAAATGCACTATTTTAACCATTATTTTTCTGGATTTCATAGCCATTACTTTGTCTTGTTTCCTCCACCATAAGTCGGGATGTCAAGTTTAACAATGTTTTGTTCTCAGATGATATAGAATCCCATGCACTATAAAAATATTTATAATTTTCTGGCAAGGTCATAAGAATTTTGGTTATAAGCATTGAATCGGATATTGGTTCACCTAACTGTTTTAATTGTTTACTCAAGTTTTCTAATTTTGATATATGTTGTGCCATATTATCATTTTTATCCATAACATAACTATAAAATTTTTGCTGAATCAATGTAATTGATGTATCAGACTTTTGTTCATATACACTCAGTAATTTATTCCACATACCTTTTGCTGTGTCACAGTTCATTATGTAATCTAATGACTGCTCATCTACTGACATAACTATAAAACGTTGAGCCTTAGCATCTGTCATTAATCATTTTTGCTGCACTTGTTCTAAACGCAATTGTCTCTCTGTGTCTGTTTCTGTATCATGTTTTATAATTTGAATTGGATATTCATAACTTTCATCTGTTACAGAGAACAACACATCATATGATTTTAATATTACCGTCATTTGAAATTTCCACTTTGCCCAATTTTCACTGCCGTTTAGTTTGTTAATTTTTATAGATTCGTTTTCCATGATAACGAATTTCCTGTACACTGTCTGCACACAATAAAAAATTACAATAATATTTAACACGATCGACGCACTTACTACGCGAACGCACTTTAAATTTCACGATTAATTATATTACTAAAAAAAATCTAAATATTGAGTACTGGGTACTGGGCCCATAACCTGTTGAATGGAATAGGTTATGTAATTAAAAGATTTAGAAATTATTCGTAATATAATAGTATTTAATATAAAATGTCAAAACATATAATATAAGAGATGTACAACGGCAACGGGTCACTTTACTCGATAGACGATGAAACTAAGACTAAACTGTAAACATGNTCGATAGACGGTGAAACTACGACTAAACTGTAAACATGTATACAATAGGCTGCATTGAGTAAAACAACATAATCGTAAAAGGAATGTGTCCCTTTGACCTTGTACTATACTAACATAAGTAAAAATACATTAAACTGTTATCTTAAATAATATTACTGTACCCAGTGTGTTGTTTAATTATATCAACAAGTTTAATAACTAAATTAAAGTCCCCTTGAATTGTACCTTATTTATTAAATTTTGGATGTGCATGGCAAAAGGATTAGTTCTACTTTTGGTTGTAGTTAATGAACATCTAGTATAATTGAATCCCTAAGATTGTGTAATTAACCCTTTAACAGGCGCGTGCCTATTTTTAACGTTCATAGTCGCGTGGGGGTCTATCAGACCCCATTTCTAAAAAAGTAAAAAATATGAATAAAAAGTTCATTTTTTTAAATTCAAAGACATTATTTGTTACCATATGATATATAAATATGGATAAAAATTAAAAAATAAATAAATTACAAAATTATGTGCATTACTAAAAATTATATTACGAAAAAAAAAACTTAATTTTCAAAATTTCATTAAAAAATTTTGGTTTGTAAAAAAATTATTTTAACAGCAAAATCTTATTTTTAAGACGGTAAACAAAAGCTTTTACTATTACAAAATGTATTTTAATTAATTTTTCTTGTATTTCTTTGAGCTCAAAGACGGTTTATATTTATTAGTTTTGTGTATTTACATTTATATAATCATTTTTCTGAATTAAACTTTTTTATTATTAATATTACATTTAATTATTATGATACGAGTATATACAATTATTCGTTCGTATTAGCATATCGATTACCGATAATCAATGTGTCCACATTGCGACGCGATGTAGTTATTACATGTTTTGTTCTTATTTGTTCCGTATCATCGACTAGTGAAAATTCTCAATAGATTATTTATTTTTAAAACTTAATTGCAGTCGGTGGCAGATCCACATAATTCCAATTCCACAATATTATATCGATTATAATATTGCATTTACGATAAAACGATATTTTGAAAAAAATACAAGTCCAAAAAAAAATTATAACGTTACAAGTCGCGTGGGGGTAAATATGACCCATTTCAACTTTGATGAATATTTTAAGTCATACATTTTTTTCGAAGGTATTTATTAATGAAAATCGATTCAATATTCCTATAAAAACCATCTTCTAAATTTATATCTATGTACACCTTTTATGAAATATAAAAGGTTCTCGTTTTTATTTATATGGGGGTATGCTAGATCACCACGCGACTGTTTAAGGGTTGAATATATTTAAATGCCGTGAAAATTCTATAAGACTCCTTAGCAGTAAGAATTAAGTAGTTATCAAGTAATTTATGAGCTATGTAAATGTTTCTTGAGATTATGGTTTACGACTTCAGCTAACTTGTATACATCAATATAAAAATGTTCTTTATTTGTGTTGAATGTAACCGAAAAGATCATTTGGGGGATGCCCCCTAGTTTAAATTTTCAGTACATATATTAAGGTTGTACATTATTCTAAAACACAATTTTAACAGGATAAAATTAGTGAAAAAAAGTAAAAATAACAACTTTTGAATAGAAAAAAGGTTAATTGTTTTTGCTAAAATCAAATTTTTTCAATATCCCCTTTAGGGGACGTCATAGGGGGTCTTATATTAACTTAAGTTAATTTTTTATGTAATTTATTTTTAATAAAAGTTTGAAAAAAATTCGTACAACTTAGAAAGTTTAAAATTATAAAGAGGAAACACGAAAAATTATTTTTATCTGAATAACATTATTTTATTTAAAAAATAAAGATATTAATTTTTAACTATCTCTATACAAATGAGTTAACGTTAAATTTAATTGAAAATTACTAAACCTCTTTATAAACTGTGCATGACCAGAATTAGGAATTTGATCAGTACTGGCTAATTTTAAAAATGTATTAAAACAAATAATTATAAAAATTATTTAAAGTTTCCAACCTTAAATGTACTATGTAGACAATAATATTTGTGATATCAATGTTTAATAAAAACTTAAATTTATTGGTAAACAGTATTAAAAATTATGATGTATTTATAATTAATAAACTGCTAATAAAGTTAATCGAAAGCTTCAGTTCCATCATTATCTTCAGGATCTGGTTGATCAAAATCAGTCATGCGTACATCTTGATCTTCACCAAACTGAATCATAGTACTTATAGTTAACTGTAAATCTGCAATACTATTTTCATCTTTAATATTTAATGGAACAAATCGAACAAGACTGTAATCTTCTATCATTTGTCCAATACGTTTTGATAAGTAACAATATTTTTTACCCCAAGCAGTATTACTTTTGACATCAGAAAGTAAAGCACGTGGATCAGGTTCTAGGAAACTAAAAATGTTTAAAATCATTTCATTAACTATCACGCTATCAATAATGGTTGACTACCATTACATAACATTACATTATACCATTATATGAAAACCAGTGGTAGTAATAACTTATATTACAAAGGTAATAATAATATCTTGTATTATAAACTTTAATATGAATTAACACAACATAGTTGGGACAAGTATATATGATATCTGACAGTGATTAAAATCACTATCATAAAAAACGTTTGATGCAAATCCATTAAGAAGAATTGTTGCATTATTCTTTATATTTTGATTACAAGTTTTATTATTTATTAATATAATATATGAATGAATAGCTATTAAAGAAATTAGATTTAGTATTTAATTGATTTTCAATAATTGGGTGTAGTAAATTTTATAGAAAAATTATAGTAAATAAGTTTGATTATACTGACCCTCAATTAATTATAATTTCAACTATGAAATTGAAATTGTTATTTATTATAATCCATTGGTAGCTAGAATATTATTTTTAGATTCTTTTCTTTTAATATACATATTGAATGGACATTAAAAGTTGCAAATAGCTTCCCTCAAAATATGTATAATTAACACAAATCTTATTATTATTTTTTTTTTTTGTAAGAGATAATTAAATGGGGATACTTATATTCCCCTTCTAAATAACTATACTGTTTGTGCCTATACTATTGGCATTAATAATATAAAAAAAAAATTAAAATAAAAAAAGTTAGAAATATAAAATCGAGAATTTTAAAATAAAAATAGAATGTTTTTTTAGCTTTAATGCAAAGCTAAGAAGGTATTAATTTTACTGTGTTTATTTTTTTTGTCTCTGTTAATACTTTTTCTCGGCTATCGCCAAACCGATTTTTTACAACAAAATGTCAAAAGGTCACAAATCATATCTAGTCGAAGACATAACCCTCAACAATTAAAAAATTTCCCTCGTTCCTTTTTCAAAATTTGTTATTCAAAATAGCAACTTTTTGCACAAAAATCATTTTTTCAACTTAACTTTTAAAAATGTTCCAGAAATACTGAGTTCTTTAAACATATGTTAATTATAGCTTATGTAATATACTTTAAGATAGAATAAAAAAAATTTTCTCTGACAACCTCTGCTTAATTGCCGTTTTTTTAAAATAAATTTAAATTTATTAAATATTTATATATTACACTTATATATCATAAAACTTGTAGGATATAAATAAGATATAGAAGTTCATTTCGCTTTAGTAAAAGAATTAAAAGAAAAAGTAAAGAAATATACAACTACTTTATTATTTTTATAATATCTCCATAAAAATTACAATATTAAATTATTGAATATCAATTTCATACAAAATATAATTATAAATCAAATAACTAATTGGGATAAAATTAAAGGAATAAGAGTTATTGTTGATTTTGAAATAATCTACCAATTTCTTAAAATCAAACATTATCTACAAATATTTATCGAATCATTTCTTATGATAGTAATTTTAATCACTGTAGAATATTATCTATACTTGTCCCAACTATGCCTCATCCACACTGTGCTGCAATCCCACTATGCTACCGTTTGGGGATACCAGGTTTTTAACCATGTGGCTATTTGTTCAGAGTATTTTTTCTTATAGTATGTAAAATTAGCTTTAATTTAATATATGTTTAAAGCTCAGAGTATTTCCAGAACATTTAAAAAAATTGAGATAAAATAATTAACTTTCCATGCATAAATTGCTATTTTAATTATCTCCAGTAAGCAGATTAAGGGTCAGATTTCCCAAGTAAAATATGCTTATGGAACATATCAAAATTAATATTTCATAATTGTTTTAATTTTGTGTATATAACCATGAAAATTTAGAACTAAAATTGAGTTTTGGACCATCATACAACATAATAAAATTAATACCTTCTCCGCTTTGAATTTATACTAAAAAAAAATATTACTTTATTTTACATAAAACACATTAAGGTCAAAAATAATTCTAAATCAGTCAAATTTAATTGGAAACTATTGTTTATATGTGGGCATTTGAAGAATATTTTATAGAAGTATAAATTAGCTACAAATAAAATATTTTTAAAAGCTATACTGTCAATATACAAAAAGATGCATGACATGTATACATAAATGTGTAGTAAGCTTAGTATGTATTGCAAGAAGTGGATACATTGAGTGAATTATATACAAAGTAATATCAATGATTTATCAATGATCATGAGTTTTTTCCTGAAATAATTTTGAAACAAATATTTTGGAAGTTATGAATATTTCTATACTTGGGTCGTAGGAGGAGAGCAATTGAGGATTGCATAAAAATAATAATTGTTTAACCAGCATATTACCTCCAGTCTATATTTTAGTATTTTATTTTAATAACTTTTGAAATATTGGTTGAAAAGTTGTATCGACTAGTCATTTTCTTAGTTGTATCATTTTTTAACATAAATTAGTAAAATATGTATGTTGCCATTAAAAAAAATTAATTTGGTACTCTTAGGGACAAGCTTTAAAAATATTTAATCACTTATTGTAGAGATTTAAAATTTGGTCCTTCCAGCCACATAAACATTGTTTTTGTTATTGTTCCCAAAAAACAATATCAAAATAGGTTAAAGTGCATCAAAAAAGAACAGCATTAAGAAGAAAAGGCAAACGCAAATCAATGCATTAAATCGCATACATATGTAACAGTGTTTGACTTAACAGGGTATGATATAATTGAGTTATAAGTTTGACGTGAAATGTTGTCAACCATCAAGGAATCTTTTGAAAAACTTCAACAACTATTAGAAGAAGATGTAGAAAACAATGAAGAAAAATAAATACGTGTAGCATTTAAAAACATATTGTTTACTAATGAAGCAAAAATAAAAATGTATGTTTGTAAGGCAAATTCAACAACAACAACCACTGAATCACAAATAAGATTACCTAAGGTTGATTTGCCTAAGTATGACGGTGATATCAAAAAGTAGCCCAACTTCAAAGATCTTTTTTCAACATTAGATCACAATAATGATATAATATCAGCTGTACAAACATTCATGTTTCTCAAAAGTTCATTAAATGGTCATGCACTCAGTATGATACAGTAAATTCCTGTAACAGGCAGCACAGCAGTCACTGATTGTATGATTGTGGCAGTCATAGTCACTGAGGTATGATAATTCACAATTATTAGTGTCCAGTCATCTCAAAATAATTTATCAAGATATAATTATTAAAAAAAGAAGTTCAGAAGAATTAAGAAAAATGATAACTGATTTAAATCAAAACATGAGAGCAATACAAGAATTAGGTGTACCTGTAGTACACTGGGATACATTAATAATTTATTTGACAAATCGTTGGTTACATCAAGAATTAAGAGAAAAGTGGTGTCAAACAATAACTAATTTAGAGTTAAACCAAGGCAAATGGCCAACATACAAACAATTCATTAATTTTTTAGAATTCGAGTGTCATGCTCTAGAATCAGAAAAACTAGATCAATGCATAGCAGGACCTCAGGCCAAACCACAGTTACGTTCAAATATACACCTAGTCACCACATACAATAACTCAGACAACTGTATTGTATCCCAAGATACGCTACATAAAATATTTCATTGTCCGCAATTTCTGAAAATGACTGTCAAAGATAGAGTAGATGTAGTTAAAAAGAACAAATTATGTTTCAACTGTTTAAAGGTAAATTGTCAATTGTTTAAATGCACAAGTAGATCCTGTTTAAAATGCAACCACCGACATAATACACTACTTCATGTAGAAAATTACAAACTCAAAAATACTAAGAGTAAAGAAGACAATTCATCTACACAAAAGCAAGAGAAATCCAATTCAATACAAATACAGACTATAAATCCAAATAATGCAATCAATGAATCAAGCGTTAACTGTGCCAATATTATGGAACAACCATATGTATTATAATGGTCAACTAAGGTGCGCGTTAAGAACAGTAAGGGTAAACTTCAAGAAATTCTAGTGTTATTAGATAATGGATCGCAATCTAACTTTATCACTCAAAGTTGCATATCAGCTCTTGGTCTTAAGACAAAAAATCAAATCACTAAGGTAAGCGGTGTATGTTTACTATGGTCATTTAGTGATGCAGTCATAAAATTACAAATTATATCTTGTAATTCAACTTTTAAACACAATTTAGAATTTCTTGTGGTGAACACAATAACTAGTGACTTACCTACTACTAATATTCCAGCTCAAGCAATTAAGTTACCTTCTGGAATAACATCAGCAGATCCAGAGTATTACAGAAGTAACAAAATTTATATGCTCTTAGGATGTGAATGCTTCAGTGAACTATTGTTAAGGGGACACTTCATGAAACAATGTTAGGTAGGGTTGTGGCAGATTAACTAAATGTAAATCTAGATAAACCTAACACAGTAAGTTTTACATGTATTAACTCAAATTGTGAAATAATAGAAAATACTAATCAAGCATTAACAAAATTTTGGAAAATAGAAGAATTCAAAGCTAATAAACCAAACACTAACAAACTTTTTTGGTCCAGTCTACATTGGACAATCAACAAACAAACAAGCATGTAAGGTAAAGACATACATAGCTGTTTTTGTATGCATGGATGTCAAGGCAGTGCACTTGGAGCTTATAAGTGATCTTAGCACAAATGCATTCATTGCAGCACTCAAACGGTTCATAGCCAGAAGGGTATGTGTAGCTCTATATTTTGTGATAACGGAAAAAACTTTGTTGGCGCTTACAGAAAACTTACAGAAATTCATGAATGGGTCATGAAAAACAAGGAGAGCCTTGTTCAAGTGTGCCTACCAGATCCTATCAAGTGACATTTCATCCCTCCAAATGCCCCTCATATGGTTGGTCTTTGGAGGCATGTGTGAAATCAGTCAAATATCATCTTCAAAGAACCATAAGCAATGAATGCTTAACTTTTGAAGAGGTTGTTACTTTACTCACACAAATAAAAGGTTGTCTGACTTCACACCCACTTACGATGTAATCTAATGATCCAAATTATGAGAGGCCACTGACTCCTGCTCACTTTTTGGTTGGAGATACACTACTTTTACCCATAGAGCAAGACACAACAGTAGTGCCAATGAATAGATTGACACTATGAAAGAGAGTGCAATCTATGTTGCAATACTTTTGGAAGCGCTGGTCAAACGATTATATTACAGCATTGCAATAAAGAAACAAGTGGCAGAACCAAGTTTCTAACATTAATATTAATGATTTGGTTATTATAAAAGAAGGCAGTGTTCCACTATCACATTGATTGGTTGGTCGAGTAGTTCTAACACATCTAGGAACTGATAGAATTGTACGGATAGCACTATTAAAATTGCATCAACTATATTAAAACGTCCTATTGTGAAATTGAGTAAAATTCCTATTAATTAAGTGTTATCCTCATTGTATTCATTTTTTATTGTTTTTATTTGTAATTGTTTAATTTAGTATTTTTACAAGTTTTATTATGTATTAATTGTTGAAAAGTCCCTTCAACGGGAGAAGTATGTAGAAATTTATACTTAATGTTGTGTGACAGCACTGTTTTTATGTTAGATTTGTATTGTAATTTTGTAGTTCAGTTAAAATATAATAATGAGCTTTTTTTATTATACCTCATAATGTCAATGTTTAAGTGATGTAAATAAAACTAAAGATACAGTCCACTATATTTTCAGCTCATTCTACAGTAATTGAGATTATTTAGTAAACACTTATAAGTTTAGAAATAAATACTACTTAAATAAACCTAAAATAAAAATTATTTTACTTAGAGAAATCTAGTGATCCACAATAAATCAATCACACTATACATATAAAAAATTAATTAGTATAAATACTTGTCTAAATGTTTTCTTGCTGTTTTACTAAGTAAATCCATTTTCGAAAGAACATTTATATGAGGTAGTTCAAGATTAATCATAACTGATAAAGCTGCCATTGTACCTAAAACAATTATTTATATATATTTAAATATTAAAAAAATATACATACATTCTTGTAAATATAAAATATACAATATATATCATCCCCATTTATATTTCTTTTTGGGAATAAGCTTTTTAAAATTGTACAAAAATTATATTTCTCTGATGTACCTAATATTCTTATTTATTAATCAATTATATTTTCCCTATACAAAGAAGTTTAGTTTAGATATTTTATACTAATAATACATGTTCTAATAATAACCCATATTTGGAATTAGTGTGTTTTATATGAATGGAAACTATATATACAGTATAAGCAATACAAAATTTATTTTACCAGATATAAATTTTGGTCCATCAACCATAAATTGTGAATCTACTAACATAACGGAACAAACATTAAAGCCCCAATTTTGTAATAATTCAGCAAGTTGTTTTATAGTTTTCATATGAGTATATAATTCTATTTGTCCAGGCAAATCAAAAATTATATAATCATCATCATCATCACCTAACTGTTCTTTAAACCATTCTTGATTTTCCATTAGATACCTGTATAACATTCATAAATAAAAAAGTTTGATTTTGTTTAAAAAAAAAAACTAGGCTTATATTGAAATTATTATAAGGTTCAAAAATATTTTTTGGAGGGATTCAAACTAAAAACACAAACTTGTACACATTTATATAAGTACCATGTTTTATAGTTTAATTAAAATGTGATTTAAAGAGAATATTAATATTGTCCAAATTAAAAAATAATCAACTGAAGTGTAAAAATATTTAAAAAAATACCTAATTATAAATTAATTTTACTCAGAAAAGTGAATACATTTGAAAAATATGATTAGTGACCAAGAAGCAATTCTGCTTTGGATCTTTATACAAAAATATGTAACTAAATGTTTTATAAAATTAGTCTTACTCCATACAAAATACTAAGCCTCCATTAGGACCAAAATGTAGTAACTCATCTTCCATAGCATCATCAATGTGTATTAACTCACGTATATCAACAGTTGGACTATAATCAAATCGTTCAGCAGCTGGGTCTAGATTGACTATAGTAACAGGATTTCTTTCATTTTCAAAGTGTTGAGCAATAGCAGAACAATATGTAGACTAAAATAAAATACATTTTCTAATAAATTAATTGTACTTAATAGTAACTATAATTATTGAAAGCACTACAATTATCTACTTTTCAAAAACTCACACAATGATTAAATAAAAAAACAAATTTTGTCTGAAATAACAATTAACAATTTAAAGTAATGACTGTAGATTAAAAGTGAGTGCTGCTATTTTTATAACTAAACATTTCCCAACCATACTCTTCCTTTCACTCAAATATAAATATGTTAATAACTTTCGAAGTATCGGTCCAAAATATATTATCGATTAGTTATTTTCTTAATTAGATCTAACTATTATAACTATTAGAAATATAACTAATCACTATCTATTAAATAAGCTAATTAATTAGGGGTATTGACATTTGTGAAATTAAAGTTGACACCCTTAAAAGGTAAAAAGGATAAACATAAAAAAGCTTTATGATTAAAAAATTGAGGAAAACATTGAACTAAAAGAAATAATAAAAAAAATTATTATTATTACTTTTATTTTTCAATTGATTAGGTTCATGATAAGTGAATAACTCGGTATAACCGATTTGCAGGAATAAATTGATAATTAATTTACTATAGTGTATTATATAAATAAAACAACACGATTAGGAAGATGTACTCCCATGTACACGTGCGTAGACTGTTTAAAATTAAGTTTAATTTAAATTAGCTTGAGTTTAAAAAAGTTTATTTTATTTAATTAACTATCAAAAAATAAATGTTCATACTTTGCCACTGCCAGCAGGTCCCATAACTAATTGAGCGTATCTCATGATTAAAATTAATTCAATTTATATAACTTAACAATTTTTTTTTTTTCGAAATATTTTTCTTCTGTTTACGAATTTAAAATATTATTCAACACATCATACGAAACTTTAACATTAACAATATTTTTTAAATGATTTTTGAAAACATAATTGAATATGTTTCTGTGTAAATTCTATGATTTAATTTAGTACAATTATTTCTAACTATTAATAAATAGTATCTAATTTCTAGTTGAATATCCAGATTGATTTTGAATCACAAGTTGAAACGTGCGCGTTATCAGAAATCTCTAACATTCAAATCCTTATCGCTTACAAGTTGTTGTACCCACCAATTTTCTTTAAGTTAATTCAATATTTTGGATTTATTAATTATTGGTGTTACTAGCCCCCTAAAATTTCAGAAATATGTGTTGTGTTATTACATAAAAACATTTTTAAGAGTAAATAATTTGTCCCTCACCTCAAAAACTGTTTTAGCTTCCTCGATGTTTTTAGTAGAAAAAATATCTATATAATAAAAATACGCTATTGTTAGCAATTGAAGGATCCAGAGCAATTATTGGTTATCTACATTTTTTTTTTTTTTTGAAATTCACTTTTTTATATTTTATGTAGAAAATCAACATTTTGTTGTGGTCACTGGGACTCAGCCGTCCACTACAGAAGCTAACATCGTGGGACTAGTTTTGGTTGGTTCGCTAATATCGTTAAAATAGTAATTCCCAATATTTATTGTTATTAAATTTACATAGTTCTTTGTGTCTCCTCAGAAATGTTAAAAATTGAAATAACTGGTTATTACACGGGGACTCTTCAATTATAGATTATGTTATAAATGTTATTTTCTCTGTGCTAAATATAATAGCATAGAGAAGAACTCAGAACTTAGAAATAGTATATACAGTGATATCTAGTGGTGTCAGATATATACAGATGGTAATAAAGAGGTTACCATTACTTTTATATGATAAGACATACTCATATTTTTAAAAGCATAAAAATCGTTGAGGCTACTTTTGAAGATGAACTTTTGTGTCAAGAGACATTATTAATAAAAACATTTTTCAAAGTTCTTTAAAGTTAATGCTATGTCAGGTTTTAATTTAGGCAATCCGGCCAACACAAATTCTTCAACAAATACTACAACGTAAGTTCAATGTTTAAATAACTAAAAATAAGTTTCTCTTTATTCTTTTAAGTGTAATATATTTTTAGTGGTATTATTATTTGAGTAGACTAGAATTAAAACTCACGAGTGATCACTACAAAATTTACAATTAATTCATAAAACTAAAAAAAGTTTACCAAGTGAAATATATAAAGATTAAATTTTTTTAATTCTTCCAAAAAACATACTACATATTTTTGTTTGGTAGAATCTTAACAGCGTTTTGGTGTTTTTTGGAAAACTTTGTAATAGCCACTTGTAGTTGTGTAAACAGTGGTTGGAAGTAGTAAGGCTATAGTTTCTCATTAACCCATTATTATTATTTTCAATGTATAATTTTGGTCTTAGTACCCAATGTCAAGAGTAAACGATAAAAAAACGTCCATTGCACTCCCTCTATTAAACATTTCTGTATTTACTGATCACACTGACCACTTATGAAATTTGATTTATTTAATTAGTGTCTTAATTACTAAAAGAATTCAATGAGTTTGGATTCATATTTGTTCTTCATTACATTTTAATGATTGTTTTTATAAATTTCATGATTAATGTAATAAATAAATAAATTATTTTGAAGTTTATTTCTTTCATTTTATTTATCAGTTAAATAAATATGTAATTCAAATTAGTTTATTTAATCAATTTTGATGTATTATTTTGTAATAATGCTTTATTTTTAACTAAATATTTTTTCTGTTTTTTCAGTTCTCAGTTTGGATTTGGTTCATCTTTAGGGACATCATTCCCAACAGCTACTACTCAAATCTCAAACAGCTTTGGTAGTTAAATTTATAAAAATATCATTTTAAATTAAAGAAGTAGAGCTTAAATTAAAAAGATAATTATGATTTGCTTTTAATATATGTCTTCAACTTTAGGGGTAAATTTCAAAAGTTAAATAGAAACCTATCATTTTTTTTTCTGCTTGAAGTGCTTGAGGATATATCCATGTTTACAGTTGAGTTCTGACGTTTCGGACTCATTGCAGAGTCCATCTTCAGAGTGATGGTTGCTAGTCGGTGGCTGCAACTATACTATAGTTATAGAGTTAAGATGGACTCTGCAATGAGTCTGAAACGTCAAAACTCAACTGTAAACATGGATATATCCTCAAGCACTTCAAGCAACAAAACAATCCATGAAAGTTTTAACACATTCATTTTTTTTTCTATTATTATGTACAAATAAGAATTGTTCTATTTTGCATACTCTGATCGCCAATTAATAAAAATTACAATAATTCAAAAAGTAATAATATATTGGCTATCAATCAGTTACAATTTTATTTAATTCAATCCCATTTAATAGTTAAAATAAAATAATAGATTCCATTAACTTTTGAAAGTTACCATTTAAATCTACCCTCAGAAGTAATTTTTTCTTTCAATAAACTTAATATATATTATGGTTCGTTCAAATAAATCAAATTTTAATCTGTAAATCTAAAATGAAGGGATATATTTTTGATAAAAACTATATATTTTTATTCTTTTTAAAGTAAGGCAGCAGAAACAAAACATTGTATAATATTATAAAGATTAATTCTATGATAGTTGATTATGTTTTTAACTTGTTGAGTTTTCTAAATCATTATCATTTCTTTGTATAAACTTGCTTTTATTCTATTTTTTAGGTAATACAGTTAATCCTACATTGACTTTTGGAGCTACTCCTTCAAAAAATGCATCCATTTCTTTTGGTGGAGCTAGTGTTCCAAGTCAGCCATTGTCTTTTGGTGCAACTGTTACCACATTGGCATCATCCACTACCAAACCAAGTATATAATAATTTTATACATTTTTTGCTACATCATCATACTATTTAAGACTTGGTAGTAAAACTATAATGGCTGTAATCTTTTATTTAATAATATTGTATCTTATAAAATTTATAAAATATAATTATTGTGATGTCACAACTATAACTAAATATATAGGATTAAAGTATATTGTTTTATATTTGAAAGAATTAAGTCAGAATAAGGAGAATTTCATTAAGATCATCACTCTCTAGGACTCTACATTCAGTTGTCTTGAATATTTTTTTACAAGCATAACAATTACTAAATAGTTAAATTGACACTTATAATTTAGGAATCTTAAACGTTGGAGCTTCATAATGCCTTAATTTAAGTTTAGAAAGAATGTATTAGGTTGGTGATAAGTGGTTTATTAATAACAGGTTGTTCGAAAAGTCTTAAAATATGCCTCAGTTTTGGTGATGACTTCTTGATTCGAGCTGAATCTTTTTCCCTGAAGCATCCACTTGAGATTTGCAAAGAGGTAGTAGTCACTGGGGGCAAAATCTTAACTATACGGTGGATGTGGCAGCAATTCAAAGTCCAAATCATACATTTTTGCAATGTTTTTAATGATTTGTGACACGGTGCATAGTCTTGGTGAAATAGAATTTTTTTTCTTTGCCATATGCAGTTTTTTTTCGCAATTTCAGCATTCAAACACTAATAACACAATGTAGTAATTGCTATTGATTGTTTTACCATATTCGAGATAATAAATGAATATAATTCCATTTGCATCCCAAAATACCAAGGCTATAACCTTGCCTTCTGATTGTTGTGTTTTTAGCTGCTTCAGAGCACTTTCGCTGGGTCTAGTTCACTTAGCTGCCTGTTGTTTCGATTTAGGAGTGTAGTGATAGATCCGTGTTTCATTAATTTGTCACATATTGATGCAAAAATTCCTTCATATTCAAGTTAAACAGCTCCGTGAATCATTGACACATTGTTCTTTTTGGTCTACTGTTAACAAATACAGCACCAATTTCGAACATAACTTTCTCATACTCAAATGTTCATGTAAGGTATGATGCACATGGTCAATTTAGATCTTTACAATATCAGCTATCTGACACACTTTCACTTTATGATTTTCCAATACAATTTTGTGGATTTTTTTATGTTTTCTGGTGTAACTGCCTCACTTGGGCGTCCTGAGTATTCAGTGTTATTTGTTTCTATATGACTGAGTTTAATTTCAGAAAACTAGCGACAAATAGTTGTTTTATACAGGGCAGAGTTCTTATAATACTTTTCAAGTTATTTCTGGGTTTTCACAGTGTTTTTTCCCATCAAATAGCAGTGTTTAATTAATCTACAAAATTCGTTTTTATCCATTGTTTACAAAATAACATAAGTAGCTTCACTTCAATGACTGTAACTTAGAATTGCTCTATGTCATGAGATTATGACACGTTTCTTTTGAAGGTTGGTACTAACTAAAATCATAAGGAAAAGTTATTTAAGTCTATGCATCAGTCCCAGGACTTTTCAAACAACCTGATACAGTAAAAATATTTTTTACTTTTTCAGGAGATTCCTAATTAAATTTATTGTAATGTTTCACACTCAAGTTATAAAAAATATTTTAGTTAAACTATTCTTATAATTATTTATTAATATTGGTTGAAGATAACACAGTTTTTATACACTGAATTTTTGCTCTAATGAACATAGAATAACATAAAACAATGTAATTAGCATGTAATAATTCAAATATTTACAAATTTTTATATTCTACATATTTAATTACACAAATTTAGAAAAAAAATTTAATTTCAAATTTTTTATTTAAATTTACTCAACAAAATCTTGAAATTTTTATTAAGTATAATTATAAAAAATATTTTTTCATATTTTTGCTAAAGTACATATAAAACTATTATAAAACTTCAAGAAAAAATATTTTATCCTTTAATATATTCAATTTGATTTTTTTTAAAAGGTTTTTCACTCGGTTCTAACAGTATGACAGCAAATGCTCCTTTGAATTTAAGTTTAGGTTCAAGTACTACAACATCCTCATTTTCTCTTGGAACTTCAAATATTACAAGTGTTGTTGCGCCAACCATAAGTACACAATTTACATTGGGTATTTCTGCTACTACGACAACCTCTTCTGCACCTGGTAATTATGCATTGTTATTACCTTTAGAATATTGAATATTTAAAAACTAACTTCTTCTATTTTAGTGTCTAAAGGGTTAGGTGGCATTGATACAGTCACAAATATTAGTCAAGGTAAATAACAATTGGATTTTAATAATTTTTTAATAAAATTATACAAAATGTCCTTGTTTTTTTAGCAAAAAGCAAAGATATATCTGCTCTTGAAATGTCTATTCCTAACGAAATTTCTCAGTTGGTCAATAATTTAAAGTAAGTTTTAAAAATTAAAACCCAGCACAGTAAAGACACAATATAGTTAGGACAAGTATAGATGATATCTAATAGAGATTGATATCACTATCATAAAAAATGCTTCAATGCATATCTGTTAGATTTTAGAATAATTTGTATATTTTAATTTTATAATAACTATGTTTTAAAATTTAATTGAATATTAAATTAATTTTTTGAAAAAACTGAACCTTTAACTTTCTTATATTAGAACAATCATCAAGATAAATTTTATTTTGTTTTATATTATATTTCACGCCAAAAATGTATTTTAATGTAGGTTAAAAGTTGGCAGATGTTTCAAAACATATTTAAAAATTTAGTTGAACAAAAATTTATTACATTCATAGGTGATGTCTACTGTACTAAGATTTCTCATAAAAAGTATCCTAAAATAAAACTAATTATCTCTAGTATCTACTATTAAAATTTCATTAGAATTGGTGTTTAAAAAAGAAAAATTAATGCAGAAAATAATTGTTAAATATACCTTTTTACACTTGCATAACTTTGAGATATTTTTTTACATTTCTAAAATTAAGGTTTTTTTTTTTTTAATTTTTGATAACAATAGGTTCAACTGGATTAAAATTTGGTTTTTTTAATATATTAAATAATTAAACATGATCAGTGAGAACTGATAATTTTCATGGACAGACAAAAAAAACGCTCATCATTGTTATACATTGTTTGTGTGTAATAGGCACTGAAATGAGTCTCCCTCATTATCAGCTGTTTAACTATTAATATAACAACTGTTAGCATATCTCTGCTTATAACATACTTTCAATATCTCACTTCTGGTATCAATGGTAACTTTTCACTCCATCTAACATTTTCAGACAAAAATTTATTTCTCTTAAAAATATTTTTAATAAATGGTAACATATATTAAATTAAAGCTAATTTTACATACTATAAGAAAAAATACTATGTGCAAATAGCCACTTAGTTAACCTGGTATCCCAAAACGGTAGCAAAGTGGAATTGCAGAACAGTGTGGACGTGGCATAATTGAGACAAATATAGTGATTAAAATTACCATCATAAGAAACGCTTAAATGCAAATCTGATAAAAATATTTTAAAGTAATTGTTAATTTTTTGACATTCAACAATTGACAATATTAAATATAAAATTTTATGAAAGTTAAAAAAAATGGTTTTGTTAATATTAATATGCAGTCTTACTTTTAAAATCTTAATATTGAAATAATACAATAAATTATATATCATTAAATTCAAAATCAAATAATATCTTATATTTCACTAGTTATAAGTACTATAATATTATCATAATTTTTATTTATATGTTTTAAAGAGATTTTCTAAAACAGCAAAAGACAATGAGCACAGAATTGGCTCGAATGTCTTCTAAAGGATCTAGTGAAGTAGCTGATGATATAATGACATGTCAAAAAAATTTACAATTTATTGAACACAATTTAGACAAACAAAAAAGTTTTGTTGAAAAATTAAGGTTTGAAACTAATAAGGTTGGTTAATATATTTAATTATTTATTAGGCAATATATTTATATAATAGATATTATGTCTTATCACAGTGTTTACAAGATTTTGAAATTGCTCAAAGAAATCATGATCATCCTGCAATGGTTCAAAATGATATGGAATCAAACATCAAGTATTTTTCTGAGCTTATAAAATCATTGCAAGAAAAAGGAAATATTTTAAAAAATGAAATAGAGAATACACAACAATATTTAGCAACTTTACCTTACAATAATAATGTCACCATAGATGGTAATAATCCAGTGACGTTCCTGTGTTTTATCTTGGGGGAAATATACATATAAAAATATTTCCTCTCCTAAATAAAACTTCACCGTATTTGTATTTTTGTAATATAGGGATTATTTTACCCCACCACCATATGGTGCAGCCCATCTTTTGAGTCTAGTTAACGAGAAAGGCCACACTGTGTTGTGATTCAACTCTCGATTAAGTTCAAGCTGAAGTACAACACAGAAGTGTGAGTTGTGAAGTAATGCTTTAAGGCAGTTTTAAGACGGTCTATAAAAAAGCTGGTAGTGTAAAAAAAAAAGAGATTCTGTTATCCATATCCTTAGAGAGAGTGCCTGTAACAATCTAAAATAGTTTATAGAATCTATAAAATACTTTTTCTCTTTAACAGAATTGAGAAGAATTGGAGAAATGTATTATAAAAATGTAATTGCATTGGCTGGTCATCTTCATGGAATACATAATGAAGTACAAGTTTTAAAAGCAAGACATTTATCTTTCCGTCGAGAAATTTTGAATGATTATAGTAATATCTTTCAAACAAATGAAAATAATACTTCATCATATTCTTTTTTATCACAACCAGAAACTACTGGTCCCAATCCTTTTTCTGGTTTAAGTAAGTAATGAATACAATTATAAATTTAAACATGCCAAATTTAATGGAAGTATTACAAATTTCACCTATTATAAATTAAATATTATCAAAAAATCAATTGTTGTCAATAATATTTTATTTTTTAAATTGTAGGTATAACAGCCTCAGCAGCATTGAATTTAGGAACATTTGGAATAGATCAATCTAGTACACGTTAAAATCCAAATTTTTTTTCAATTTGTTTCAAAAAAATTTTATAATTAAAGAAATATTTTACCTTGTACTAATAATGTTTAGAGTTCAGTGTTTTATTTTAATAGATTAAAGTTTAATAAAAAATAAAACAAATTATACAATTTTTAAATTTGTTTTTGTAGAAGTTTTGAAAAATTTTTTAAACTTTTTGCTGAAATAAAATTATCTATTAAAACAAATTCATTTATATATATCTATGCACTTAATGATTTTAGTTGTTTCTTGGTATCCGTCATAATTTGAGCATTTTTCATGTATCTTAAGTAAATATTTTCATTTATTATCACTTTTTTTTTTACCAAGAGTTGTAAAGAAAAGCTATCTTGTAAGTTGGCCCATCTATTTTATGTTACAACCGCAAAATAAATTAAATTTTTAATAACATTATAAATTATCTGATAGTGTATAATAAACACCAAAGTGGGTAAATCCATCTTGACATATAATTATAGTATGCAGAATTGTAACCAGGATGTTACTAGTGATTTGCATTTTCGAATATTTTAAACTATCGAATAACTATTCGAATTGTTTTTATACAACCCAATAGTTTATTTTTAGCATTAACTATCGAATAGTTTTAAAAAGTATTCAAATAGACAATCGAACAGTTTTACAAACTTTTCAAATAGGCTACCGAATGGTTTTAAAAAATATTCGATTAGTTCTATCTAAAATGTTTATTAAGTACATATAATTATAATAAGATAATTAACGAATACTTAAAATAAATTATTATACAATTAATAATAGTAAAAATTAGTGATCGGCATTTTCAAATATTTTAAACTATCGTATAACTTATTATCGTACAACTATTCGAATTGTGTTTATACAACCGAATAGTTTAAAAAACTATTCGAATATTTTTTGAATCTCTATCAAATAGTTCGATGTTTCCCATCATTAGATGCTTCAGTATTAACCCCTCCCCTTTTACGAAAAAATTAGCAGTATTGTGGCGGTCGAATGTGTCTTAAACGCACTTCGTCTCTCGCTGTTATTTGTTAGTTCGTTGTAATATAGTATAGTTGTTATTAAATCGTAAAAGTGTTTATTACTTCTATATATTACACCTCGCTACATTGGTGACCTCGACGATAACAAGTATGAACGCCGAAGAACTACGCAATCAATTGGAGGAGTTACGCCAAGAAAACGCTCGCCTTGCAGCACTACAGGCACAGCAATATCCAACAGCTTCAGTGAATCGCGTTGCCGTCAAGTTGCCACCTTTCTGGTCCGAAAGACCGAGCTTATGGTTCTCACAGGTTGACTCGCAGTTTGCAATCTCGGGAATAACAAGTGAGGAAACAAAATTTAATTATGTTGTGGCTCAGCTTGATACGCGTTACGCCGCCGAAGTAGAGGATATTATTACTAACCCACCGCCTACTGAACGCTACAAACATCTACGCGCAAAACTCGTTGAACGGTTGTCTATCTCAGAAGAACAACGTGTGCGGCAACTCATCAATGAAGAAGAACTAGGTGACCGTAAGCCATCACAGTTCTTACGACATCTCCGTTCCCTTGCCGGCACTACTACACTACAAGACAATATTTTACGTCAACTTTGGCTCCGCCGTCTACCATCACATGCACAAGCTATTTTAACCGCACAATCAGAGCTTCCTCTGGATAAGGTAGCCGAGCTGGCTGACAAAATTGTTGAAGTGCAGCCAGCCCCCTCGCAATTCGTCCATGCTGTTGCCACGACGAACAATAAAGAGGAACTCGATGTTTTAGCTGCCATGGAAGCACTCACAAAACAGGTAAGCGAATTATGTGCTAAACGCCCGCAACGTTCCCGCTCTAGGTCACGTAACCGTTCAAACGTGGAACTGACTAACGGCAAAGGATGGTGTTGGTATCATAGCACTTATGGAGAAAAGGCTGCCAAATGTAAGGCTCCCTGCAAGTATCAGGAAAACTCCAACGACAGTCAGTAGCGGCGGCAACAGACTGTCCGAACCCGAGCAGCCGCCTGTTTGTTACAGATCAAATAACAAAACGCCAATTTTTAGTCGACTCCGGTTCCGACTTACCTTGTTACCCTCAACGGCTACTACAGGAACGACGCCATGCCACCCATTACGACCTCAGCGCGGCCAACAACAGTACCATAAAAACTTACGGGACGGTCCATCTCAATTTGAATTTAGGACTTCGACGCAGTTTCCCGTGGAGTTTTATTGTCGCCGACGTGAGTACTCCTATCATTGGTTCCGACTTCATGGCATACTACCACTTGCTGCCGGATTGCCGTACCAAACGTCTTATTGATGGTGTCACAGGCTTGGCTGTGAATGGTAAGGTTTCCTCTGTAAATCAATGCAGCATAAAATCAGTTGCCAACACTTCCCCTTGGGCTGCACTTCTCGCAGAATTTCCGGACATCACACGTCCCACCGGATTGCCCAGGACAATAAAACATCAAACAGTGCACCACATTCTTACGACACCTGGTCAGCCAATAGCCTGCCGCCCACGCCGCTTAGCTCCAGGTAGACTAAAAATCGCCAAACAGGAATTCGCGGAAATGGTCAAGGCAGGTACCGCTAGACCTTCAAGCAGTCCGTGGTCTTCACCATTACATTTAGCACCGAAAGGGGAGAACAGCTGGCGTCCTTGCGGTGATTACCGCGCGCTGAACGCCCGAACTATACCAGACTCCTATCCAGTCAGACACATACATGATTTCTCGCACAACCTGGCTAATTGCACGCTATTTTCCACAATCGATCTGGTAAAGGCTTACCATCAAATACCTGTTAATCCGGACGATATATGCAAAACAGCCATTACCACTCCATTCGGACTTTACGAATTTCCTTTTATGACATTCGGATTGCGAAATGCTGGACAAACTTTTCAACGCTTCATAGACGAAGTTACCAATGGGTTGGACTTCTGTTATGCATATATTGATGACATTTTGGTATTCTCTAAATCGGAAGAGGACCACAAACAGCATTTACGCACTCTTTTCGGGAGACTTTCTGACTACGGTGTTGTCGTTAACCCGCAAAAATGTGTATTAGGTTCGGCTGAGGTGAAATTTCTAGGTTACCTAGTATCTTCTGAAGGCACCCGCCCGCCACCGGAACGCGTCGAAGCCCTACGACAGTATCCATTGCCAAAATCTATGCAAGGATTACGCCGGTTTTTGGGAATGGTAAATTTTTATCGCCGGTTTATTCCCAAAGCTGCCGACCTGCAAGCACCACTTCACGGTATTCTCAAAGGCCCGAAGACAAAAGGTTCCCAACCGATAGAATGGACTCCCGAGTTAGAAAAAGCGTTCACCACATGCAAAGAAAGTCTTGCGACCGCTACTCTTTTAGCACATCCTCATCCAGCCGCACGACTTGGACTATTCACAGACGCATCTAGCCAATCTATCGGCGCATGTCTGCAGCAGCGAGTCAATAACATCTGGCAACCCATAGCATTTTTTTCAAAGAAAATGTCGGTGAAACAAAGTGCGTGGCCTGCGTATTATCGTGAGTTGCTTGCCATCTATGAATCGGTGAAGTATTTCAGGCACATTGTCGAAGCACAACCATGTACCATTTTCACCGATCATAAGCCACTCGTATATGCTTTCACCCAACGGAGAGAAAAGATACCTCCTACGCAACTCAACCAGTTGACATTCATATCCGAATTCACCACCGACATTCAACACATTAAAGGTGATGAAAATATCGTCGCGGATACAATGTCACGCATTGAAGTTGTGTCTCTCCCGCTGGACTACCGAGCTCTTGCTGCATCTCAAGACACGGATGATGAACTCAAGCATTTTACTGACAACAATTCATCTCTTCATTTGGAGAAGGTACTAGTGCCAGGATCTTCAGCCTATATTTATTGCGACACGTCAACGGGACGCCCACGACCATTTTTGCCACAACGATTCCGGCGTCACGCATTTGATCAGTTACACAACCTTAGTCACCCCGGTGCACGCGCAACAGCTCACTTAGTTTCAGAACGATTTGTGTGGCCAGCAATGAAAAAGGATTGCCGTTCCTGGGCACGTGCATGCGTCCACTGTCAGCGTTCGAAAATAAGCCGACACGTCTCAGCCCCACTGGGAAACTTTGAAACACCTTCACGCCGATTCAAACATGTTCATGTCGATATCATCGGTCCATTGCCGCCATCACAGTCCTTTAGGTATTGTCTGACGGTAATCANTTAGGTACTGTCTGACGGTAATCGACCGTTTCACCCGTTGGCCGGAGGTGTATCCACTCGAACGTATAACAGCAGATGATGTCACTAAGGGTTTCCTCAATTGCTGGATTTCACGCTTCGGAGTACCTCAATACGTTACGACTGACCGTGGTACTCAGTTTGTTTCAGCTACTTTAAAAACTTTAGCAAAACGTTTTGGTTTTACGCTTCGCCCCACTACCAGTTGGCATCCTGCTGCAAACGGATTCGTCGAACGAATGCACCGACAACTAAAGGCAGCCATCATGGCCCACGCAAAAGACTCGTGGACTGAGTCACTGCCTATCGTGCTTCTCGGAATACGTTCTGCGTTTAAGGAAGACTTAAAAGCCACGTCTGCGGAACTTGTTTATGGGGAGCCTCTTAATCTTCCTGGTGATTTCTTCACAGACAATCAAGATAATAGCAGTACGAACGACCCTACTAGCTTACTAGATCGTCTTCGCAGTGTTATGAATAAAATCCGTCCAGTACCTGCATCTCGCCACTCAAATCCACGATCATTCGTTTTTGCGGACCTTAAGGACTGTTTACACGTATTTCTCAGGGAGGGAGGTGTCCGAGCAGCACTTCAACCGCCATATCAAGGTCCCTACGAAGTAATTGCCCGAAATGACAAAACGTTCACAATAAAAGTTCGAAATCAACCAGTTACGGTGACGATTGATAGAGTAAAACCTGCCTACCTCATGGTGAACGAAAGCACAACCGATAGCCAGGCACATGCTCCACCAGCGACTGCCCCGAATACGCCCAAACAAAAACAACCGCCTAATACCGATCCATCAACATAGCCAGTACGAACAACTCGCTCAGGCCGCCGAGTCAGATTCCCGGACATTTTTAATCCTAGCTAACTCCACTCCGTAGGGGGGTGGTGTGGCGGTCGAATGTTCTAGAGAGTTCCGCCGCCGCCTCTAGAAGATTCCTCTGACTATTTAAGGGCAAGATCGTCGCTCCAGTCAATCAATCGATCAGTCAATCACTTACGCACTCTGTCTTAAACGCACTTCGTCTATAGCTGTTATTTGTTAGTTCGTTGTAATATAGTATAGTTGTTATTAAATCGTAAAAGTGTTTATTACTTCTATATATTACACCTCACTACAGTATTAACTCCTTTTTATTTTAACTTGTTCGAGTTTTTTAAATAACAATGCAGGGAAAAATACAATAGTATATATCACAATACACTAAATCTAAAAATAATTGGTAAATAGGTATAAAAAAAAAATTGGCTGAATTCTTGATAAATCAATTATTATTGATTAGAAAGACAACTTCCATTATCGTGTTGTGATGTTTTAAGATAAACCTAACCTCTAACAATTATAACAGATTGATAACAGCTTATCAATATTCATATGATTTTTTCTCTAATGTTTCGTCATTCGTCTTCAAAAATAGCTTATTTGAGTTCTTTACATATTAAATTAATAAATTGTATATAAAATGACTTAGCTATTGAATAATGATTTGATATTAAATTACACTAGTAAATATTAAATACATCTCTTTGGCATGAATTTCATAACAAATGCTTTTTATACCAGATATAGTTATATTATTTATTGAAAAAAATCGATGGAAACTGAAATTAGTTATGTAAGATGTTGTTATTAAATATCATTCATAGAAATAAAGATGAATGTTTCCTACTGATATTAGCATTATTACTTTATTATGTGATGATATTTCTCGAAGAATCAGAAAGGATTCATTGATATTTTTATTGAAGTTAAAACGATTAGACTGATATTATGATTATACATGAACTACATAACACAACTCAAGATTATTAAGAGTTAATTCTCTATTTGCTTCTGAATTACTTTTTAAGAAATATATGCATTGAAATAAAATGAAATAAAACTAATAAAATTATATTGTTTTATTTAGCACAATTACAAATGATATTAATTTGAGTATAATGTATTTATCGAATTAATGAAATTAAATTTATTTACGTATCAAGAGCTATAACAAAACTGAAGGTTAATCGATAGAACTTTAATTTTAGATGTTAGACATATTCATTTTATGAACAAGCATCTATACAACTACCCTAACTCATCACGGTTTACAAGGAATTAAGTTTCTACTTAATTATATTAAGCAAAATACGTAAGTAATTATATATTTCTGAAATTCTCTATAAATTATTGATAAGTATTAATAAGTCATAAGGTTTATCCTATTATAATTTTATATAAACCATTTGACTTGCTGTTAAATTAAAAATTATGCATTGTCTAGGTATTTTTGTGGGAATCTCTAAAATTTTTTTTAATAGAATGTTGGAATAAAAAACCAAATAGTGTTTCAAAAATAATTTAATTATATATATATTACACAACTTAAAAAAACTTGTTAACACAAAAAGATTCTTTTGAATTATAAAAATCAAATACTTTAATTTGATTTGTTGTTTGTTCAACAGATCGTTTTAGATAATTGATTTCTTCAATTCATACAATTTTTACATGGCTTGAGTTTTTTTTAAATGGTCTTTTTTTTTAATTGTCCTATTACTGAAAATAAATAACTTTTATAATAACTTATGACCATTTTAAATATTACAATTTAGTTACTTTAATTAAAATAACAAATGCAAAAAAAAATTAATTTTGATATTCTTCAAAATTAAAATTTCATTAAGAAAATAATTAATTGATAATACATATTATTAATATAAATATATAAATTATGTTGCAGTTATTTAATGCTATGAAAAATTTTGATTATAATGGTGTCATGTAAGTAACAATATAACAAAAAAACTGAAGAATTTTTTTTGTTACTGAAATAGTGATTTCAAAAGCGAAATTGTCAATTTTTTAGCTACTACTTTTAGAAATAGTTAACTCATAATAATATGAACATAACTATAAATTTTATTGATTGATAATGTACACTGTCTTAATACAAATAAATCTAGCAGTTTTTATTTATCAAAATTATTGATGTCTAATTCAATTTTTTTTTAACAATATAGTGTTTTTTTTTTTAAGTTTCAAGAGAATATAATTTATACTTAATTTAATAGAACATTCATTTAATTAAATCAAAGATAAATTTAATTATACAAATAAATATAACTGTTGTTACTGATACTTCAAATCAACTTATTGATAGTTTTACACTCATTTTCATCCTAAAAAAAAAAAAAGTAAAAGTTTTTTTTTTTACAAAAAATAATAATTTTAATTTGTATAGAAGGAACAATTTTAATGATTTACATGTTACTACACAAATAAAATTAAAATGAAACATATATCATATTTTTAATTGAAAACATAAAGGTCCTATTTAATTTTAATATTTATAAGCATAAATTAAAAGTTAATTATTAGCCTCTATTGAAAAACAATTGAAACATTTTTATGCAATTTAATTATATAAATGATAGAAATACTGAATTGTCTTGTGCCTTAATATTTTAAACTACATATACATTAATGTTTCAATTTTATTATAGTATATTTTTTATAGTCAGTTGTGAAAATTTTACTGAATTTATAAACTAAACAAAGTATTAAATTCTTGTATTAATTTTACACTAAAATATCTGAACACTAAATTATAACGGTGTACATACAATGCACCACATTAAGTTTTAGATTCTCTAAGTCTTGAAAATTGTAATTCTAATTAATAACTGAAAAGAGTCATCAAAATGTTATTAACTGGGTTTCATAAGATAACAACCCTTTTTAAATTCATAACTGAAATAAATATAAACCTTTGATAGTTTTCAAATCATAAGTACTATAATATTATTATATAATTTCAATAAAAAATTGCATCTAGCAGTAAAATGACTTAATGTATTCTAATTATTATGAAAAACTGTCTGTTTATTCTTACTGAAAATACACAATCTCACATGTTAATAACTTTCTAATACACACATATCACTTAAAAATAGTAGACTTATCATCATAGGCATGTCTACGTGTAGTGCCTAAATTTCAATTGAAGAGCCCACCTTCGAAATTTATTAAAATAAAGTAAAAATTGAGGTTGTGGTTGAAGTAGATATGTATTTCCTTTCTATAAAAAAAATTTTACACAACAATAAATACATTAAAAGTGAAAAGAAAGCCTATTTTTTTATACTTTTAGTGTACAACCTAAGAAAATGGTCTGGACTTGTCATTGTTTAAGAGTATATCTTAAATAAAAAACTAAATTGAATGAGCTCATTAATTAATTAATTCTATGTATTCTATATATTAATATTATACAAATACAATCATTTAATGAATAATTGAGTGATACTTTCTATACCCACAAAGATTATAAAAAGACTAACCATCTCAAGATCAAAAAATATTTCATAGAAATATTTATACAAATGATAATACAAAAATTTGATTATTTTATTTTTGTAAAAAATGTTTTATAATACAAAAGAAAAGTAAATAGTACTATTGAATGTTATAGTGATATTTTTAAATTACACTAAAAAAACTCTCTTTTGATTTGTAAACATCAAAACAGTATAAAGCATGTCGAGTGGAAAACAAATAAATAATATTTTTTAATTTTTTACCAGAAAATTAAATACCTAATACTATTGTACATCTCTTTGTATTCAATATTAATCAGGGGTTGTAAGTATTGAACTGATTTATTAAGATTAATTTATTTTGTATCTCCAAAAACTTTGGTCTAGTGATAGCTCCTATGATAGTGATTAGTTTTTAATAGAATAAGAGTAAAGGATAACTTTATTTCAAAAATGTTATTTTTGTTTTTATAAATACCTCATTTAGTATAAATACCTGACAAAAAGACATGTAATTTTTTGATGATCTGCAAACATGTGTAATAGGTGATTACACGCATTAACTGAAACAAGCTCGCAATTTAAGCCATTTTCTTCATGCTATGAGATGGTTTCAACAAACTTTCACAGTTATTTTGATCATTTCATTAAGTTTCTTTTATAAAATATTTTTACCAAATTCAATTATATATACTTTCAATATGAGTATAGTATTGTATTTATATTACTATTATAATTTATGTTTTTAACAACTAATTAATCATTATTCTTAATATAACTCTTACTATATGTTATTTATTAAAGTTAAAAATTTAATACTCGTTTATTTAGGTCATAAATTAAAATATTACCTGATAATTAAAATTAATAATGAGAGTACATTTCATTGTTATAAATGTTCAATAGCGTTCTTTTCTTACACTTCCATTGTAACCTTTTAAGCGATTTCAACATTGTATTATTTTACTGAGAATTGTAAAAAAAACTAAAATTACCTCTATGTCTATGACTACTGTTGTAGTGCAAGTCACGGCTTCTGCTTCTCTTTCGTTCTCTGTCATAACGGTCAGATTTTCTATTTATACAATAGTTATTAAATTTGAATTGAATTTTGTTTTATAAGATTTAAAACAAAATGTAATGATTTTTTTTTTTACTACTTTTATTTTAATTTTATATTGTTTAAGTATTTAATTTTTATTGTTACTTAATAAAGTGAGTGATTTTAATAAATGTACTAAAAATTAATTTAAATAAACTGCTAATTAGCTTCAGCATTACATAGATATTATATGAAACATATATATTATAAGAATACTATTTTTAATTATATAAAAATCATTACTTTTTGATAAAAAATTCTAAATGATAAAATTTTGATAATTGAATATTTGTCTTACCTATCACTTTTATGGTGGGAACGATCTCTAGAACTTCGATCTGTTCTAGATCTTCTTTCATGATCACGACTATGTCTATCTTTATCTTTAGAAGTACTCCTAGAAATTAATAAAAATGAATAACTACACTTTAAAATGCAGAGTAAAAATTTATTACCTAGTACGATCTAGTCGCTTTTTTCTTTCTTCTTCTCGTTGTTTTTCTCTTTCTTGCACATACTTTTTCCTTTGTTCTTGAATTTCATTTACAGCATTTTTTAATCTAGCATATCCCATGTGTTGTTTACCCATTAAATGGTCATCTATACGTGACTGAGCATCTCCAACAATTAAAAATGCCCCACAGACTTCACATACTTCCATTTGTTTTTCTTGAGCAGCAGCTAGTTCATAGGTCTACATTCAATTATTTAAATTAGTTATTTGATCTTAAAATTGTTTTGATTTTAAATATTTTCTTGTATTTTAAATAATACCTGTGACCAATGAATACTTTCATTTTGTTTCCTTAATGTATCTCGTTCTTCTTTGAGTTGGTCACAAAGTTTCATAAGACCTTGTGCTTCTTCTACATGTCCACTAATACCCATTTGTTCAGCTTCTTGCACTAACCCATTAATTTTTTCAGATAATAGTTTAATTTGGTCCTGGTTTTTTTGACTTTGAGTGTTTGAATGAGTTACTGGCTATCAATATAAAATAATTAATTAAATTATTATTATTTTAAATAAAAATAATTAACACCAATTAATTTGACTAAAAAGAGTAAAGTTATTTTCAAAAAACACCAAATTTGAAAAAATTTAGACAGTGGTTTCCATTAATATTATAGCAATAGCCATAAAAATAAATCTAACATATTTCTACTATCTTATCACACATGATTTGACATGCTTCAATAATTTAAAAAAAATAAAATAATCACCATAAATATAAATGTTAAAATAAAAAAATTGTTCAACAACTCTTTTATTAAAAAAAAACCCAAGAATTATAGCTTTTCTTTTTTTAAGTTAACTGATTATTATTATTTATAATTTACAATGATCTTTATTGTTGTCTTTAAAAATATACATACAATAATTAGAATCTCTTTAATTAAAAATGAATTCAATTATTTGTTTAAGAATATAAATATATGTAAATAATTGATAAGATTTGCATATTTAAAAAAATATATTTGATTATTTTTGTTAAATTATAATTTTTGCAACTTTTTTATTATATTATACGGGGATAATTTCACAAATTATCTCTTAAATAAATACCATACACAACTTTATATTATCTAAACTTATTTTTATATATAAAATTAAAAGTAATAAATTGGGGCTATTAGTTAATGATGTACCTCGAAAACCTTTGATGTGGTTAAGATTCGAGGCCGTTAGCACCAGGTCCACAACCAACATACAGCTCCAATCATGATCTGCTTTTTAAAAATAACCTATAGAAGATGCTAATTACTTTTAGGGGTAAATGAAATAATTAATTTCATTTAAAAAATAAAATTACAATAATAATAATTACAATAAAAGATGATACTAAAAAGTGTAAAAATATTGAATTAAATTTGTTTAAACTTACATTATGTTACCATGGTGTATTTATGATAAAATTAAAAAAAAAAAAAAATACTAACCGTTTCAGTTTTATTCATAAGCTCCAACCTTTGTTTGCCTTTTTCTATACGTCTTTCAACATCATTTAGTAAACTAGTTGCAAAACCAACAAATTCATCTTCATACTGCATCTTAGATCGACTACTGGCTTCAGCATATTGATTTTTAGCTTCTTCACAATGAACTTTTGGACATGCTCCAAGATCAGCACGAGTATTCACAAATAAATCATGAGGACAAAATTTAACCATGAAGTATTTACAAAACTAAAAATATAAATTACAATAAAATTAATATTCATTGAAAAATATTAAGTATAATCTAGAAATGTTTTAGTTAAATTTACTTAATTAAGTGTGAGTAGTGAATTAAGTAAATTCATAGTAAGCTGCAATTCAGTTTTAGTGGACAAAATAGAAACCAATTTATCTATTCAATGAGGGAGTATGCAGCATTTAGTTTAAAATTAAAAATAACTCATTGATTTCTAAATAAAGGACACACCCAAAATTAAGAGGACTCAATGCACATAATCATTTAAGTCAAAAATAAATTAATTAATCTATGTCTTCGATCAATGAGTTATATTAATTCCATAAGCAAAAGTAAGTAGTGACCTACACACCGTTTTTCACATGTCAAACAATGATTTTTGTTTCAAAAACTTCAAGCTTTTGGTGGAGGATAGTAGGTTTAATTGGTCTACATCTGATAACAATTTTAATTTTAATGGAATAATATTAAATAAGTGTCCACTTTTTATGAAATATCATTTAAACTGGCTAATAAATATAACTTCGAATACGATGACTCAATTACAATTTCACTTATAAAAAAATACAAAGAGTGAAATATAGTTAATGAGTTATACCAAGTAAATCATAAACAAAATAATTGTCTGTTGAAGAATCCAAAATTAAAGATTTGTGCTTACTATGCAAAACTGGGCTCATACTTGTAGTAACTTAACACTCAAACTATGAAAACCTATCTAAGTTAAAATCTTGAAATATTGTAATAAAATATATCATAATATTAACTAGTATATTAGGCGGCTATTTAATTCAGTCAGGAAAACATTGTGCCTCGATACATATACCAAGGTTTGATTTTGTAAAACTGGGTTATGTGGATTTTCAAGTCCTTTCTGGTACAAGTAATAGTTTTAAAGAGAGGAGTTAAATATAAAAAGTTAATAAAATTAAATATATATATATATATATATATGTAAGGTTTTTAATTACATGCACATTTTATTTTTTTCACAACAATAATCTTGATGATTATTGCCATTAAAAAGTAATTTAGTAAATAATAACAAATTCTAGCTATACTTGAACAATTGAATAAAAATAAATGTTTATTTTAGATTTCATAAATCAAAATAACTGTGCATATCGTTGTACAACCATGTGTGTGTGTGTATGTGTGCGCGCGCGCTAAAGAATGCAAAATACTTTAACTTTTTGGCTTATTTTATATTTTTTGAAGATGACAAGTAAAACAATTAGAAAGAGAGCAGTTTTAAATATCTAGGTGTCACAATTAATAACCATGAGAAATTGAAACAACTGCCTCAAATAAGTGCTATTAAAGTCTATCAAAAATAACTAACAACCAAAGAAGATGAGGAATAAATAACTACCCTTAAAGAAAGAATACTAAGGAGAACACACGGGCCAAAATCGAATAGTATAACCCAACAATGTGAGATAAGAAACAATATGGAATTACTTCAACTAAACAAAAAGTCTGGTATAGAAGGAACAATAAGAAATCATATGGGTTGGTCACATGTGTGACAATTAAACAGTTTTGATAAAAGCAATACTAAAATGGAAACCTAAAGGAAAAAAACCACTATGAAGATCAAAATAAATGCGAATAGATTGATTTGAAAAGAATCTAGTGGAAGTTGGATTTTAAGATGGAGAAAAAGTTGCACAGGATAGGAATAGATGCAAGCAGATATATATTGAGGTAATGCATCATATGACCTTAGAAAAAATTAAAAATATAGTACAAAATGGTCATCAAAAATTGTTAAGCAATTAGGTTTTTTGAATATTAATTATAATAATTTTATCTACACTATAATGTACACTGAATGTATGTCAATGTATAATAAGCAATAAACACTACAAAAATATCATAAGTATTAAATTGTTTAAAAATTAATGAATAAAAATTAATATTTATAAGGACTTATAGTAAACTTTATGATAAGATAATTGTTAACATGAAGACTTCGAATTTATTTAAAAATTACAATAAATATATATCAACAGATGTTAAATATAAAATTGTTTTTGAACTTAAGTTTTTTTTTTTAAACTAAATAATTTACAAGAAATATTTAAAAACTTTATTAGAATGAAATAATGATTGAAAAATAAAATTTTACCTCTGAATCTTCCCAGTGAACAGGCTTCTTTTGAGCGTTAGGTCCATCATTTCGATTGCGACCCATGAGTTCGTCAAGTAACGCGGCTGCTGCAGATACGGCCATTCTAATTGTTTATGATACTACTAATAACGAATTTTATAGTAAAAACAAATTTAAGGATGCATAAATTTAACATAAAGGGGAACTTTTCAGAAAACAAAATGATTGACTACAACTTTTCACAATTATTAACGACAAGATAACGGATAGCATGGATATAATGATTATATTTTGAAATAAGAAATACAATGAAAAATAAAAACACCATGGACGTATAAATGAATAAACTTTTGAATAAATTTGATAAGAGGATACCATTATGGTATCGCGAGTTTGAGCTTCTCCACTAGTAGCGCTGTTGACGAATATAAATAATAAATGCAGTAAGGTAAAGTCTAATGTCTAGATACACGTTTATAATAAATAAACTATAATTTATCTGGAGGTCGATTTATCCACCATGATTAATCTATAATCGTTACTGAACACAAAAACTTTTCAGGTGATTTTATTACACTTTTTCATAGAAGGAAAATTTTGAAGTAACAACACTACCTACTATTTTACTTGTATTTTGCCGGTACTCCCACTCCGTTTTTTTAATTTTGTATTCCAAAAACATGTTTGCCGCTAAAGCACACTGCTTGCCTAGTATTCTCCCTTTTACGGAATTTATATAACAAAACCGGATCGCACTTTACACTCTACCATACAGCTTTGTATGGTATTTATAGATTTGAAGAAAGCGTATGATAAAGTGCCGAGAGAGGTTCTAAAGTGGTCATTAATGAGAAAAAGAGTCCCGAAAAGATACATTAATATAATAGAGGATATGTATGATGACACTTGTACTAAAGTAAAAAATGTGGAAGGAGTAACGGAAGGTATTAGGGTAAGAGTATGAGTGCATCAGGGTTCTGCTTTAAACCCTTACTTATTTTCTTTAATGATGGATGAAATTATTAGAGAAATACAAGGTGAGGTACCGTAGTGCATGTTGTTTACTAACGATATAGTGTTAATAGGAGAAAATAGAGAGAAAATTAATCAAAAGCTGTGAAAATCACCTCTTGAAGAAAAGGGTTTAAGAATAAGTAGGAGTAAGACAAAGTATATAGAGTACGAGTTTGATAAAGGAGAACACGAGGAAGGTGAAATAAGGAGACCAATGAAAATAGGCGAGGACTTAATTGAAGAGGTGGAAAGTTTCAAGTATTTAGGATCAGTTGTGCAAAAAAGCGGTGGTATTGACGAGGATGTAAGACAGTATTAAGTGCAGTTGGTTAAAGTGGAGAGAAGCGTCTGGTGTCTTATGCGATAAAAAAATTCCAATGAGGCTGAAAGATAAATTCTACAAGACTGTAGCGAGGCCAGCTATGATGTATGGTTCGGAGTATTGGGCGGTTGATAAGAAAGTAGAGCAGAGAATGAGTGTAGCAGAGATGAAAATGCTTAGATGGATGAGTGAAGTGTTTAGAGAAGATAGGATAAGAAATGAACATATAAGAAGGAGTATAGGTGTAGCGTCAATCGTGGATAAGACGAGAGAACCTACTTAGTTGGTTTGGTCATGTCATGAGAAGCCGTAAGCAAAGTTGTAGAAATGAATGTTGAAGGAAGAAGAGGTAGAGGAAAACCAAAAAATAGATGGTGAAATGTTATTAAATGCAATATGAGAACATCTGATGTGAGCGTAGAGGATGTGGGTGATCGTGTCAAGTGGAAGTTTAGGATAAGGGTGGCCGACCTCAAATAGTTGGGATTACGGCAAAGAAGAAGAAGAAGAAGATATTTAGAACGATTTAATGTAAAAAAAATGTTTAAAAGATATTTTATTATTTATAAGGTATATCCGATCAACTTGTCTAGTCAAGAAGAAAAATTTGCATGGAAATTATGTTTTTTAAGTAATTTTTTTTTGTTTCTAGTCTATATCTATAAATAAAGTATAAATAATATTTCAAAATTTAAATTTTTTAAAATTTGTTATTATTTAGTTTATTATTATAACAAACCTATGGTATAAAATACGTGGTATGGTATGTTTAAGAAATTATAGATAATACTTTTGTTGCATTTTTTATCAAACCTTTATAAGTGACATAATTATGAATGACTAAAAAGTATATGACTTAAGAAACGGTGAAGTGAATTCTTAAAGTAAACTTTCGTGTATTATAAAGTATTACAATAATTTAATTTCCTAATTATAAATGTAATTTATTAATGATATTATGGAAGAATCTAGTGTACAATTGCCAGGAAGTGCAACTTTAGTATTGCAATCTGAATCAGTAGATAATCAACCTATTCATTTAAAGTTAAGAAAACCAAAAAACAATCACAAACAAGTTAGTTGGGATGTGCATACCGTAGATAATGAAAATATGAACAAAAAAAAGAGTAAATGCTGTTGCATTTATGAAAAGCCTAAAAAATTTGGAGATGGTGATGATGATGATGATAATGACGATGATGAATGTGACAGTTGTATGGGTAAGAAAAAAACACATTTTCTTCACAAATTAGAAGCTGTAAACGAAGAACAAAAAGATACTATATGATATATGTAATATAAATTAAGCTTGTAATTATAAATTATTTGTAAATAAGGTAGCTATTTGAGTTATCCAGTTTATCATAATAATAATAGTAATATACTTTATTTTTAAATTAAATTGTTTTCATTTTTTTTTTACATAAATAATAAAAAAACTTTCATATTCTTTTCAACATTTTACAACCTTTTTTTATTATATTAATACTCTTTTATAGTTATGCTCAACACATTAGGAAAAGTGAATATATATCAACTAAAATAATTATCTGATAAATTTTGGTAACTGAGAGAGAAATTTCTTAAAATAAATTTGGTTGGTTTGGGTATTATACAAAGTTAACACTTTACATGTATATGATTGATATAAAAATAAAAAAATCTATGGTTTTAAAATACCTTACCAAAAAGTCATTACTGGTATTAGAATTAGTAAGAGAATGTAATCAATTTTATTTAGATAAGAATTATAAATTTAAGTATTGTATACCATACAATTTACCATTTTTCAAAAGATAGAAATATTTATATTATTTCTTTGAAAAATAGACAAATTTTCTTATTGAATGTCCTTGTAAATTTATATACTCCAAGACTTGTAATTCACAATTCATTGTTTCAAATTATCAAATGATATTGTACTATGCAGATCTCTCTTCATTTTTATCGATTATTTGAATATTGGGATAAATGTTTCCTTAACAAATTCTTTAGTTAATTTTAAAATATGTATTAATTCATTATTGGCCTTTAAATATCTCTGCTAAAATAACTTAGAACATTTTTTACTGGTTTTGTTTAATTTATTTTTATGAATTGGTTTTTCAACTTATAGACAGTTAAATATTTTTTTAGGTCCATCTCTTATCCCTTAAAGGGATAAGTATGTTACAGGATACCAGCTAATGTTTTTTAAATAACAAGATACATATTTAACTAGCTTATATTTTAGAAAATGTCAGGAAACAATGGTTCAATAAAAACTTTTAAATCAGTATTATGTAAATTAACAACACTTTAATATATTGACTGGGGGTTATACTATTTTCATCATTACACATTTCTCTGTTGTATTACTCTTACAATCCAGAGAAAAAAATTACCATAACTCCTGAACTACTAATTCAAAAGTTGTTAAAAACCAACTATTTTCTAATATTTAACAAAGTTGAACATGTATGTTGGCATTAAAAAAAATAAAGTTATTACCCTAATAAGGAATGGACATAAAAAATATTTAACCACTTATAAATTGAGAAATAAATACTACTTAACTAAGCCAAGATATTTTTTTTAACATATTATTTTATAAGAAATCCAATGGTCAGTGATAAATCAATCACTCTGTATAATAGATGATGAATAATGATATTAAATTATTAATGTAATATCAGGGATAAAAAATTATTAACTAAATGTTAGAAAGAATTAATTAACTGACTTAAAAAATTACTGATCCTAAATTAAGCTATAAAATGAGCTGAAGAAAAGACCAAGATATTTTCTAAATTATTCAGAACGTAACTTTTTACAATTTAAATGACACCATTGAACAAGCAAACAATTATAAGATCTATAGATAGTTATGTAAAAATCATTTAATATGCATATATTTATTATTGTCATAAGTAACAAAAAAACTATATTGTTACAACTTACAACTTAATACAATAATTAAAAAAATGAACACAATAAAAGATATAAAATATAATTAACTATAACAATAATATAAAAACTGGTTAAAATTTCATCAATATTATTTAAAATATGTTTTATTTTCTGAATAAACACATTCTGATTAAATGTAAAAATAATGGTAATATATTATATTTGGAATGTAATATTACTTGAGTACATCTAATACACCCCCAACTAATTTCAACGATCCAGTAACTAGTATTTGAAACTGTAAATCATTATTGGAGGAGGATAGTTGAGAAACAAAATTAATTGTCTGTTGAATTGAACCTAACACTTCAACATTGCAACATTTAACAGTACCTTTTATTTGTTGACATCTTTCTAACTCTTCTTTATAATCACAATTCACATCAATTGTATCTAAAATAGAAGATAACTTACTTAGTGATTATGTAATTAGGAGGAACTTATTTAAAAAAGTTGTGAATAAATAGAGTATTGATGCATAAATAATGAGATTTTATTTTGTTGCACAAATATGAATCACAAATAAGTTAAATTGAGTCTCTCAAATACAAAATTTAGTTTTTTGAGAGAACAATGAATTCATGGCATTTGAGAAAATTATAATATTTGTAATATAAATACAAAACTTAAGATACAGTATTTTGAAACAAAATAAATTTTAATATATAAACCTACAAGTATAATATGTAAAATAACTAATGAACCTTGTAGATATCTTTATTAACTTTAATCGTAAAAAAAAAAAAATACAAAAATTTCCTGAGATTCTAAATCAATAGTGTATTTATTATCTAAAATAGTATATAATATACTTCTTGGATATTCATGATTTATGTTAATATTTTTTATGCAAATCTCAATACAATAATGTCATATTACATTAATAAAAAAAAATTGAGATAAATATTCACAAATTAGTAGTTAGTTTTCAATTAATTGTGTATACATATGAACTGTCTTATCAAAAAGAAGTATACCTGGACGATTTTCATTTAAGTAGGTAACAATAGGACATAGAATGACTAAATCTATTCTATTTTCACTCAACAAAATCTTTAAAAATGTTTCATAATCTCTTTTTCCAGTAACATTAAATATTAATATATTTTTTGTTTTCCTAAAATTAAAAATAGTTCAACTAAAATTTAAAACAACATAGTATTATGCTATACTAAAAAAAACAGTAACTGTAAAATAAATAATTGAGAAGCTATTATAATTGGTTATATACTTTTGTTATAAAAAATTAGGTGATTATTTAATTAATCACTAACTTGCTAGATGGATCAATAAGTTGAGTAAACCACTTTTTACATAATTCAATACTTTCAACTGTATGAGCACCATCCAAATAATAGGTCAAATTAGGTGCTTTACATAAAACTTGATTTCTACCAGGCCATTTGAAGTTTTCAAATACATGTAAGTCATTAGAAGTTAATTTCCACACAGGTGCTTGTTTAATTCCTTGTGATCCAATTTTGCACTTATTTGTTAACTCTAAAATAAATAAAAAGCTACTAAAAAACTGTATTACATGGGATATTTAGTTAGTATTTTGAACCCAGTAAATTTATTACTTCAGTTTTATTAATAACCAAAGTTCAATTTCATAAAAATTTTTGATTTAAAGTTTTTCCCCTTTACATGAATTAAAATGATTAAGGATCATAATAACTTCTTTAATGAAGGACACCCAATTATTAAAAATAAAACTAAAAAAAATGTAAAATCCAATTACCAAGCTTAATACTTTTGTTTAATTCAAGAATAGAATGAAAATATTGTTCCAGAAGTTATAATTTAATTCAAAACCATTTTAAAAATGTTTTTACAAAGATGTTTTAAAACTAATTATGATAGCTGAAATATAAAAAAAATCTTTATAATATGACCAATACTAGTGAAATCAAATGTTATTAAACATGTTTATATAGTTAGATTTAAAACCTTAGAGATTTACATACAACTTTAATATTGACAATTTTTATGTTTTATAACTATATAAAGTATTATAGGCTATTAGAATAACTCTGTAAATTTATCTTTCCGTAAATGTATATTATATTAACTAAATTTATTAGTTTAATAACCTTACTAAGATGCACAAATTTAATAACATACTAACCATTAAATTTATGTCGATTGATCCAAAAATTAACAAGTTGAATAGCTAATGAAGCATTTATTTCTTGAATAGGACTGTATTTCCCAAATTGTTTAATATTTTTATAACATTCATAAGTGTTAAATGGTGGTGATTCAAACAATATTGTCTTGAACAAAAAATGTATTTTCTTTATTAATATTAATAAAAAATATTTTAATTACATTTATTAAATAAAAGTAATGTTTACAAGTTGACATAAGCGTTTTTAAATGAAGATTAAAACAAAATACATGATACTGATTATCTACAATTATGAGCATTCTCATGTGGGGTATATGAGAAATAGAAACTGTCATGATGAAAATGTGTTTTAGAGGTAGTGGGAAATTTACTTAAATCCTTCCCCTAACACATAACCTTGAGAACACTACTTCAGCAAAAAAACCAAAAATAATAGTTGAAATACATATTAATACACATCATTCTATATAAATACTTACCAAATTTACTTATTGTGCATTAAGTATAGATTATAAATAAATTATATAACAAATTTATAGTTAAGGATTTAAACAATGCATATTAAATCCAAAAGATTATATATCACAATTTTATTAAGTTTGTTTTATGCACATCAAACCTTTTATTTAAATAATACACTATTAAAATTAAAATTTTATTTGCTCTCCTAAAAAATTGCTAAATATATATATATCAGCTCTAGGAAAATAACCATAGTTTTTACAAAGTAATTCAATAAAATAAATAAAACTAATTAATTTTTTACCTGTTTTTCAATGCTGCGATTAATAATTGTTTTGTAGGTCTCATAAGGTTGATTATTAGCAATTATTGTTACAGAATGGGGTTTCATTATACCACATTTTTGCCATGCAATATCTGATAATGTGTTGCCTAAAACATTGGTGTGATCAAAACCAAGAGAAGAAATTCCTACAACCGGTACTTTTCTATTATAAACCAATGGTGATAAAAATATAACAAATAATAATTTTTAGAGTGTTGGTAAAACTTAAATTACATACCTTAGAATATTAGTATAGTCATATTCTCCACCAACACCAGTTTCAATAATTGCAACATCAACTTTTTCATTCAAAAATATTTTTATTGCCATGATAGTAAGAAACATAGAATAAGAAGGTTTTTCTTCTGCATTGTTCTAGAATGATAGCATTATTATATCTGATAATTAAATTTATGATTGTTTATAACTAATTAATACTTAAATTTATTTAAAAATTAATATTTTATAATGACGATTAATAAGAGTCAGAATAATATTATTTAAAAATAAACAAAATGATGCTAATTTCTTTCAAAAAGTTTAAAATCTTATACAATTTAAAAAACCAGTGAATACTATAAAACTATTCTTTTAAAAAAATATACTGTCTTAAATATTAAAATTTCTCTAAAAATATAGTTTTATAGGCTTAAACAAGATAATTAATTAGTAACTAAATTAATTTTTGATTTATTTTACACTGTATAAATAATTATACATAGTGATTCAAACTCAGTAAAACAATCATTTTTTTAGAAAATATTGAGAATTTAAATGTTTGTAAAGAGAAAAAATATTAGGTTTAAGAAACTCTAAATAACAAATAGAAGAATAATTTTATTATATTCCTTTATAGATTAGAAAATTTTTTTTTATTGTATGCCTATTAGCTTCGATGCGAAGCTGAGAAGGTATTAATTTTACTATGTTTTTTTTTTTTATGTCTGTTGCCACTTTTTCTCAGCTCTCACTGGACCGATTTCTTTCCATGATACGTCAAAAGATCACAAATTGTATCTAGTTGAAGACATTACTCTTAAAAATTAAAAAAAATTCCCTCGTTCCCTGTAAATGGGGGAGATATCCAAAACAATTACAAATTTATAAATTGGTAAATTTTGTCATTTTTTTCACTTTTTTTTCTTAAAACTTCCATAACTTTTTCAAAAATAAATAAATCAACATAATTTTTTTTTATACTAAAACCTTAGATATTTCCCTTTCATTTGATATCATTTTTTTGAAAATCTAACACTTAACCTGCTCATTGGGGGGGATTTAAAATAGCAACTTTTTTACAAAAACTAACTTTTTCAAATTAATTTTTGAAAATGTTCCGGAAATACTGCGTCCTTTAAACATATATCAAATTAAAGCTTATTTTATGTACTATAAAATGAAAAAAAAAAAATTTGTCCTGACGACCTATCTTCTATGCGCAAATGGCTACCGTATTCAAAAATATGCCATTTTTCTATTAAAATTCTAGGTTTTGTATTTTATTTTATTTTAAAATATCTTATTAGGAGAATATATTGACTTACATGAATATTATATAATTTAATTGACATAGAATAAAGTTTATAAGACATAAGAAATTAAACTTATTAATTTTTTTTTACTTTTTTTAAAGTCGAAAAAGTAATTTTTAAATTTGAGTTAGCTTAAATAGCCAATTTTTTAGCTTCGATGCGAATTTTTTTATATGTAAATACTAATTTTTAATAATATTAAAACTTAGAAGTGATAGAAAAAGTCTAATTGCAGATTTGAAAACATCGCGAAAAGTTGATTTAGAATGGTATATTTTTGTTACTGATGAAAGTTTCTTGTAGTTCTGTGCATTTATTTATAGTAACAAACAGTTTTTATTGAATTTTATTGTATCAAGCCCTTTAAAGTTTTATACACGTAAAAATAAAGCAAAATACAACTTCTTTATTATTTTTATAATTTCTGTTTAAATTACAATATTAAATTATTGAATATCAATTTCATACTAAATTTAATAATTATAATTAGTATTTATTCATATATTATATTTTAAAATCAAAGAACTACTAATTACGATATAATCAAAGAAATAAGAGTTGATGTTGCTTTTGGAATAATCTACCAATTTCTTAAAATCAAACATTATCTACAGATTTGCATCGAAGCATTTCTTATGATAGTAATTTTAATCACTGTCAAATATCAACTATAATTGTCCCATCTATGCCTTGTCTACACTGTGCCTCGACCCCACTGTGCTACCGTTTTTTTAACTTGATAATATGATAAAAAAAAAAAAAATACTAATAATTTTGATCTTATAATTTTTTTTTATCCAATGTGAGGCTTTTTTCTGTTACATAGGAGGGTATGTATACACCAGTTAAGTTTCCAGTCTAGTTAATTATGAAGGGATAAAAAAAAAATTATATAACTATGTATTATTGTAGTTCTTAAGAGCTAATATTTTTTCTCTTTAAAAATATAAAATTCTTAAAGGTGTCTGAGAAAATTAATGTCTTATAAAATTTGAATAAAATAAACTTGAAATAATTATTAAATTTTTTAAATTATGTTGTATAAATGACCTTTTTTTCTTGAAAAAAATTCTTGTTGTAAAATTAATTATTAAACAATAATAAAAAACATCTAAATTCATTAATCAATATATCAATATTTATTAACCATTATAATTTAGCAAATAATTACTTAACAATATCCTTTTATATTCTTTTTGTTATACGTAAAAAAAACTTATTGAATATAATACAATTTTCTTTGTAGTCAAGTTTTAATAACTATATTATTTTGTTTTACATCTGTATACAAACTTATTATTCAATTGGTTATAACTTATTTGATTTGTTATGTATTTTATTCTCTTGATATAGGATATTCTCATATTTAACGTATGTACCATTTAAAATAATATATAGATGGTAGTTGTATTATTCTTATTTAGATAAGACCAAAGCAACAAATTAGATATGTTTATATTAAGATAATTAGATCACCCTTTATTTATCTATTCACTTAATTTCATTAAATTATAAAAAATGTTATTCTCTAATATATTGCTCAGTCATTTAAACTACAAAACATCTAAAAAACCTGTAATTTTCAGTTGTCTCAATCAGAATGTCTTAATTAATAATATAAAAAACGGTAGCACAGTGGGGTCGCGGCATAGTGGAGACATTGCATAGTAGGGTCCAGTATAGATTTAATCTGACAGTGATTAAAATCACTATCATAAGAAACGCTTCGATGCAAATCTGTAGATAGTGTTTAATTTTAAAAAATTGATGGATAATTGCAAAAGCAACATCAACTTCTATTAAAATAAAATACAAAACCCATAATTATCATACAAAAATAGTATATTTTTCAATATGGTAGCCATTTGCGTATAGAAGATAGATCGTCGGGACAAATTTTTTTTTTTCATTTTGTAGTACATAAAATAAGCTTTAATTTTATATATGTTTAAAGGACGCAGTATTTCCGGAACATTTTCAAAAATTAAGTTGAAAAAGTTATTTTTTGTAAAAAAGTTACTATTTTAAATCCTCCCAGTGAGCAGAATAAGTGTTAGATTTTCAAAAAAAATTATATCAAATGAAAGGGAAATATCTAAGGTTTCAATACAAAAAAATATTATTTTTATTTGTTCATTTTTGAAAAAGTTATGGCAGTTTTAAGTACAAAAAACATCCCGATAAAATGTAATTTTTATCGCAAACATTACATTTTTTTTTAAATTTTCGACAGCCATTTGCACATAGAAGATAAGATGTCGGGACAAATTTTTTTTTTTCATTTGATAGTATATAACATAACCTTTGATTTGATATATGTTTAAAGGACGCAGTATTTCCGGAACATTTTCAAAAGTTCAGTTGAAAAAGATCTATGTTTTTTACAATATTTTAAGTTTTGAACGCCCCCTATATAAGGGGAAATTGTCCAATTTTAATAAAAAGTATGTCAAATGAAAGATGTACTTATAATGTATTTAGAAAAAAAAAATTTGTGCTGATATATACATTTTTCAAAAAGTTATAGCATTTTTAAGTTGAAAATTTAAAATCGAAAATCGAAAATTTTAACACAAAAATAGTGTTTTTTTAACTACGGCAGCCGTTTAAATGTAGAAAAAAAAGTGTCGGGACAAATTTTTTTTTTTCATTTTGTAGTACATAAAATAAGCTTTAATTTGATATATGTTTAAAGGACGCAGTCTTTCCGGAACATTTTCAAAAATTAAGTTGAAAAAATTAATTTTTGTAAAAAAGTTGCCATTTTAAATCCCCCCCAATGAGCAGGTTAAGTGATAGATTTTCAAAAAAATGATATCAAATGAAAGGTAAATATCTAAGGTTTTAGTATAAAAAAAAATTATGTTGATTTGTTGATTTTTCAAAAAGTTATGGAAGTTTTAAGAAAAAAAAGTGAAAAAATTTCGAAAATTAGCGATTTTTAAATTTGTAATTTTTTTGGATATTTCCCCCATTTGCGGGGAACGAGGGAATTTTTTTCAATTTTTAAGGGTAATGTCTTCAACTAGATACGATTTGTGATCTTTTGACGTATTTTTGAAAGAAATCGGTCCAGTGAGAGCTGAGAAAAAGTGGCAACAGACATAAAAAAAAAAAAAAAAAAAAAAAAACACATCATAGTAAAATTAATACCTTCTCCGCTTCGCATCGAAGCTAAAAAAAATTAAATATTGTATACTTATAATCTAAAATTTATATATTCCAGTATTGTTGTCATAATGACAACTTAATATTTAGCTGCTTGAGAGCAATTATTTATTTTTAATATAAAGAACTTTAAATTTGTTTAATTTATCACTAGAGATATTAAGTTTTTAGAGATAGTGTGTTCTTAAAATGAGTGAGTAATATATACTTTACTCCTTCAAATGTTTACATACTTGTTTGAATTTTTGTATTATACTATTGTAGATATTCCAAAAGTATAACACAAACATATCTTCAGAAATATATTTGCCATCAATCCTGAATCTCTCAGTAACAGTGATCAAATGTGGAGAGGTAAGTAAACCCGTGCGATAACCTTTTTTTAGTAATAACTGTTCACATAATACACACGTTGAACCTTTGCCTTTAGTGCCAGCTACATGAATAACTGAAAGTTGGTCTAATTCTTGACTGCTAACACTGCATCTGTTTTATTAAAATCTTCAGAATAATTAGCAAAATCACTCATTTATAAAAAATTGAAAAACTAAAAAAATACTCAAATTATACCTATAAAGCATTGATTTCATAAACTGTAATTTGGATTTTCCTGGATGCTTAGATAATTTTCCAGTGAAGCTTTGGAGAGAATTAAGAACTTTAACAGTAGCCTATACAAAAATTTAAAATTATTTAAATTATACTTTTTAAAATTTTTTACATAAAATGCTAACATAAGAAACCCTATAAATTATTAGAGGCAATCCTATAGGGGCTGTAAAGGATGAATCACTCCTAATGCAAAATGTTGACATTTTTTTGCAAAAGTAAATATATCGCCTTTTTTAGAATTTAAAAATAAAAATATAGATCTTTAAAATACAGAATTTTAGTTTCAAATTTTTGGTTTGCAATTTTCATTAAAAAAATGTATTGACTAAAAATAAAATCTTCATTGAAAAAGAAATGCAGAATTCAAAAAAGTAAGTTAGCAAACAACCTCCTATTCTAGAAAAATTTTTATGACCACCTCTTGACCCTACAATATTATTTAAGAGCTAAATAATTTTAAGTGTAAGGTTTATCTTTTTAAATTTGCTTTTTTATTTATTTGATGACATAAGATGAATATTCTTAAGTATAATGATCATAATAAATATTTTTTTAAATAAGAAGACAGTTAAATGGGGACAAAAAATTTTTCTAGATTTATTCCTAATAATACTAAAATTACATAGATAATTATCTTACTTCATAGGAAGGTGGTGTTGTTTTGTTCATTGTAGTTAAATTATTTCGTTTGATACTATTAAAGGCTGAACTAAAAAAATTTAATACATGTATATTTTTAATCATGCCTTAAGAAAAAAAAAAGTTAAATCAATTTCAATGTAAAAAATTCAAATTAAATTAAATAACATTAATCAGTTCCAAAAAATTGTGAATGTAGAATTAGCAGTATGTAGTAATAAATTAAAGGCATGTGTCCCATTGAGTAATATAGAGACAACATTTCTTATCACGACTGAGAAGTTAGCAATTTCTAATCAGTTATAACTAAAACATACACCGCTAGAGGTCGCCACATAGTTAAAAAATGTTATATTGTACTTTTGACAGGTCCTAGACCAGCCCAAGCAATAATTATACACCACAATTAAGCTAATAAAATTACCTATCGAATGGCATAAGTCATAAATGGCTCTTGAATGTAAAAGTAACCTCTATAAGAGAAATTGGTGGGCCATATCACCAAATAGCCGGGTGAACCCTGTTACTATATAACGACGCTTCGGTACAAAAAAATAATAAATTCAGCTTTTTCAAAATTAAGTTTGTTTTATACTACAAGTTCAAACAAAAATTTTGTCCGAGATACCTATTTACTAAGTGTAAATGACTGCCGTAGTTATAAAAAATGCTATTTTCGTGTGTCAAATTTTATTTTTACTTTAAAATATCTTATAAGGGTGTATCATACTAAATTTAAACTAATTTTGATTATTTTGTCTCCTCGAAGTTAAAAAAAAAAAAGATGCTTTAAATTTATGTACTAGTTTATACTGTCATTTTTAGCAACAAAATTAAGTAGTGCATAGTGGCTGAGTTGGACCCGTCGAAAGAAATTTTTTCTTAATTATTTTTGAGGTAGACATAAAATTTATAGTTCGTTTATTTTTTATCTCATTCAGATTGTATAACTTCAATGAATATAAAGAAAACTAACACTGTAGTCTCCTATTGTGAAAGAAAATCTTTATTCATATTAAAATATTTTACTATATGGATTTTTTTTTGGGTCTGCCATTCATTTTTCTCAGCTCTCATATGATCAATTTTTTTAAACAATACGTCAAATGTTCACAACTTTTGTTTAGTTTTAGATATTACCATCAAAACTTGAAAATGATTTCCCCCTATCAAATAAAAAATTTCTAAATCAATTTTCTAATAAACAATTAATTTTTAATGTGTTTAAAGTATACAGAGTGGCCCACCACTCACTGACAACTTAAATAACTTTTGATCCAGTNTATACAGGGTGGCCCACCACTCACTGACAACTTAAATAACTTTTGATCCAGTTAATATTTTTAGCTGATTTTTTTTTTAAATAATAGTTATACGTTAGGTCTATAGCTATATCTCAATTTTATTAAAAATATTAATTATTTTTAAATTTTAAATAAAAAGTAAAAAAAAATCTAAGATAGCTATTTTGTATAGTAGAATTTAAGAAAAATTTTAGTAAAAAAATATCTTATTAATATTCAATAGTAAATATAATTTTGCAGGAAATATTTTGGAATGATTTATTTTTAATTTTAGAGAAATTCGAGGGGGTTATTTCAAAATTCCTTCAATTTTGGAAAAAAAAAAAATAACGAGGTCCTATTTTACACTTTACCAGGATACTCGCCCATATATTACTATGGTTCGAAAGATTTACACTCTGTATGTATACACACAAATTTGGGAAGTGAGCTTGAAGAATAACTGAAATTTTAATAAATATAGTTTAAAAAACTAAAAAAACACGCTTTTAAAGTACATCGAACTAAAAAGTTAAAAATAATTTTTAAAATAATTATGAACAAAAAATACTAGTATTATTGTGATAAAAGCGTCGGGCGCTCAATATACGAAAAATATGGCACAAAGCACCCACGCTTTTATCACAATAATACTAGTATTTTTTGTTCATAATTATTTTAAAAATTATTTTTAACTTTTTAGTTCGATGTACTTTAAAAGCGTGTTTTTTTAGTTTTTTAAACTATATTTATTTTATACTTTTTAGTTTCATGTTATGATAGTAGTTACTATCAATATCATGGTTGTTACGGGTAACGGGAAATCAGGGTTCGATTCTGGGGAGGGAGTCTGAGAAACGGCTACCACATCCAAGGAAAGCAGCAGGCGCGTAAATTACTCACTCCCGGAACGTGGAGGTAGTGACGAAAAATGACGATACGGAAATCATCCCTCGTAATCGGAATGAATACTTTATATCTCTTAATTAGAATAAATCGTGTTAATATATTAATTTTAATAGTAATTAGAATATATATATTTATACAAATAATGCGACTTAACTACGTAAAAGTATCATGCACTAAGTATAGCTGTGTTTTATGGCCGGGCGGGTCGGACTAACGTTATACCCGAGGTATAAACGGCGGTAGGAATATATATATATATACGTAAGGCGCATTAGACGCGGGCGTTATTGGTCAGTCAAAATAAAAATTTGTTTACATATATATAATATTGATGACAAGCACGCGTGTACGGGTACGATAACTAAAAATAAATTTTTATAGGAATAGTGTACCGTCGTATTGTGAGCGAGGCGTGGGGAGGGGTGAATGCGTATAACAGTCTAGTCTAGACAACGGAATATGCGATAACGCGTGGCGTTTGGAGAGTTACAAACTTACAAACAACAAACAACAAACAACAACAAACATACACGTGAAACTAATAAAAGCGTGTTAATAAAGGACACCCTAACAGAGACTAAAGAAAATGGTTATCAAAAACATTAAAATATATAATAGTAGACCCTTTATTTATTAAACGTTTCTTGTAGACAATAATGTCGACAGATATCTATTAATAGAANATCATGAGTGACGGCGAAATGTCCTAGACCGGCTGAACCTTGTCAATCGGGTATTCTATTATACAGAGTGTTCAGTAAGTCAGGAAACGGGTTTCTATTGTTCTCATTGTTTGTAACAATGAGAACAATAGAAACCCGTTTCCTGACTTACTGAACACCCTGTATACTAGAATACCCGATTGACAAGGTTCAGCCGGTCTAGGACATTTCGCCGTCACTCATGATATATAAATTTATTATTAACTCCTTTTCGAAAAATTATAATTATTTTAGCCTAATCCTTCATTGCACAAGTACATAAAATCCAGTATAATGATAAAAAATTTTTTATTTATATAATGTCACAAATTATTTAAATTTAATTTGTACTTAATTTAATTATTAAAATTAAATGTTATCATAATTATAATATTAATTGATATTCTTTCATTCAAACTATTAATACTGTTGAAGTATAGTATGCTCTTATTTATTTGTATATATAATAATAAAGTGATATGTATCATAAATTAGCAAATACCAGTTTTTGCAAATTTTGTATATTAACACGCTTATATTAGTTTCACCTATATGTATGTATCTATGTATGTTTGTAACTCTCCAAACGCCACGCGTTATCGCATATTCCGTCGTCTAGACTAGACTTTCAACGCATTCACCCCATCCCACGCCTCGCTCAATACACGCCGGCAATACTATTCCTGTATAAATTTATTTTTGGTTATCGTACCCGTACACGCGTGCTTGTCATCAATATTATATATAATAAACAAATTTTTATTTTGACTGACCATTATCATCCGCGTGCATACGGCTTACGTATTTATTCCTACCGCCGTTTATACCTCAGGTTTTACGTTAGTCCGACACGCCCGCCTACAAAAACGGCTATACCTAATGCATGATACGTTTACGTACTTAAGTCGCTTTACATGTTTATATATATTCTAATTACTATTAAAAATTATATATTAACACACTTTATTCTTATTTAAACATATAAAACTCATTCATTCCGATTACAAAGGATGAATCCAGTATCGTCATTTTTCGTCACTACCTCCATGTTCCGGGAGTGGGTAATTTACGCGCCTGCTGCTTTCCTTGGATGTGGTAGCTGTTTCTCAGACTCCCTCTCCGGAATCGAACCCTGATTTCCCGATACTCGTTACAACCATGATATTGATAGTAGCTACTATCATAACATAAAACTAAAAAGTGAAAAATAAATATAGTTTAAAAAAACTAAAAAAACACACTTTTAAAGCATATCAAACTAAAAAGTTAAAAATAATTTTTAATTTTTTTTTTTTTTAAATCATTGTTAGTTGAATCTGTTTTATTTATTTATATATTATACTGAAATTAATTATATAAATGTTTATTTTCAGAATTTAAATGATTCAGAAGTCAAAGTGATTTATCTGACTGGGCACCAACTATTAAAAAAGTTTTGGGTAATATTAAAATGTATGATATTTGGTCATTTTGGCCTTGACACCATTTAGAATTAATCAAAATATCAACTATAAATAAATAAAAAAAATTTGAAGTTGTTATGATAAGATGTAGAATATTTAGTGTAAGGTATCCACTTAAAACCTATTAAGAATGGATAATAATATATATAATAATGTATATATTTCTACACAAGATGATGCTTTAAACTGAGTATTCAAAATCATAAGTAAAGTTACACACCAAGTCAAAAATATATTATGATATCATATACAATGCATAGATAATATTATCTATGTATGATCATAGACAAGTTTTTTAATAAGAATCTTTTAAATAATTAGTATTTGAGTAAAAATGTATACTATAATTTTTTAATTTAAATAAAATGTATTGCTTTAAATAAGCTTGAAACTTGTATTACTAGAGTTATATATTTTTTTATTGTTTTTTATTATTACAATAATCAAATAAATAAAACATAATAAATATGGCTTTAAACATTTTACGGACTTTAATTTTAACGGACTCGAACTAAAATTACCACTGCAAACTCGGTGACTCTACGACCAATAGCCACCGAGTAATAAACTATCCAAAATTCGGGGTTTTGATTATTATATTGGGGAAACTTGCCTGAATACCACTAATCAGTTGCTACCGGTCCGACTCGGTTAATGAATGTACTCATTTTTATTAATTTACTAGATGTTTAGTAAAGGTATAATTTAATCACTCGTTAACTCAACTTTTTGTCGGTATTAAAATAATTTGTACTTAACAAATTAATTTACGGATATAACAATTCTGCCTTGAAGTATAGTATAATTTTATATTTTAAATAATCAAAATACTACTGGATAGCCTAATAAAGTTCGTTTATTACGACTTAAATTATGTTTTAATTAATTGTAATTAATTGAATTTTTACACACTATTAATCATCTACACTATTGGAAAATTGTTATATTAATGTAATTTGCAACCATATATTCGCTGAATTCTATATACAATTTACTTAATAAATTGATTCGAATTTAATGAATATTAATAATATGCATTATTTCTTTCAACCATATAAATAAATGTTATTAAGTTAATATTTGTTATAAATAAAAATAATGCTTTATTTTTCATTATCAATCAAAATTATAATCAGTTAATATGTTCTTTTTGGACAGCCATCTAGTGGTGAATGCTAACACCAAAGTGACTCAGAAGGGGGTTGAATTTTCTTCAGTAACTCATCCTAACGTCGCCTCTATGGTTCGGCTTGGCGGGAATAAGATTAATTGTATGATAATAAAGTAATAAAAAGTTGTTATCTAAGATATCCATGACCTATGTGGTCATGAATAATAACCAGTAATGATGAAACCTTATCATAATACAGAAACTAAATCTGTAAATTTAAACTATATCAGTAAGTATTAATCATAAATAATATTATACACAACTATAATGAGTCATGAGAATAAAAATTATTCATTTAAATTGTTTATGAAATATAAAAAAAGCACCTTGGTAGTTTTATGAGAACGTTTGATAAGGCATCGTCACTTATCTATTCTTATCTATACATATATAAATATAGCTCTCTAATTATGTATGCTCTAAAACTAATTAAAATATTGCAACTCTAGTTAATGTCAAGTTTATTTAATTAATAAATATTTTAATTATATGATATGGTTTAAAGTATTTGTTTAATTTTTAATTATTTAAACAACAAAATATCTTAACATTTAATTTAATAAAAATGTTTATGATATTATATTTTATCTTAGAATACAGTAGCTGGTGATTTCGTTTGCAATGATATTGTCTCTGTAATTAATATAGTTAGTAACCTAATAAATTATGTATCAATTATAACATTTGGTCTTGGACAATATTAATTTTTTAAGTTTTAATACACTAAAATATTTCATAAATTATAATTCATTTAATTAGTTAACTTTAAAAAATAGGAAAATTTATAATACTTTTTTTTATTAATATATATAATCGAAAAAAATAATATTAATATTTTTTTTATTGGTTTATTAGTCCAATGTTTTTCTCAATGTATTAAACTGAAAAAGATTTTTATGTTCATCCCTTTTATCCTTTAAGATTGTCGACTTCAATTTTTCAAATGACTACATACATAATTAAGTAGCTTAGTTATGAGATAATGATCTATGAAGAAATTTATTGGTCTTAAGGACCAGTTTTTAGGAAGTTAACATATTTATATCTATTTTAGATAAAGAGTATGGCTGTGAAATGTCTAATTTTAAAATTGCAGCATCCAATCTTCATATCCAGTCATTACTTTAGATTATTAAAAACTCCTGAAAGGTTGAAAAGTTGTTATCAACTAAATTTAACAATTTAAAGTAATGAATGTAGATTAAAAGTGAGTGCTGCTATTTTTATAACAAACCAAACATTTCCCACCCATACTCTTCCTTTCACCTAGTTATAAATATGTCAATAATTTCTGATAAAGTGGTTCAAAAGCTGTTATTTTCTTAATAAGATCATTATCTATTAAATAAGCTAGTTATTTAAGGTTGTTACCATTAAAAAATAAAATTTGACACCATTTTAAGTCATAAAAGATGAACATACAATATTTTTACTATTAATATATTGAGAAAAACATTAAACTAAAAAAATCCTATAAAATATTCTATAACTTGTTTTAATAATCGTCATTATCAGGTCACAGTTAAAACATGAAATAAACAAACACATTGATACAGATAAAAAAATAAATGAAATAACAACAGAAAACATTATATAATTTTTTACTTATTATTTTCTTTATTTAATTATTTACAGTCATTCATATATTTATTTTGTAACTAATATTATGATTATTTTCCAAAACGAGATTGGTAAACAGAGTTGGAATTATTTTTTTTTTATTTAATTTCTGAAATAAGCTATTTATATCTAATTAAAATTTTTCAGATTGTTTTTTAAATATAAAAATTTCCACAACTACAATTCAACATAAAAATACCACTATTATTAAAATTATTACTTTGATTTATAAATTGTCTTTATTTACTATTAGTTTGTTAAATTAAATTATTATTAGTCTTTTAAGCTATCCGATAAGTTATTATAATATTTTACGTAACAAAAACTTTATAATTTGATATAGGTCTATTTTTAAATACATTCATTTTTATTGATTAATGTATTTTGTTTACAGTATTTATTTCAAAATTAATTTTATAAACAATAATGATATTAAGCTCTTGCTGGTAATTAATACTATTTATAGAAATTCTTTTTAGCCTATAAAACATTTAGTTTAAGAAAGATTTATTTTGTATGATAATAATCTTCCTACAACAAGAGAAATACCATTTTACCATTTGATTATCGAGAATCAAATATGTTTTTGTACATATTCTTTATATAATAAATTGAAATTTATTTTTGATAATAATAATAGTGAGATCACAAAAATTAATTTTGTTATTGAATTGTGTTTTTAAAGTAAATTAATTATTTTTATTAATTTGATTAAATGAGATGACCATATTTCAGCTATTATCTCTAAATAAAATAATGTTTCATCTTTATATTTAAATTAAGCTTTAATAAATTTATGATAAGTATTAGAAATTTCATAATGTGCATATAAACCTTAGATACATTTTTTTCCAGTTGTCATATTTGAATTTGAAAACTTTTTGGCTAATCACATGTCAGTTTTTTAAGTGTTGAGCAAAAAAAAAAAAATATTATTTATGTTTAAATGTTGTTCTCATTTTTTGTCCACCTTAAACACTGAACTACTGCTCCTATTTATTATTTATAGATTTTTGATTGTGTAAAATGGAATTTTGACACATATAATCATATTATGAAAAAGTTAAATATTTATTTAGATTAAAATATACCTTTTTAAACTTTTAGGATAACTTTGATAGTGATGTTAGTGTACGTTTATTACTATTAATATGAGTCCATTAGTTCGTAATAGAATTTTCATCTGCAATTAATTAACTTAGTATCAAAGTTTTAAATATATAAACTTCTATTCATATCATTAAAAAAATATATCATCACAATTTATAATTATTTTTCTTTTTCAGTTTTTTCTAATTTTTTATCAAAATTTTTACTATGAATAAAAAAAAAAAAATTATTAAGAGAGGTGATGTGATTTTGGAAGATAAACCATTTGTTCATGCTCTGAAATCATTGTTCAAAAATGAAAAATGTGATTACTGTTATTCAGCGTAAGTAATAATATTATTTTATTGTTTTTAAGTAATACTAATAAAATATAAAATTTAGTGAAAACTTATCTAGATGCTCAGGTTGTCAATATGTTCTTTATTGTAACCGTATTTGTCAAAAATTATCCTGGATAGAACATAAACATGAATGTTGTAAAATGAGAAAAATATTTCCAAAAGTATTACCTGATGCTGCTAGAATTATGTCTAAAATAATAATTAAGTTAAGAGTAATTACTTCAAATTTAATTTAATTTATATAATACTATTGTTTTTACTAACATACTTTCAATAAATTTTTCTTTTTTTTTTATTATATGTTTAGAATGGAGGACTTATTCAAAAAAGTTATTATGCACCAAATCGTTCTAGGACTTTTCAAGATATGATGTCACGTAAATATAAAAATTATTTTTAATTTACATTTACATTTTTTTACTTCTATATTTAGATTATCCTGAACTTAAAAAAGATAAACAACGGTTAGATCATTTTAACTCACTTTTTGAAGTATTAAAAAACTATATGGGGGAGTCTGGTTTACCAAACACTGTTGAGTTACTTGGAATTTATGGTCGTGTAAGTAAAAATCACCATTAAAATCTTTAAATTTTTTTGTTTCTATTGAGATACTTTGAAGGTCTAAAATTAAAGATATGTATCTACCAATTTCTTACTTTTCAGGAGAACAAAATTAAATTTTCATTTTCCATTTAAGTTAATGGAAAAATATTATTTCTTCTTATTCCATTCAATATAATTGTTAGTGCATCATTTTCACATTAAAAATATTTTTTATATCAGTTAAAATAGATTTAAACAGTATATTTAATAACTTACTTTTTAAATAGTCTAATAATCGAAAAATCTCATTAATATATTTAGCATTTTTTCTTTAAATGAAAAAACCTAATTATCTGTGAAAGTCAAGTATATATTTTTAGAAAAAAAGATGTAATATTTTTATTTTTATTTAATGATTAAAAATATATATTAAATTAGTTAATATTTAGAGTTATTCTGTTATCATGACTACTCATTTACTTCCAAAATAATATTTATATAAATCAACTTTTAAGTATTATTTTGATCCGTATACATATGTATACTTTTTAGGAGTGTCAACTTTAGATTTTTAGATGAAGTGTTTAGATTATTACATACATTTTTTACCACAAATTTTTTTAAAATATTTGAATTGCCATTGATTTTTAAAATTTTAAAATTTTTAAAATACATCAAATGTTTTGGACATGATATCCAAATATCCCCATCTTTTCTAAAACCAATACAAAGTTACCTAAGAGAATTTAAATTGCAATTGAGTAAAATAAAAATTTTGATTACTTTTCAGATGTGTATTAATGCATTTAATATACTAGATAATAATTTAAATACAGTTGGTACTGGAATCTATCTAGCTGCATCAGTGTTAAATCATTCATGCACACCTAATGCTACTGCTACATTTGATGGAACTACCTTGAGAATTCGTGCTTTAATGGATATTGAACCGTCTGATCCAGAATTAGTAATTAAACATATTTTTACTGTATTATATGTATTAATATGTAATTCTAAAATAGCATGTATATATATCATATTTGGAGCTTATGCAAACAACCAGTGAGAGAAGATGTGAACTTCAAAAAAATTATTATTTTATTTGTGAATGTCAACGATGTACAAACGACAACGAACAAAATTTTGTTAATTCTATGATTTGTCCTAATATAAAATGTCAAGAAGGAATCCCCATGGAACTTAATAAACCAAATGTATATTTAAATTTTTGTTTATAATTTAATAGATTTTCATTTTTTATAATTAATAAAAATGAATAGGTTTTGGATACTGTGACATGTTCTAAATGTTTATTAAAAGTTGATGATAGAATAGTTGAAGAATTTTACAATGTGACAGAATTCACTAATTTTCAACTTCAAAAAATGAAAGATATTGGGTGTATCCTTTTTATAGTTTTATATTATTTTAATAAATGTACCTATACAGTGAAATATTTTATGCAAATACCTATATAATTGATATATTTAATTTCAAATGAATGCTCCAAAACATTTTTAGCAAACACCAAATAATTGTAAAAAGAATTTTTGGGTCTATCTAACCTTTATAATTTTTAAATGACACATTTTAATTAAAAAAAAAGTGAAACTTAAGAAATAAATTCATCTTGGTGATAATATTAAAAGAAAAGACTAACAAGTAAATTGTTTGACTTATTTCAAAAATAATGTTTTTTTTTAATGTTTAGAAAATATTATATTAAAACAATTTCCTATTTTATAATCAGACTTAGATATTTGTAAAATGTGTTTAAAAAAACAAAATGGAATCTTTCATCCAAACAACATACACCATGTCAAAATATTAGATTTAGCATTTGAAAGTGCAATAAAAATGGAATTATGGTCTGAAAGTTTAAAATTTGGAATTAAACTAATTGAAGGATATAAGTAATTCATATGAAATTCTATTTACAAATTTTAACAAGTTTTTCTAAATGTGGAACTTATTATAGTTCTAGATGATTAAATTATAATATATGTTGAATTTATTTTTTAATTCTTAAAAAAATGTAGATAACCTTTCTTTTTTTTTAAATGTATAAATTTTTTTTAGAGTTTACTATGGTAATTATCATCCATCTTTGGGTATTTTACTAATGAAGCTATTTAAGTTATGTTCAATTGTTGAAAATGCAGAAACAGCTGTCCAATATTTGAAAAAAGGAATGTCAGTTCTAAAAATTACTCATGGCGAAGATCACTCTTTGTACATTAATGAAGTTGTTCCTTATTCTAAAGAGTTGAGTCAATTTTTTTAACTGTATGATTAAAAAAATTAAATATAGATATACTAATAAAATATTTTTATTTATATTTATTTATGTATTCATGTATTTACACATAATTATTATTTTTTATTACAATTATATTTTATAGAACTCAGTATGTACTGTCATCTATTAAGTTACATTTTGCTACGATTTCTAAAGATAAAAATAATACATTATATTTTTCTCTAACGATAGACCAACTTTTATCCTTGAGTAGTTCAGTTTAAAAAACTTCTTGCTAGAAAAGAATCGTAATGATCCAATTAAGCTAAATTCCTAAGTTAGATCTAAAGAATCTGTTTTAATAAAATAAATTTACTTTTTAAATTACAAAAGCCTATAAACCTAAAACCCTTTGAAAATATCTTTTACCTTTTAAAGGTATATTTGATTTAAAAAATATATATTATATTATAATAAAGTAACAAATATATAATTTTTCCTCATTTTTTACTATTAGAAATTTAAAATTAAATCTAATTTTATAATTGGGAAATTAGTAGATTAATTTTTTTCATCTCAATTTCGAAGTGTGAATTAGATATTCGTATACCTTTTACCTATTAATATTATGATTGCATTCCAGAGTTAAAAAGTGGCATAATCTTTTATTTTTCCCAACTTAAAATAATTAGTTTATATCTATATTAAAAATGTACTGCATATTATATTTTTTTTTATTAATTTTCAACTAAATACAACTAATTTTTATTCTAAAATCACTAGTTAAACACTGTCTTAAACATTTTACTATAAGTACTATATACACCATTAGTGTAAGTACCCAACCCTCTAAAAATTCATGAAAAATGAGTATGTATTATTATGTAAATATTTTTTTTTAATAAGAAGATTGAATATAGACTGCTTTTCAATAAAAGTGCACTTATCCTAAGAATACAAATAGTAGAAAAGCCAGTAACGTATTTAAGAATTTGTTATAGAGATCTTCGTCTTTTTTCACCTTCGAATACATTATTTTTGAGTCGACGAGGGTCCAGATCTCAAGGACATAGTAAATACAGTGCTGAGTAGTACAAGGTACTTATGAAATATAAATTTTAGAGTAACCATACTTAATATTAACTAGGATATTCATCATATATATATATATTTGTTAGTATAGCTTAAACATTTTTAATTTTTGTTCGAATGTATATATATATATATATGCTTATGTAATTACACTCTTTGACATGGTTTTAGTTCTATTATGATTATTCATGAAAATTTATGTTTGACAATTTTACAATTGTTATATATATATATTTAATTGATTTTAAATCCCCCCCTGTGGGCAGGTAAAGGGTCAGATATAAAAAAAAAATATACCAAATGAAAGGTAATGATATCATGCATCTATATAAAAAAAAATTATATTGATTTGGTTATTTTTAAAAAATTAAAGTAATTTTAAGTAAAAAAAATTGAAAAAATTTCGAAAATTAGCGATTTTTAAATTTGTAATTTTTTTGGAGGTTTCCCCCATTTACGGGGAACGAGGGAATTTTTTTCAATTTTTGAGGGTAATGTCTTCGACTAGATACGATTTGTGATCTTTTGACGTATCATTGAAAGAAATCGGTTCGGTGAGAGCTGAGAAAAAGTGGTAACAGACACAAAAAAAAAAACACATCTTAGTAAAACCAATACCTTTTCAGTTTCGCATCGAAGCTAAAAATATATAAAATCGAGAATTTTAACACAAAAATAGCATATGGTAGCCATTTTCACCATTAAGACAAAATATAGTTTGACATTTTTTTTTCATTGTTAAGTATATTACATAAGATTTAATTTATGATATATATAAAAGTGTCAGTATTTCCAAAACATTTTCAAAAACTAAGTTTAAAAAGTTAATTTTTTATAGATAAGTTATCATTTTGGATCCCCTGTGGGCAAGTGAAGGGTCAGATTTTCAAAAAATATATACCAAACGGTAGGTAAATATCTAATGTATCTATAAAAAAAAATTGTTTCTATTCATCTAATTTTCAAAAAGTTATGGCAGTTTTAAATAAAAAATGTTGAAAATTACTGATTTTTCAAGTTATATTTTTTACGGAGATTTATGAAATTTTTTTCAATTTTTGAGGACAATTTCTTCAACTAGATACGATTTGTAATATTTTGATGTAAGGTTAAACAAAATCGGCATAGTGGCATAGCTAATAATAAGTGGTAATGGACATTGACAAAAAAAATAATAAACACATCATAGTAAAATTAATACCTTCTTAGCTTCGCATTGAGGCTAAGAGGTATAATAAAAATAAAATCGAAAAGCGTATTAAATGATTTTGTTTTATATTTTAGTTATATGGTTTTGGTGATTGGCCAAGTACAAAATTCAAAAGCAAAGTCACACCGTCGTAAAACAATCGGTTCTTAAACCCAGAATTGGTTTATTAAAAATTTAAATATAAAATAACAATTATATGGCGAATAATTTTGCAAATTATTTGTTTGCCTATTCTATTATAAAATTTAAATATATAAAATTTTCAATATGGGTAAAAATTTGTCAACAAATTTTGTACTATATATATTTAACATTTTCGTCCTTTAATATACTTAAGATAACTGTCTTTGTTTTAAATTGTAAATTGGAATAATATTATTCCATAATACTAATTATTATTATCATTATCATTTAATTACTATTTAAATAAATCATATTTTTACTTGGATACTTTTTAATTTTTTATTACATTTATAAAATCAAATAATTTTATATGGACTTTTTTTTTCATTTTCCGACAACCAATATTTGTTTTTGGTATTATTCAAAGTATTCTATTTATAAATGTTGCAATAATTTCTTTTTAAATTTCTTAAATATTTTTTTACTGAGGATTAAATATTTGATTATATTAATTATAATTTAGCTCAGTACACGAGAAAATTAATACTCCTTTTTTTTGCAATTTTGAAATCACGGAGTTAACGAATATAAACAACATGAAGTCACAAAATTGTCAGGGAGTTTATTAGCTGGCTATTTAAGGATTAAACAAAATTTTTTGACGCAAATCACGACAAATTTTAATAGTATTATTCTTATACTCTCAATGCTGCGCTCCTTTACCGTTAGATAGCGACGCTCTTTATTTGAATTCCAAGTCGAGCTGTCACGTCACGGCACCAATACGACTTAGATACCAAGCGACGTTGTGCAAAGACTGTCTCTCGAATGTGACACGCTATCCTTTGCGGTTAGCTTTTACCACCTTCTCTAGGTCGTGCTACAAACCCTTGGTTTCCAAAACGAGATTATCGATATATATCTTGTGGTTGATAAATCCACCTTGGTGATTGTATTAGATATTCTCAGATAACATAACTATGTATCTTTATCAATATCTGATTATCAATTAATACACTTTTAGATAAGAAGGTAGTGAGAAAATTTTAATCCATAATGTTAAATTGTCTTGAGTAATAGGTGACTAATGTTGTTATTTAGTTACACAACTGTGTTTTATGACCAGTGATTGTTAATTTTGTTATTAATTCGCATTATAAAATATTGCTACTGTTAGTTGTTAATAATTCTCACTTTGGTCAATATGTAGCAATTTTAAATAGAGAAAAAAATGTTTAGATAAAATTTCAGGTAGCTGTACAATCAATTTGTTTGAAATTTGCGATATTTAGATAATGAATGTAATATGAGTTGGTTCAAACGAACTAAAGGTTTTGAAAAAATAGATGATTTTGATTTATCAGCATGCTTTGACAGCTTCAATAAGCATTGGCAACAAACATTTGAAATTATTGATAGAATTCAAGTAAGTAAAATTAAAGAAATAATTACAATAAATAACTATTTGATGATTCTTTAGAAATTTGTTTTTATAAAGTAAATTAATATATCTTTTAATTTAAGTAATTTCTACTTTATTCATAATATAACTGGGATTTTTTTAGACAACAAAAGGAGTGATTAAATATGATGATATTTCAGCAGTTATAAATCATTTAAACCAGTTAGTTAAATTATTACTTCTGGATGTACAATCAGCTAATTCAACCAATCAGTCACCATGTTTAGAATATTTTTTAAATAATCAGTTATTAGGAAAATTATATTCATGGAGTTTAAAAACAGATAGGTGATGATATTTTATTTTATTACACGATTATAATTTATTGAATTATGTGTATGTTATCTATGTTTTGATAAATTGCACAGCAATAAGATTTAAATAACTGAAAAAAATATTAAAATCATGTTTAAGGCGATAACAGATTCTGGAGGATTGGGTGATAATCATAGTTAGAAGGCAAATATCTTTTCAAAAAATTAGTTTATCAAAAATGGCCCCGGTAGAAATGTTGACGCTATTGTCATGATTAATTTAACATATTTACCATCTAACTCTAATAATACTATCCTCGGAATCTTTAATTGTTTAAAACTTATCTGCTGCATCATAATATAGTATTTTGATGATGCCGGTTAAATATATCAATAGTTATTAGTATTCTATTCAAAAATTATTTTAATTTAAAATTAATATAATTCAATATAAATTAATATTCAATAAATTTTCTTTATTATTTGAACAGATACAAAAGTTATTTAAAAGCTGAGCTACTTAAAATTTACAGTATTTTATTAACAGAATTCAGAGGTTATAATATTCTTCTTGATGACTCTATATTAAATCCATTACTTCTAATATTAAATTCATGTGATGGTGATTCTTTATCAGTGACAAATGAAAAACATTTAGTGACTGTTTTAAGACAATTTTGTATTCTTCTTTCTCATCACTCCAATATAATAAATAGTATATTGAAAAATAATTTTAACAAAAGCTCTAAGTAAGTTAGTTATTATTTAAAATGTTGAAGATTTTATACAAAAAAATTGTATTTTATCTTTACAGATGTATTGTTCTTTCATTACTAATGTCATTTATTCATCGTGATGGTTCAATTGGGGAAGAAGCTCGTGATGCTTTATTAATTTTTGTTTCTCTATCACGTAGCAATGAAATGTTAGCTAATACTTTAACATTAAAATCAAATGTCAGTCCTGTGTTGGCTACTGGTTTAAGTGCTTTATATTCTGTGTTACCACGGAAATTAGATTTTGAAAATGATACATATAGATTAACTCCAGAAAACATTGAAGATGTCCCAGAACTTAGTAATTTTTTGGCTTCTGTAGAATTATGTAATGCTGTTGCCAAAATATGTCATAAAACAGTACACGATCAACTTTTGGATTATTTATATCATGGATTTCTTTTACCAGTTGTTGCTCCAGCATTAATGCAGGTAATAATATAAAATTATATAATTATAATATTCAATGATAATAGTTTAAATTTCAATATAAAGTTTAAATATATAAAGTAAAGAAAAAAAAATGTTTGTTTCACCTTGTCAGTTCTTCCTGTGTTTCACTATGAATATATTTAAGGAGAAAAAATGAATTAATTAAATTTACTAGGAACATCTATTTATTGCCTAATATTTTTTTAACACATCATCATTATTCTTGTTTTACAATCCAGAGAAATTTGTAAGTTATTTTTAAAACGGCATTAGGCTTCTTGAATGAATTAGCTTCAAACACTTTATATTATAAAAATTGATCAATTGTGGCTTATATGGTTTAAAATTAAATTTATATTAAAAATACTAGTTTAATACTAAAAAATATTAAAAATATTTAGCTCAAATAGCTACAAAAACCGCTAAAAAATTCCAGATACGTATTATGCAAACAATGATACAGTCAACATTAAATACATACTATGTTAGTTTTATTTTTAAATTTCTAATTAATGATATGTGAATTAAATCTTAACCATTATCTCAAATTTATTTAATGTAATATATTACATTATTAATAAAACATTATTATTTGTCTAGGAAATCGAAAGTAATTGTAGTAATTCTCAGGTTCTAAGGGTAAAATTATTATTTCATACTGAATTGTTAAATGTAGCATGTAATTTTTTTGCATCATAGAACTGCATGGTTAAACTCTTTAATTTTTTTTGGTTCAGTTTTGAATGAGGTAAAATAATTTTCTTTAGATATATCTTTCAACATTTATAAATATGACAAGACACAAATTGTGTATATTTTTTTAAATTATATATAATTTACAGTTTTATTATTCTTGATATTTTTTATTTCTATTTAAAATTATTATATATCCTATTAGTTTTCATTATGAGATTAATATCTGTCTATATCTATATCATAACTCACAAAATTAATAAAATATTGAGAAAAAATTTGGTTTTTTTTAGTAACATTTATTTATTTATGTATTAGTTATCAACTACTTTTTAATATCATCTCTTATATCTTATATGGATATCAACTTTTTTTAATGGAACAAATACATATTTAATAACTAACTTATTAAAGATTAATCAAGAAGTATATAAGACTAAAAAAACTAAAAATTTTTTCGCAACTTTGTATTTATTTTGAAAGTAATTTTTTAGATTATGATATACAGATCACTCTGTATTATTGAGTTTAATCATTTATTAAAAAAAAAAATTATCTCTCTATAATATTCATTGTAATAAGGATTTAAACATTTTGTGTAAACATTTCTTAGGTGTAAAAAAGTTGTTTTTTACATAATGTTATTTATATTCAATAAAATTTCTTAAACTTCTTATAGATTATAATAAATTATATCTGTACCTGCACATTCAATTTTTTCTGTTAATTACTATAATTTTTTTTTATAAATTTGTATTGTATATAAATATGTAAATATTTCATATTCATATTAATATTGATATGTTTGTGATTTTTCTCTATTTAAAAAGAATGTGTAAACAAAAATCACTTAACATTAATATTTTCATTTTTATATCAGCATTAAATAAATTTTATATTTGCAAATTGAGTATTAAGTAGTTAATATTTGAAACCGCTTGTGTTTTATTTTATTTTTATATTGCTGTCATAAATTTTATATTTTGCCTAATGATAAGAATAGTGGCATAAGTTGATAAAACATATTCAATAGGAAAGATAAAATAAAATGAACAATTTTTTACTCTTTTAATATAAATTAATTATTGATAAGACACTGTAGCAGAAATAATTTACTTAATTAATAGAACTTTCCTAGATTAAAATTTACTGTTTCTTATTCATATCATAAAACTCAGAAAAATAAAAAATAAATTTAGTTGTGTTTCTATTCTTGCTGATAGGTAATATATAACTAGATCATTTAGTTAAATATTTTAAATTTTTAATAAATTTTATTTAAAAATAAAATATTTTAAGGTGGCTGAACAAGAAGTAGCTACGGCAACAGTATATCTAGATTTACTATTTCGAAGTATTACACATCCTGGATTATTACAAACATTTGTTAAATTTATACTTTGTGAAAGATTTGAAAAAGTTAAAATAATTGAATTATTCATTAATCGAATTAATAGTAAATCTCCTAAGGTATTTATTGTTGTTATAAATGTCTTAATTTATTTTTAATTAAGTGAGGATTTTATTGATTTAAAATTATTCTATTTTAATCTAGGTATGTACAGCTACTCTTGCCTTGATGGAAACAATTGTAGATTTAAATTGTGAAGATATCATGTTGGATTTAATACTAAAATATTTAGTACCATGCACTCATATAATGCTTAGCCAACGTTCTCGAATTAAGCAAACAGATATTTATTGTAAATCAGCTGATATATTTTTATCATTAATACCGGATTTATTTGAGTATGTATTTATCTATTATTTACAATTTTCTTTTGTACTTAACATGATCTACTTAATTAATTTAAAAATAAAAATATATTAATCTTTATTTATTTATTTTAATTCAATGGTTTTTTAATTTTTTTAATCATTAAGTTTTTTATTGTAATGTTTTTTGTATAATATTATAAGTTTTATGGTTTATTGGGTGTTTTAAGAATCATTAATGATATATTTTGTTAAATTGTTTGGTGGTTCACTAGCTTCTTTTCAATAAAATATTTAATATGCTTTTTTCAGGTATAAAGATATAAATTCCGAAGTTTTACACCTAGAATATTGTCAGTATTTATACTTTGCTCGTGTTAAGATAGCTGAAAGTGCTCGAGAAACATATAATTGGACATATTTGTATGATGGAGAAAATCCTTCAAATTCAATCAGTATATTGATTTTTAATTTTGCTTTTATTATAGAATTATTAATTTAAATGAGATGATCTAGTACTAAAAGTATAATCACAAAATAGACTTTTTCCAACAAAACTATAAAAAAAAACCCAGCATAGAGGGGTCGCGGCACAGAGTGACGTGGCATAGTTCGATCAAGTACAATGATATCTGATAGTGATTAAAATCACTATATTAAAAAAAACGCTTCGATGCAAATCTTTAGATAGTGTTTAATTTTAAAAAATTGGTGGATTATTCCAAAAGCTACATGATCTCCTATTTCCTTATTTATATCCTGATTAAGATAAAGTATGTCGAATGTAAAAGAGATATAAATATTATTTCTCATAAAAAATTGTATTGATCCATATATTTTTCAAAAAGTTATAGCATTATAAAGTTAAAAATGTAAAATACAAAATCGAGAATATTCACACAAAAATAACATTCGGTAGCCATTTTCACCGTGAAGACAAAATAAAGTCCGAAATTTTTTTTTACCATAATAAAGTATATTACATTAGCTTTAATTTAAGATATATATAAAAGTGTCAGACTTTCCGGAACACTTTCAAAAGTTAAGTTGAAAAAATTAATTTTTTGTGAAAAAGTTGTCATTTTAAATCCACCCTTGTGGGCAGGTAAAGGGTCAGATTTATAAAAAAAATATACCATATAACAGGTAAAGACATCATGCATTTATATAAAAGAAAATTTTTTTTGATTTGTTAATTTTTAAGAAAGTTATAGCAGTTTTAAGTAAAATAAATTGAAAAAATTTTGAAAATAAGCGATTTTAAAATTTGTAAATTTTTTGGAGGTTTCCACCATTTACGAGGAACAAGGAAAATTTTTTCAATTTTTGAGGGTGTTGTCTAGATGTAATGACTAGATACGATTAGTGATCTTTTGACGTATCGTGGAAAGAAATCGGTTTGGTGAGAGCTAAGTAACAGTGGTAACAGATAAAAAAAAACATATCATAGTAAAACCAATAAAAACCCATAAAAAGATTAGTTTTCTGTAGAAATAGTATATATTCTCTTTAGTTATATTTTTATAAAATATATTATATATTTTATATAAATATCTTTTCTATTTATTAGTATGGTATTAAAGTTTTCCTTTTTTTAATATAAAACTTACTATGTATTATTAATAATATAATGGTGTTATTTAATTTTGTTTAGTTGAAAGTAAAACAAGTGACACAGAAATTGATCAGAATAGCATTTTGTCAGCAGATGATAGTTCTAGTGGTTATGAAAGTTTTAAAACTGGAAAAGATGTTGAGAAGTATTTATAATTTATTTTTAACATTCATTTAAAAAAAAGACGGAACATAATAATATAGATAATAAATGTTAAATTTTGTACGATGATAGGCTTTTAAATATCAAATTTATAAGTTTCAATTTTTTGAATTTAATTATAATTAATACTTCAGTGTATTGAATAATTTATTTTAATGAAACAACTTGTATGATTTATAACTTTATTTTTACAGAACAAATGATGAAATGTTATCAAATTCTTCATCTCTGTGTGAAAGTGACTCTCCAACTTATTTTATTCGTCAGTCTTATTACAAAACTAAAGAATCTCATTTACAATATCCTTATTTAGGTAAATATAATTTTACTAAATTATACTTAAATTTGATCACGAAGAAAAAGTACATTAAGGATAGAATAAGATTGTTTAGTTTAGCAGAGATATAAATGCAATTTACATTGTTTGTTTAAAAAAGTAAATAATTTAAAAAAAAGTTCTAGAACGAGAAAATGAAAAAATATTTATTAATTATTTTATATACAGTATATATAGTAAGAAGTTTTTTTTCTCTTATATTTATTAGTTTACAGTATTAAATTTAAAAAGCGTTCTTTCAAAATTTCAATTTTTTATCTCATATCTAATGAAAATTTGTTTGTTCAAACTTGATTTTTATTTAATTTAAATAACACAAGAAAAATTTTAATTTTGTATTAAAAACAATAACTTTTTTACGATTGATATGTTTAGAAAATTCATACTAATTTTGAAAGCTGTTGAAATTAAAATTTAATATTTATTTATTTTGAATAATATGTCTAAAATGCAGAAATGTTTGTTTGAAACCCGTTTACAAGGTCAAAAGAATTGGCTATTGTTGTTTTTATAACTAGTAATTACCTGACTATACTCTTACTCCTCCTAGGTATAATAATGAGAATTATTTTAGAAGTACTGGTCCAAAAATTGATATCAACAAATTATTATATATATTCAGGGTGATTTTTTATCATAAACCACTCAATTACTTACAGAATAAATATAATTTAAACATTTTTTTTTTGTTATCTTTAGTTAAACATTTTTCTTGAATTATTAACTATGCAATACTTTTTAAGTTCACCCTTTATACCTGGTAAGGATGTCAGCTTTGTTTTTTTAAATGGGAACACATATTTTAAATTTAATAAAACATTAGAGTTTAAATTAATAGTAAATGACATTTGAACTTTTAATAACACTTTATTCATTTATTAGATATAAACATTTAAAGTTTTAAATTTTTAAGTTAATATTCATGTATAATACACAAGGGATTACAAATACAGGTAGCTAATTGGTTTTTTATGACATCAATATTCACAGGTACACATTGTTATTATCAATGTTATAAAAAGTATATCTATTGATAGTCATAATTGATAATGAATAATCCATAACTGTGACAGCAATGTTATAAAAGATCAGCTACCTGAATTTGTAATCCTTTGTATATTATACATGTATATTAACTTAAAAATTTAAAACTTTAAATGTTTATATCTAATAAATGAATAAAGTTATATTAAAAATTTAAATGCCATTTACTTTACATTTACATTAATTTAAACTCTAACGTTATATTAAATTTAAAATATTGTTTTCCCATTAAAAAAAACAAAGTTGATACCCTTACCAGGTATAAAGGGTGAACTTAAAAAGTATTACATAGATAATAATTCAAGAAAAATGTGTAACTAAAAATAACTAAAAAAAAAAAAAATGTTTAAATTATATTTATTCTTTAAGTATTTGAGTGGGTTATGATAAAAAAATCACTGTACATATTCTAAGAAAAAATTTTTTAGGTCCTTTTGTTGAAGCATTATTTTCAAAACTAGAAAATTTTCCGGAACAAGATTTTCGAATTAATTTATATTTAACCTCAGTAATGACACGATTAGCAATTTACAATAACCCACTAATTCAATCATTATTACTTAATCACTCAATGATTTTTCAACCTTCTATAAGATCTTTACTTCAGGTAAGCAATTTTTATAAGATATGAAGTTATTAAGTTTATTTTCATAAGAAAAACAATAAAAACATTTTTTAATGAAATTACTAGATTAATAGATGTGTTATTTTTCTGATATAATTGTTATTTAATTTATAGATATTAAGGTCTTTAAAGTACACATTAGAGAGTAAACTACAAGGTAATGTTGAAAAAATGAAATTAGCTGAATTGTTCTTTGTAGAGCGAGACAAAAAGTTCAATTATAATACCCAAGATAGTAGATGTAATATTGAAAAAAATGTTAAATATTTGTCAAGAGGTAAATATAATTCCTTAAAACTGAATTGTGAAATATTTATTGCTATTATAAATATAAATATATAGGAAAATGTAAGGCAAAACTGACACCTTAAGATGCTATAACTTAATTGTTACTAATGAAAGCAATAGAAAAAAAAACAGTATTCAAATAAATATAAAATAAAAACATTTTTGAGCTAAAAAAACTAAAATGAGACTAATTTACATCAGCTATCTTATTTACATCTTATTTTACTTTATTATTATTGATATTTTTATAAGAATTTTTTTTTATTTTTATTCTTAATCTTTAAATGTTACAAAGTACCTACATAGTACTTACATAGTTCAGTATTTAAGAAAACAAGTTTCTATTGTTCTCATTGTTTGTAACAACTGACTTGTTTCCTTACTGAACACTCTGTATAAAAGAAAGTTTAGCTTCCTGCTTAAAAGTAATTTTTTTAATTATTATATTTTAAAACTATATTATATACATTATAATACTATATTTAAATTAAATTAAATTCATGCTAATTTTAGGAGAATCAAAAAGACGTAGTATTTCTGATGCATTTGGAGCTATGTTCCGAAAAAATTTAAGCCAGAAAGAAGCTGTCTTGGAATCTACTAAAAATGGAGGCTATAGGTATGTATTTTTTACAAACTGTTATTTATTTTCATTATTTATTATTTATTGTAATAAAACAATTTTTTTTTTATACAATTAAAAAGATATTATAAAGAAAACGCACCTGAATCTCTAGACTTGCCAATTAATGCAATCATTTTCACTGAATGGTTAAAAGAGCTATCAGCTATTTGTCAAGAACATGCAATTAATTGATAAGATTTCCTAATTTTAATAAAAAATTTTTTACTAAACGTACAAAGTTTGTTGTTTAAACAAACTGAACTATTAGTTCAAAAGTTCTGCTCAAAATTGTTTTTAATATTAGATCTGTTACCTTAGTATTTTATTGGTTGATATATTTATTAAACTAATTTCTTAAATTCTTATAACTGTTAAATATGACTTTTGATAAATGAAATTATTTAAGTGTCAATCCTATAACCGTCCATTAATGGGTTTATCTATTACCATTAAAAAAAATTACTATACATTAATGAAACTTTATTTTATTATTGTTTTTTTATATTATCTCTAAGTTTGTTGAGTTGTTGTATTGTTATTAAAACATGTATGATATAATGATACAAATAAATCTTATAATGTTAAGTTATCTTTTTGATGATTTTGCTTAATAAGTTCCTTAGTAAAAATGTTACCACTTGTTGGTTTTACTTTATGGTTATTGAGCATAATGTTATTTTATAAAAATATAACAGTTTTTATATTAATTATTTTTTGAATTTTTAACCTGTTATCAATGTCTAAAACTTCCATTTTACTTAAAATACTGTGCAACTTTATAAATTCTTAGTTTTATTGTAACTTTATTAAAAACATGTTTTTATGTGTAACGTGGACTGTCTCAGTTATCTTTATAATTGAATCAATTATTTAAAAATTCTTCTAAGGATCAAAATTTAATAAAGTGAATCAAGTTCAATTTTTGAATATTTGTAAACAAATGCATTATTTATTGTAATATAATACTAAATATAAAGATTCAATACTTAAATGGTTGTTGATCAAAGTGTTATTTCTAAATTTTCATAAAATTAACTTGATTTATATTTTAAATTTTAGCACTATGTTAGTTTTTATAATAATCAATTAATTCAGATATAACTGTCATTTACATATATTTAAACTATTTTTAATAAATCATGTAATAATTGTTACTTAAAATTTCTATATATAATTAAAATCATTTTATTTGAAGAACAGTTACGCTAATTTTTGTTATTTGGAGTATTTTGATTAAATGATATGTTGTTAATTTTTATATTTTGCCATTTAGTTATTTTTACTGTAAAATAATAATACTTAGTAGAAAATAAAAACGCTTTGTTAAAATAGTAGATACTAATATGTATTTATAAACATAAAATAAACATTTATTTTTATAACATATACTTATATTACTATTATATTTATTAACAAAATATAGTTGTTTTTATAAAAATATAACTAAATTATAGAATCTTAATTAATCATAACTTTTAATAACATAAAATCATATAAATCTGTGCAACTTGTGCATATATACTATATGTACGTGTATAAATAAGATGGGGAAATTTACTTGTTCATTTAAACTAGCGTGCTAAAAGTGTAGTTTCAGGTAGCGTTTTAAATGCATTAGACGAATTAAATTTAGGACCAAGATATCTAGGTATAGATGATCTGCGTTGTGAAGGTGACTGAACACGGCTATTGTTTGGTGGAGCTGGAGACACAGTTCTATTACACAATGGAGAAGTTCTTACGTTAGACTTTCCTGGAGTTTGACAAGGATCATGTCGAAGTAAGAAGTTTTCTAAAGTGTCCCATCCTCCTCCAACTCGAACCATCATATGAGTCCCTTTCAATAACTAAAATAGAAGTTATAATTAGCAAAAAAATAATAGTTTATTACCTATAGTTATGTATTTTGGAAAATATCTGAAGGCTATATGCTTAAAATACTATGGAGATTTACTATATTTGACCAAGACAACATTTTAAAATTGACCATAAAAATTATTAATGACCTTTATTTTTATTTTTTTTCACAATCTAAAAAATAATTTTAGGTTGCATAATTTTTAAGAATGAATATTTTTATCTTTAGTAACGTAAAATTACATAATTAAAAATTATTAAATTTGTTTTGTGCGTTTGTTTTATATTTGCAAAAAATAACCTTTGGCGCATTAATACTCGAATATTATTTGATATACGTTTGTTAAAAAATATAAAATGCGCAACAAAAGAAGTAAAAAATTTAATTCTAAACAACTTTTTCCTGTAGTTTAAATAACTCGTGTGCATTATTGAAATAAACAAATAAAATAAATTTCAACGATTAAGATAAAAATATGTTGTTTTATTAATTTTAATCTGTAAATATTAAGATACAGTTTTTTTTTGCTAATAACATTTTTTATAGCAAACATTAAGTTCTATAAATTAAATACTATCATTTTTTTTATAAGTAGCATAGTATATAATATAAGTGACAGAAATCGTATGACCCCTCAATTTGTACGAGAATTTTGTGAGAAATACTAAAGTGCAATTAATTTTTATTTTTGGAGTCCCTTGGGGAGTTATTTCAAAACCCTCAATTTTGGAGATAGAAAATAACGAGGCACTATTATACATCCCCCATAATACCCACTCATATATTACTATGGATTATACTGTTACACCTTGTATAAAAAAATTGTTGTATGGGAAAAATATAATTTAGCATCACTAAAATTTTTATTCTAGTTGTGCTTTTGTGCAGACCCAAATGTTAAAAATTTTTATGCTATTCTAGCAATAGTTTATTTATGTAAATCAACAAGTACAAAGCAAACCTGATGATATTTTTCTTAGTATATTGAAATTTTTTTACCCTTATAAAAACGTTCCGTCCATATATACTGTAACGTCCTTCCCCTATTTTTTTTAATTTTAATTTTTTTCCCTGACAATGACAATGAGTGTGAGCTATTCGGCTAGCTTCTTTGACCTGTACAAATTAAACATTATTAAATTAATTAGATCCATAGAATTTTAGTAATATTAAAACCATAGTATAAAACCAACTTTATAGTCAAGTTCATTTAAATGTTGACTTCCGTCTATTACATAATCTTCATCTGTAGTATCTGATTCAGATCTTAATGTTATCATAGATGCTGTACCCAAACTTTCTGTCCTTCTAAGCTTGTTTGTCGACTTAATTGCCATGGGTATAGCACTTATAGAACACCTTAAAAAGACGAAAGTAAGAAATTAAAATTAAATAATTTTATAAATAGAAACATTTTGTTCTTTTTAAACAGTTTTATACAAAAGTAAGATAACTCCATTCTTAAGAATAAGATTAGAGTGACGAATATACAAATGAGCTCTTCATTCATTAAATATAATGTAATTCAGTTATTAAAGTCAATTAATTATACCTATGATGATTATTATTTGGTGTTGAATAGGTAGGTGAAACATAATGATTTATTTGATGACTTCTAGCTTCTTCAGCATCGATTTCTTTTTCCATTTGAACAAGCCCTGGAGGTTCAAGGCCGAAGCGAGATGCTAAGCGAGATACTTCCATTAAACATAAAACAACATTTCGAGGATTGTTCTGCAAAACTATTAAATGTATTTTAAAATACTTTAAGTACAATAAAAAAAAAAAATTAATTCACCGAGTTATTAATGGTCTATTTTATTTTTATTTTTTGATCCTACTTTAATAGCTTCTTCCTGTAGATTTGAAATACTAAAGAGACTTGATTAAAAAAAAGTATTTAAAATGATCTAAAATTAAAAAAATATTAGTTTTTATCAGTTCGTATTGTTTTATATTTCTTTAATAATTTTACAACTATAACATTATTATAATGTTTTAAAGTCCTGATTAGTAATTAAATAATGTCAAAGTCAGATAGGAAAAAAATAAATGTTAGTAACATTCATAAAATAGACCAATTAAAAATTTTAAATAACTATAATTTAAGAAAATATTTTTTATATGGTAAAAAATCTATATAACCCATCAATATAAATAATTTTCTTTTAAATTTATTATATGGACACAAAGCACAGTTAGTACATTTACAGTAAGCAAATTTTAATTTTAAATATATTTAAAATTTTTCATTTAACCTTTCAATGTTAATATATTTTTACGTTTAATACTAAAAGGGTTTGAAACATATTCAATGCAATAGGCAGTTTAATGAAGGAGCAAGTATTTACTTTTATTCATACATAGAAATTTTTTTAAATATAACGTTTGAAAAGACTTAATTTTTTTAATAAGAATTGTTGTACATTATAAATTTTATTATGTTTAACAATATTTGTTTTTATTGTTATCAAATATTTTTGTTTTTTCATTTTTTGATTATATTTTGACAAATTTTTTCGTTTTAAACATTTTAACAAAGCTTAGCAAAATTTGATGCAATCTTTATAAAATGACACGGCCACGGCGTTGTCATCCGTTTGACACGGTCGTGTCCGCTCCTCCACAGCCACCGCACCACTATAAACCAGACCGTTACACATACGCGTTATCGTCGTGATGTAAAGTCCAATAAATGCCTAGAGTCGAATACCAGCCACAATAATACGTCCAGTAGGTTATCTCCGTCACACCTCCAGGTCCGTTTTTCTGATTTTGTAGCGTTTTTCGGGATCCTATCACTACGAATAACGTTAGTTTATCATCTTAGTATTATTATATGATTTAGGTCTTTTCTGTACTTTTATTTTCAATACTTTGTTTTGTTTTTTTTGTAAACTGTGCAATAAATTACGGTTCACGCCAATTAATAATTAAAACCTTCTGTCGTTTAAGTTCTTCAACAACGACCTTTAGCAAAAATTTTAGTTTATTTTTTTTGATATATGTTTTGAAGCTGATTTTGAATATGCCTTTAGTTTTTTTTCTACCATAAATATTTTAGCCCTAATCTGAGTATTTGTATAATTACGATTTTTAAATGTAAAATGTTAATTATTCTTTAATTATATCATGAACATAAGTAATGTAAATTTTGAAATAATTCCGTGAAGTTTCATCTTTGAGAGGACTTTAGAAGTTAAGTTTAACAACAGCATTTTAAAAAAATTTAAAGCTGAACTGTTTTCTTTAATTTTTTTTTATTCGTGTTAATGTTGTTTAATTTATTGTAAACTTTTAATACAGTTTTAAGTTTAAGTTAACCAAATTAATCTATGAAGACTTCGAATAAAACAAATAGTCGTTATTACGATTATTTTCACTCGTTAAGTTTTTTTTCACATTTATAGCGATTATGTCAACTATAAGTAACTCAATAAACAATATTTAAGCATTTTTTGAATCCTCGTAAATTTCCCTATCGATATAATAAATAACAATAATATAAAAATGAATAAATAAAAAAGTTATAAAAACAGTTCTTTACCTCTTTTTTAAAATTCTGTAAAACTCAACTTTTAAAGTACACAGCAAAGTTAAAACTTTATGGAACGATTTTAAAATTTGCCCCAATTATGTACATGATACTGTAAATATAAGTAAATAGTTATAAACATTTTTTTTTTGTCATTTCAATTAACATTTTATGTGAAAAAATCGTAATTTTACAAATACTTAAATTGTGACAGAAAAAAACTAAGGCATACTCAGAATCAGCGCCAATAAACCTAACAGAAACAATAAATTAAAATTTCATAAACATTTTATGACTCAAATTTTGTCGAGCTATGTAATTATAACATTATTTATAACATTTTCTTGCCTTGCTAATAAACGAATAATATAACATTTTTAAATTTATTATAAATGTGTTTCAATGCACCTTTTAGAGTTAAAGTTTAACAGTCAATTTTAATAGATCATGTAGGAAAAGAGAAATTTGATGCTTAAAAAAAGTCTAACAATAATATTTTTTAGATTGTGCCTCATACTTTTTCAATATAATGATTTTATTATTTTCAAAACGTGTAAGAAAATGGTTTCACTATTAAATATAAATTATTAAATTTAGTTAATGACTGTTATATAAAAAAAATATAATAAAATAAAATTGATACCTAGATCATCACTTTCGAACAATAGATGCTGATGTACTCCAAGGCGACGGCAAAATTGTATAAATTTTTCAGTATTATCTCTAGAAAAAAAACTATGTTTTCTCGCAGATTCAAAACATCTAGATGATATTGTTGGTAAATCCTAAAAAATTTTTTATTTATTTTTATTATATTTATAATATAATCAACATATGAATTGTTTAGTTAATGATTTTAAATTATTGCATTATTAAGTATTGTTTTTTTTAATATTGAATTACTAAAATATGATATAATAATAGTTTAATATGCAAGGCCAATTGTAAAAACTCGTTAATTATTTTTTTATTAAAATTATTGATATTTTAATAATTTGATAAAGATTAGTACTGGGGCCTAGATATTGTGATTTAATAATATTAGAACTTAATGCAAAAAAACGTTTTTGCACTTTTTATATTTGTTTTGAAAAGAGGCCTTTTTTCTTTTTATTTATGAAACCAGTTCTTTTAAGCACATAAATCCTATACAATGCATTGATAGCTTTGTCCATTCTCCGAATGGGACTATAAATTAACTTAAATGAGTCACACGATTTTTTTTTATAACTATATCATCATAAGCTTTGATTATTAATGTGTCAAAAAACCCGTTTTGGTAAAATATTTTATAGAGTAGGTTCTGGATTATTTTTATTGTACTTTTTAATTTTCCATGCCTAAGAATATGGTTTTAATTATTTAAATATGGTATAATTAGTTTTACAACTTTATATTCCTCACTCATGAGTCCTACTCATAACTTCTCTTGGTAATATATAAGCTTCTCAAGGGACGTCTTAAAATACCATAGAACACTAGTCAGAGTACTACATCTACGTCTCATTTATACTGATCTGATATATTTAACATTTTAATTTTGGTTTTATAACTATTATATACGTACACCTTGGTAATTTTCTGTAAGTATATATTCCCGTGCAAAATGTTCAATGGTTTTGCCTAATCGGCACAAGACAACACCATTATCCAACATGTCCAGTAGATTATTCACATTCAACCAATCTATTCCTAATAAAAACAAATAATTATTACAACTATTTTCTTAGTTTTATTTTTGTATTATTATATTCAGTGGTGTATAAAGTAGGACACCAAAGGAATAAATGACCTCAGGCAGCAAAATTTAAGTGCAATATCTTAAAAATGATGGATCTTTTATTTTTCGCAAAAAAAAAAAAACTTTTACAATTAAATAAAATTTGATTTAGTGGAATTTTCGAAGGATCATAAATATTTTAAACATACTATCCCAAAGGCAAAAAAATGATAAATACGCTTCCCATTTAATATTGGTAAAGCTAAGCTTGTGCCAAAAATCTCTGCGGATTTTTCAAACCTAAATTCAATCGTTTTAAAAACCTATAAAAAGCCAGTCTGTTCTTTACAAGTTTTATTTTGTAATAAAAACTCTGCCCGTTAAAAAAAAAATTGATAAAACCGTTCAGATAATATGAATTTTCCTAACCCTGCATAATAAAAGCATAAATTTTATTTTATAAAATAATTTTAATTCTTTGAGTATTTTAGTATTGTTATTAATTTTAAAAGAAAAGTTCACTGCAATGAACTTAAACTTGAATTATTTCACTTTTAATATGAATTTTCCCACCATTGTATATTAATTACTCCATGTAGTTAAATGGTTAATTAAAATAACTTCAACATAATTCATGTTAAAATAACATAATTTAAACGAATTTTCTAATTATCATTAACAACATTGTAAAATATTATTAAAATTATCTAGCTAACAAAATAAGTACGCGTGGAAATATAGGCAAATAAAACGGTAGCAGAAAACATGAATGCCCTTTTACACTTGACCTTGAATTACTATTGGCGCCAGACTACAAGGGATTCTGTACTGGGTTAACATGAATATATCGATTCCACCCTCTTTTTAATGTTTAGAGTTCGTAACGTAAACAAAAAATGTTCTTTGCCATCCTAGTTAACAGGAGCATTCAACCTAAATTATTCTAGACGTATAATCATACATAGAGTGTGTATGTAGTGCAGGTGGGTGCAACCCGTACTAGTATATGTATTCCATACCAATTCAATATATTAAAATGCTTGTAACTTGTCCTAAAATTGTTATAGACCCATTTACATTTTTTGTAAGATAAAGGCTAAAAAATCGCTGTTACAAAGATTAAAAAAAGATTTTAATTTTATATTTTATATTTTTTTCCTTATTAGTGAAAAATAACAAAAAAATTTGATTTGGACGTAGTCTATGTCATTTGATTGTAAAAATATACCTGTTCATGGAAATAATTAAAAAGGTTTATCATAAGTTGCGTGCAAACTTATTTAATTAAAGCTAAAAATACTTTCTTAATAATGGTTTTAAAATAGAGTTAGCAATTTTATATCAACCACTGTTTTTGCATTATCTTGAAGATTTTAAAAACAAAATTAAATACAAAACGTAATTTTTATAAATATTATTGAGTTTTATTTAATAACTTTTCCTTTAAAACAAACCATTTTATATTTTTATAGTTTTTTTTATTACTTTATAAAAGCATCGATTTTATCCACAGTGCACTACTAGTTATTACATTTAACAACGTGTATGTTTATATATACACAGCCAATGTTCAACACCAGGGCAACGTACATTAATTCCTAATTTAACACAGCAAAAACAAGATAATTTATGATTAGAGCATATGTGTTAAGTTTTTCAATATCTTGTACTTTTGTTTATTTTAAATATATATATATATATATTATCAAAACAGTATAAATAAGTCCATAAGACTTTTTGATTAGATTATAACAATAGCCTCATAAATTATTTGTGATCAAAGAGTATTCTTACATAATTTACATAATTACATAATTTAAAATAGTGTTATACATTTTATTTTATAATAATAGTAAATAACAATTAACGACGTTCTGTTGTTCAAAATATGTTTTGATTATATAATAAAAATTGATTACAATTGATATTTTTTTAAATTAAAACTATATTAAAAATATTTAACTCAAAAAAAAAAAATTAAAAAATCGCAGATACGTAATTCGAGAACAAGGTTACCAATGCCAACGCTAAACAATACTGACACCCAAACAAAAAAAAAAAACTCATTATATACCCCTATAGACATCATCACTAAGTAATATTATTACATTTTGCCACTTTACACAAGTTTAATAATGAATTTCTCTGTTCCCAATTAATTAAATTATTTTTATTTTTAAATATTTCTATTTCCCCTGTTATGTTAATATTTTTGTGGCTTTTTGAGATAAATATTTTATAGTTTTAAATTAATATTTTTAATATAGTTTTAATTTTTAATGTTTTAAATAATTATATATCTCTATAACATTAATTAGATTTTATTTTTCCTATCTAAAATATTTTTTAAATATAATAATTAATTGAAACTTTGAAGCATTTACTCATTAATGTCAATTTAAATTTTTTTTAAATTTAGCACATTTTTTGACTAATTTTTATTAAAGACTATTAAATATATAAATTAATAAATTCAGTTAGAAAGAGTCTTTTAAAAAAACTTTACATGGGAGAGTATTGTATAAAAAATTTGAATTATATGCATGACATCGAAAAATTGCAGTAAAGAAAAGGGTGATATCGTAGGAGGTAGATATAGATATATTTATTATTAACTAAAAACAATTAAATATTGAGTTGAAATTTTGTGATTATATTCGAAAATTTTTTAACATAATAATTATTTTAAATAAAATAGAATATTAAATTGTAAAATATAATTTTTATAAATTGTATAGTATAATTTAAATTTATAGTAAAAAATTATTTATTTATTATATAGTTATTATATTACATAAAAAATATAAAATGTCAAAAAATACTGTCATTGTTATTTAATCTGTACAGTGTAATAAATTGATGTAAACTAGAATATATATGGCAGTTTGCCTATATCAAAATCAAATAGTTCCAAATACAAAATATAGCGTGACTTATGTTTAAAAAATATTAGCAACTAACTATTAAATACAAAACATTAGCAAATATTATTCTTTTCGTGTGGTATGCCTAATATCATCAAATTAAAACCCCCAGAACCAAATATGTAGAATAATATTATGCAATGACTGTACGATCGTACTTTCTCGCGTGACTTTTGAATTGACGTTAAGTTATAACTTAAAAATGTCCTATATAAACTATCTGACTTGTCATGACAAAGAGAAAATAGGCCAACATTAATTATTTGTTATTATAAAATTGATTTTAGATGACGGTTATAGAAATTGTGATTTACTTTATTTATGTTTAAGTATTGTTTAAACAGATGAGTTAGAAATTTTAATTCATTTAGAATTATTGATAAAAACTAAGCTAATCATTTTTCAATTGATATATTTTAAAGTATATTAATAATATATATATATAATTAAAAATTATTGTTATTAAAATTATTTTGTAGGTAAGAATCGTTGGCCAATCCAAGAGGACACGCTCCCTCATTGAATTATAATCACCTACTTAAGAAAATGTATTTGAGTGATTTCATATATTAATCATTACTCTTTAGACTTAACGCATAAAAACTTTTTACAGCTCTTCCTAGAAAAAGTTCTGGGTCCGTCCGGTGATATTTTTCAATATAAAAATAAATATATGATCTTTACAATGCTCACCTAAAGATTTATTAATCCAATCTGCAAGATCTTCTTGTAATGGAAGTAAGTTACGTTTTTGGTAATCTGTTATTTTACATTGGTATTGTTCTAAATACTCTTGATCTGTATTAGCCGAAGAGATCTTATGATTGACGAAGTTCTTCGGGTTCGCATTCATTTTATTATGATATGAACGCGAAAGATGTTCTGATCATAAGACTTTATGCTCTATGCTTGATCTTAAAACAAAAACACAAATTATCAATACTTTAAAAAACAAACTGCAGTGTCAGAAAAATTTTTAAAAGGAAGGAGTATATTCAAATCTCTAAACCCAATTACTTATGCCTGAAGTAAAGATAAAATGAAGACGAAATAGCGAGAAAAATTGTCTCAATGAAAAAATAAGTACTTCTCTGTATTTTATAATATTCAAAAATTTTGTATAGAAAAAAGTTAAAAACATAATTAAACTAAATCATTCAGTCAAATAAAGTTATGGTCGAATAATCACGATAAAAAAAAAATTATCTTACCATTAACTGACAATGTTTTCTATAAAAAAATATATTTAGTTTTATGTCATTTCACAAAAAAAAAACTGTTTTTTTTTACCTTAAGATTTAAGATTTTTATTCAATGTTTAGAAAGTATTTAAAACGAGTTTCTAATAAAATAAAGTTACATTTATAAAATAGTAAATAAAAATTGTGAACTGAAATTTTTAAGGTTAATGAATTTTGCGAACGATCAAGTTATTTAAAAAGTATTGAAGTCCAATTTTTATACGGGCATTAAAGTTTAAAAATAACATTAGTTTAACTTGAAGTTATTTAAATTATTTTAAGTCATTCTACTATATTTAAATACAATATGTAATATGATACTTAACTCATATCATCGCTTATAATATGCGTATAACAAAATTTGACAAAAAGTTTTGTTATATTAACAGAAAAAGTGTATGTTTTTGTACACTTAATTATTCTGTATATTTTAGTAAAACTCATAGTTTTACTGTAAGTTATAAAAATAAGATTATCTTTTATATTAACACATTTAAAATACAAATTTGAATTTTGATCATCCTGAAAACCAACAAAAGCTGAGTTAAATAATGTGTCTAGAAAAAGACGATATTATAATTTAACAAATTTGTCAGGTTAGACTAAATATATGAAATACCATATAAAAAGCTATTTTCAAAAATCTTATATGATAATTTCTGCAAAATTTTGAGAGCAAAAACGAAATTAAAATGTATGCATATAGAAAGTTTTGAAATACAAAAAAAAAGAAAACTTTTCCATTAAAATTGACTGGCCCAAGATAGATATCCCATAAGGGTGTTCAGTTCCTATAAGGCTTATAAAATTTTCTGTATACATATTATTTAAAACATTAATACCTTATATTTATAGCTAATCAGCTTTTGAAAAAAATTGACGTGTATTTTAAGAAATTAAATAGTTTCTTATATATCATTAAGTTATTATTCCATTAATAATAGGTATAAATAGTAAAGAGTTGCTTTATACACAGTTATACATCTATGCACTTTTACTAGACAAAATTATTCCTACTTAAACTTCAAATCAGTAAATATTAATAACACTTCTCACTCTTATAGTCTTAATAAAGTCTAATTCTTAATATTTAATTCATCGTTATGTGGGTTTAAAGATAGCGCTTGACCCAGATGATATGGGCCGATAACATTTCGGTAAAATTAAAAAGCAAAACGCGTTGTAAATTAGACGGTCTACTAAACCAATTAAATTTTTATTAAACACATTTTTGTCTAATTTATAATTTAAGTAGGTTCATATGTAAATTTAAAATAATATGTAACTCCCTAAAAATAATAAAGCTCAATAATAGATATAATAATACTGAGAAGAATTAAATATATTACATCTGTTATTTATGATTTTAATATTTTAAAACTTGAAATCAATAACGTGCTATGTAGTAAAAAATTAAAAATTTAGGTAATCCTAAAAAAAACTTTCTAATGACAGGCTCAATTACATATAAAATGGACTAAGTACATTAGCAAGATCAGTAAAAATAAAGTAAGGAAATGCAACATTTTTAAAAAATAAATATAAACTAAACAAAATATATATGTAAATAAATAAAACGAATAGTAAGGGCGCAAATGTAACATTTTTTTCGTGGGATTTAATATGTATAAGAAATTTAAGGATCTTAAGTATTTTTAGTAGTTTAGATTTCAGAAAATTATGATTTTTGGCATATATAGCACGTTATTGATTTAAAGTTCTTATTTACAAGCGCTCATTTAAAACATTGTGGCCTTCCTTAAGTACTCCAAAGTTGATTCTCTTTGTATATATTTTAAAAAAGATTCATTGAAGCATTATGTAGCTATTCTAAGTGAATTTGGTAAATATCTATTGATACAGTGTCGTCTTGGTATCTTAGGAACCCCGGAAGCAATATCAATATAGGTTTCGTAAGTAAAAAAAATGGTGTTCAAATTAATGCAAATCTAAAATATATGAGAGCCCGGACGCATTCGTATGCTAGTCTCCTAGACTAAACCGACACTATATGCTTAATTTAATTTTCCGTTACAAAATAAAATAAATAAAACGAGCAGACTTACACTACTTTCATGAATTTTTAGATATTTTATTGAATAGTATAAAAAACATCTTTAATATAGACGGAACATAAAAAAAAATTTAGGTGAACTACAATTTCCTTCCCTCCTGATAACTTTGTTTTTAGAAAAGCTTACTCTTCTCAAGGATACTTCAAACTTTGCTAATGATCTTTATGAAAATGAAAAAATGTGTAACTTCATGTTTAAGATTTATTTAAAAATATATTAATCTTTAAGGAAATCGAATATTAAAACATTTAGTTTTTGTCCAACTTCATTCCTTTTTCGGTTACTATAAGACACTTTTTAGTTCACAATGAGATAAACAAAGTAGGGCGTAACTTAAGGGAACAATTAATGTAACTTGCGTCTTTAAGTAGAAAAGGATTGAACATCAATATTTTTAACTGAAACTAATATTAAGTATTTTAACCAATATATTTTTGCAAGCGTTAGTTTTTTAATTCTTAAGAATAAAATAAAAACTGATACATAGCAGTATTATGAAATTTAATATTTCCAATGTTTATTCATGTATTTTAATTATAGATTATAATGATTACCCATCTCTTAAGTTTTTGGTTGTATTTAATACGTTCTATGTTCTATTGATTAGAAACCTTATAATTTTATAAGGTCGTAAAATTGTATAGCTTAACTTGACATTTACACTCTAAATAAAACGAGTTATTACTATTTGAAAATTAATTATTTATCAAAGTTCAATCAGAAAATTTATCAAATCTCTATGTATTTTGACTTATATTCTATTTTTTTATGCAATACTTAAATTATATTAAAAGAATTATTTTTGAAAAAATACTATAGAACTTTTTAGTACTAAAACGTAATTTAAACGTTAGAAACTGACGCAATGAACCCATAATTTTTCTTTCTTCAATAGCTAACTTGACAATTGAGTAATCAAAATAATATGGTCTACGATACTAATAAATACGCAGTACATACAGACAATTACAAATATCACCTTCTAGAAAGTGACTACTAATCAATTTGTTTCGCTGAATATATTTTTATAAATGTTTATTACCTTTTAACTTGATATTTGCAAAATTATATGACTGAAACTTCAGAAATTATATGACTGAAACTTCAGAAAAATCTTTTTCTGGCTTCAAGATTGATTGTAGCCTTGGGCTATACCATATTAATAAGGGTACTCAAGAGAATTAACATCCAAATTCTACCATTATACCTCCAAACTAAAATTGTACATAGAAATAACTAATGATGTAATCAGAACTTTTTTTGGAGGGGTTTATAAATATTTTTTTTCAAGAAAATATGCTTAAATTAATTCTTTAAAGAAAAAAAGGTTAAAAATTATTATTATTCTATAGGAGGAAAAGAAATTTCTAACCCCCATCTCTAGTCACGCTACTGTAAATAAATACTAATAATCAAACTTTGATACTGATAACTAACTAATTAATTATAACTTAGGAAAAAAAATTAAAAATCATCAATCAAAATTAAGCTAGTGGGCTCAATTTGGTTGAGTGACTTATATTTCAAAAGAAAAACAATTTTCAAGAAGGAATTGTCGAGCTATAAATATTTTATAAAAAAAAAATCATTTGTTCATAGTATACATGATTTCACGTTAAATATATGTGTAATTCATAGCTAATATAGTATACTAATGGGAATTGGTAGTTATTTTTCCAAGAATAGAAAAAAATTATTGAACCAAATAAATTTTTTTTTATTATATCAAAGTATACCATACAGAATAATTTGTTTCTCGGCCAATGACTTCATGAGGATTATATGATTTTTTTTGTGTTAGAATCAAAAATAAAGTGATTTTTTGTAATATTTTTTTTACATGCACGGTCGTTTTCTATGATGATATACAAAACTGTCACGTTTTTAATACAACCCGAGGTTGTCGTATTATTTAATTGGAAGAGTATTTGTATCATTTTTTTGTATGATGAACATAATAGCGATTTGTATTCTTATATTAAGCGTGACGAAACAGCTGCTTTGATGTAACTACACTATATATTATCGAACGAATCTCACCATCAATATAATCACTAACGTATAACTATTGAATAGTTTAATTTATATAAGTCATGTATAATAATATTTTTTATACATAATCTTTGTAAGATTTATAATAATCAATTTAAGGTACTAACGGTATTAATTTATAATAAAAATAAACTTTAAATTATAAATGAACTCATTACATTTATTATTAATGATTTTAGTATTTTAAATTTATATAAAAACTCAAAGATACTTATGCGTGATTTTTGTTATTTTTAAAATTTGAATAAAGTACAGATAAATAATTCTTAAACTAAGTAACCTTTACCAAAAAAGAGAGCTCACTTTTATAAATACAGGGTGTTCAATAAGTTAGGAAACAGTTAAATTGTTACAAACAATGAGTACAATAGAAATTCGTTTCCTTATTTACTGAACACCCTGTATAATTAATGCGTTTTATAAATGTCAAATGTAATCCATAAAATTTTTCAACTAACAATTTACTCTTCAAATCAATTATTTAAGAAAATTATATATGTGATAGAATTCCAGTTAATTTATGGAGTGATTTTTTTTTGTTTTACAATTTAACTTACTTAATTGAAACATTATTATCCAAATTAGAGGTTGTTGTTTTTATTTTAACAGATGACTGAAAAATTGTGCCCGACATTATTAGTTTCCAGAAACTTAATTTTACTAAAACCAACGATAGGAACGCAAGACCACCGACACCACACAATTTTAGGAACTAAACATAGAGATTATTTTGGCGGCTAAGGTTTACCACTCGTAATCGAATGGTTTACAGTGTTGCACTATATCACATAATACAAAGTTATTTCATACAAACTGTACTATAAAATAAATCTGAAAAGTACGTCTCAGATAGGTGAACTTTTTTTGTCTACAGAAATGTTGAGAATATGTGCATAGTTCTAAGATTTTTAATTATTTAATTTTTAATTTTGCACTTTAAAAAAAAAGTAAATTAAAAGATTTTCTTATAGTCTTGTGATTGGTATAACTAGAAATTTGATTATACTAAGGCTGAAGTCCCATCTATTTTGAGACCTATTTGTCGAATAAAGTTCTTGATATGAATGTTGACAAAAAAAATAGGAAATTTTTTAATTGATTTAAAAGTTATGTTATTAAGCTTTTTATTTATTGACGTGTGTGAAGAGAAACAAGTATCTTAAAGTGTAGCCAATCTTATAAGCGTAAATCTGGAAACCTAGGTTTTTAATCATTTCTTGATGCACAACTTTGATACTACGTAACTTCTGTGCTACAGAAGTTTCAGTGGTTGTTATGATGGTTGGAAACAGGTAAATTTTGTCTGCATCTTTTATTAATATTATGGTAAAAGAGTACTCATTTTACGTATTAAAAAACGGCCACATCATAATCACTTTATATATATATATAACTAGCAGAAATACCAAACTTCATTTTTATGTTACTTTTAATTGTTTTTAAGTTAACTTAACTTAAAATTAAAAGAGATAATTATTAATATTTTATGAATTTTAATAAATAATAAATATTCTTATACTTTCTTTAAATTTTTATAACTTTTTTTTTAATTTTTTAACTTATTAGTTATAATTTAAACCCTCAAACTATACGAACAGATAATATATAGTTTAATTTTAAGTATTATTAATTCAACGTCGAATTAAATCAATTATAATTATAACTATATGGTTCCGTCATTATGTTTGTGAATTAAATAAATTTACGATAATTAAAAAAAAAATAATTTTTTATTTAATAAAGTTAGAAAAATTAGAGAGTTAAAAAATCATGGAGTAGTTTTTTTTAATGAAACTATATAAAAAATATGTCTAAAAGATGTCACATATCATTTTTCGAAACTGAAAATATTAATTTGTATGAGAAAAAAATTATGCCAAATACATAAATACAAATAAAATAAAAAATCATTTATTTTTACTTTTTCTAAAATATAAAATGTTAAAAAAATAAGTAGTAGTCATGACATTTTTATAAAATTTTATAATGTTTACAATTATAAGATCATTAGATAAACACATTACGTTAATTTTTATAGTTAATGCTCTGATTATTTTTTGAATACGGTTGTTGATATTTCACACTACTTATAGGCTGAAAAGGTAAGTTATTTTTTATTGGCAACGATTGATTTTTTTTCTCTTGTATTAATGGAATATCTTGGAAACGTTTTGAAACATCGGATATTATTGAATTTACTTGACCACTAAATAAAATATTTCTTGTACTACGATTTACAATGAAAAACATAAAAGGTCTATTGAAATTTACAGCTACTGGAGGTAAATGAGGTTTACTGCTCAGTGGTACTGCTGAGGCCACTAAAAAAAAAAATAATAATAATATTAATCAAAGCACTTCTATTAAAGAAGAGATATTTCAAACGCATATTTAAATAGAATCCATGTCAGAATACACATAACTACTGTGTACCACATTACAATGCGTTCTTTATAAAATTACATCATATTCAAGACGAGAATCAAATGTTAAGTTTTGAAAAAAAATAAGAACACTAAAAATGTTAGCCTTCCAATGACAAAATCCTAAATAGAAGCTTATGCTTGTTTAGATAGAATATTTCAGCAGGACAACTTATACCAAAAACATTCTTTATAATAATTTTTTTGGTTTATTACTTATAATGTTGGTTAGACATGTTCGAAGGAGCGTAAGTCATTAAGCAATTCCCGTATACGCAATTGGAGTTATAAAGAATTTAAGTATTTCATGTAACGCCGTAATGCTAAATTTTTTTGTAGAATAATATCACAATTCCACCAAAATTTGATGGAGTGATATTAATAGGAATTGTAATCTGATATCGTTTGTAGGAGTAACTTTAATAATTTTCAAAAGCAAAATTAACAGAATATTTTTTTTTGTCTCGAGAGATCCTCTAATAAAAAAAAAACAAACATTCATAAAATATCCGCAAGCATATATTCAATTTGTATTTCAACTTGAAAGTAAAATGTGATTAAAATTAATATAGAATAATTTTACCTGTAGCTGCAGCTGCTCTAGCTCCTTTTTCATTAATTTCAATTACAGCCTTGTGTATTATATCAGTCACAAAAACTGGCTTTTCAGAATTTAATATAGCTGTTAAATTAGCTTTTTTTTCAAATAAAGTTGTTAGCCCCATCTATAAAATAATTTTTAATCATTTTTAAAGGTAAATTTATTTTTATGATCAATTTTGCGCATCAAATCATTAACAAATTAAAAAAAAAAATTAAATTAAAATAAGATAGTTTATAAAAGACTATTTCAACTCATATAACATATTTAATAAAATTAATTTTTATTAAGAAAGAGTACTAATATATATCCCGGAATTATTATTCGTGGTGCTTGGGTAAACAGTATCAAATGAAAATATTAATTTAACTATTAACAAAATAAGGTTTACGTATGATTATACCTATGGTAAAAGTCAATAACAAATTAAATCCAATAATGGGATCATCATAATAAACTCATTGAGAAATATTTATTAGCCTTTCCATATTTTTATTTTCAAATTATGATTTTTTTATGTTAGCTTACTAGAGAATTTGGAAAAATTAAAATGGTATATAATTATGTTATTAAGAAATAGATACACAGTAGGTTCCACGATGTTCTGACAAATCTATATACTTTACTTATAGCAAAATTGTCAGAACATCGTAGGATACCTATATATTTTCTCAGCTTAACATCGAAGTTATGAACTATAAACTATATTATTCATAATGCTTACTTTTTTTAAAGTAGATGATAATTTTGAATAGTAATTAACAGTAAAACGGGGTAACTGTAAATGTACTACTCGGCTATGAAGCATTGTTAATATTCTTGTCAAAGGATTATGCTGTAAATCTTTGGTTAATTGTAAAAGATTGTTATTTTCATCAGGCAATAATAGGAACATGGTAAAATTTTCGTCCTAAAATTTAAAAAATATTGATCAAATCACATAAATTTCAATAATTAACACATTTCAAACTCAACCTTAAAAGGTAATTCAATAGCCTGAGCTCCAATATCCGAAATTTCACTATATCTAATATTATTTTGTAATTTCATCATACTACATTCGGTACATAAATTAAGACTTGTATAAAAACATTGGTTATCAGTAGCGCTTTCATTGAACTGGTATAACCAGTCTCCTTTAAAGTACAATATATTTGCAAATAGTAGTTCAGTATCACCATTAAAGTCATCTAACAAAAAAAGTAAAAGATAAAAAGTATATCTAATATCTATTTTTGTAAATTTAACAATAGAATGATTTTTTTTTTTGCTTATATTTCAATTCTATATAAAATAATATTTTTTTAATTTAAATGAAAATGCACGACTTGTTTATTAGTTTTATAAGGTATAGGAACATCAAATCAATATAAGTAAAAAATAAAAAAATGATAATAATTAAATGGTTCATTTTTTAACAGTTCATATACTATATTCAGCAATCAATCTTAAGGCGTAATAAAACCATAACTATTTTTTTTCTTTTTTTTAACACGATCGGCATAACTGTAGGCCGCCTTGTAACTGCCGTTAGGCATTACTTCAAGGCGGCCATACCATAACCAACTAGAGTAACAACGTAAATCAACGGTCCTAATTTTCAAGTGCAGCTTATAGAAAAGCCACATCAAATGATTTAGTTAGAACAAGGCTTCATGAGTCGCTCAATAGTAATAACACACGGTAATTCCAAAAATGACCACGGAAAAAATAAATTAATAATTCATATTTAAAATATACACTTTTTTACGAAAATTATTGACATAATACCATAATTGAAAAAGGACTTAGATGTAAAATCTTCAGAGTTAAAAAGTAGTGAAATTATAATTTGTTTTTCGTTTAAAAGAAGTGGGATAATTTTTTTTATATATTTTCATTACTTGAAACTAGTATTAATTAAATTATATATTTATATCGCACCTTTAGTTATTACACTATTAATGAGACCTTTTGTAGCGTTAGCTATTTGATCATTTATGAAATGTATAGAATCATCAACAGCCGAAGGGTTAATTTCAACTATGTCTGCTTTATAAAGATCCGTAGCAATATCGTTGAAATAAACATGCAATACTTTTTTATTCTTGACAAATATTTTATTGACTGATAATATATCTAAATATGAGCTCATCATTGACAACTGATTTCTTTGAAGTAAATTATGCAGTGCTGACTGTTCTTTTGGTAACCTTAAAACATTATTAAGTTCTTTCAAAGAATCTCCTTGTGCTCCTTCCGAAAGTAACAATAATATTGATTTTACGCTGATAGAAGAAATGACAAAATTACCCATCAATTCATCAGAGCTTATTTCCTGTACAGTTAAATTTTTATTAAAATTTATAACTTATTCTCTAAATATAATTTATTAAATTTATATTGCTGTATTCATAACCAACAATAATTTATAACCTTATCTATAATATTATTAATTTACACCTAAGTATCAATCTTCAGATTTAATTAATTTAGGTGAATTAAGTAAAAATTTAATATTTTTATTAGTGATTGTAAATATCGAACAGTTGTCCACTATTCGAAATATTCGATAGTTACACAATATATTCGAATAGTTTTTAAAATATTTGATAGTTTATGCTAAAAATAAAATATTCGGTGGTATAAACACAATTCGAATAGTTAATCAAAAGTTTAAAATATTTGAAAATGCCCATCACTAATTTTTTTAGTTTCGATGCGAAGCTGAGAAGGTATTGGTTTTACTAAGATGTGTTTTTTTTTTTTATTTTTTGTGTCTGTTACCACTTTTTCTCAGCTCTCACCGAACGGATTTCTTTCAACGATACGTCAAAAGATCACAAATCGTATCTAGTCGAAGACATTACCCTTCAAAATTGAAAAAATTTCCCTCGTTCCCTATAAATGGGGGAAACCTCCAAAAAAATTACAAATTTAAAAATCGCTAATTTTCGAAATTTTTTCAATTTTTTTTACTAAAAACTGCCGTAACTTTTTCAAAAATGAACATATCAATATAATTTTTTTTTTTTATAGATGCGATGTCTTTACTTATCATTTGGTATATTTTTTATGTAAATTTGACCTTTTATCTGCCCATAGGGGGGGATTTAAAATGACAACTTTTTCACAAAAAATTAACTTTTACAACTTAACTTTTGAAAGTGTTCTGGAAGGTCTGACACTTTTATATATATATCTTAAATTAAAGCTAATATAATGTACTTAATTATGAAAAAAAAAAAATTTGACCTCTGGACTTGTCTTCGTGGTGAAAATGGCTAACGAATGCTATTTTTGTGTGAAATTTCTCGATTTTATATTTTACATTTTTTACTTTAAAAGGCTATAACTTTTTAAAAAATGAATGGATGAGTACAATTTTTTCACGAGAAGTAGTATTTATATAGATCTTTCATTCGATATACTTTTTTTTTAAATCAGACTATTTCCCTATATACGGGGGTGCTACAAATATAAAAAATGCATATAGAAAGTAGAACTTTTTCAACTTATCTTTTGAAAGTGTTCCGGAAGGTCTGACACAACTTTATAATGCTATAACTTATTGAAAAGTGTATGGTTCAACACAATTTTTTTATGAGAAATAATATTTTTTAATAATCTCTCTTTCATTGGACATACTTTATCTTAATCAGGATATTAATAAGGAACTTAGATATCAGATATCATTATATTTGATCCAACTATGCCATGTCACCACTGTGCCGCGACCCCCCTGTGCTGGGTTTTTTAAAATGCTATAACTTCTGAAATACTAGTAAAATAGTACTTTTTAATATTATTAATTGTATAATAATTTATTTTAAGTATTCGTTAATTATCTTCTTATTATAATTAAGTGTACTTAACAAAAATTTTAGATAGAACTAATCGAATATTTTTTGAAACCATTCGAATAGTTATTCAATAGTTTTTTAATACTATCGAATATTATTCGATAGTTTAAAATATTCGAAAATGCACATCACTAATTTTGATGTAAATAATTCTATTTTTGTCGAAAAATGAAAAGAGATATAACGCTAACTGAAATTATATAACAATTGAAATATAATAAAACAGCACATTTGAGACACAACATGATGGTAACCTGTCATAATAGATATCAGTATATATTGTTATTTGACAGTGATTAACATCACTATCATAAAACAATTCGATGTGAATATGATTAAAGAAAACGATTTTACTATTTTTTTTTTGAGAATGTATTTTTTACCAGAACTAAGTTTAACCCCTCTATTTAAGTATTTAAACAATACTTCTTGGAAAAAATGAATAAATTTTTCATACAAAAGAATAAAATTTTAATCAGAATTTTAATAAATTATAATTTAAAATATTAAAATTGTTTGTATTTTTTTTACAATAAATCAATTGATAATAATTAACTAAATACAGTATATAGAACTAGAGATGTATCACACATTGATGGCATCATGATACTAATAAGGTAATTATCAAAGTAGCACCAATTTAATATCAATGTTAAAATAAATCTATTTCGCGAAAAAAAAAATAACTAAAAGAGTTAGTTATTATTGTACTTACCTGAAATAACTCAGAATCAAAGTAATTGAATCGATGCAAATCTGCATTATTAGGCTCAGCACCGAATTTCAAATTTACATTTTCTGATGTCGCTAAAATAATATTTTTCTAAATAAAAATCTAAACAGTAAATTTAATTTGATTAAAAATAAGTCTAAATTTTTTCTACGTTTTGCAATAGGTATAGTAACGATTGGAGATCCTTTTGAAAGAGGATTCACTACTTGTCCAACGAAAACAACGGTATCTGCTTTTGTATCGTAAATCATAAATAAAAACGGCTTCGTCACTTGAAACTCAGCTTCAACGGATGAACCAAATCTGGTATCAAGTTCTACTTCTATAAATTCATACAATTATAAATAATACATGTTACCTATGTACAAAATAATAAAAATTGTAAATTTTTTTTTATACACATTAAATATATAGAATAATTTCAGGTTAGGTTGGGTATATCTCAAATATTTTTACAACGAAGGTACAAGATATGTGAACATAAATAAAGGGTTTGTTTGAATTTATATATACAGAGTGATTTTTTTTAATCATAACCACTCAATTATTTACAGAATAAATATAATTAAAATTTTTTTTTTTTTTGGTTATCTTTAGTTACAGATTATTTTTAAATTATTAATTATGTAATACTTTTTAAGTTTATACCTAATGCCTTGTAAGGGTGTCAACTTTGTTTTTTTAAATGGAAACACATATTTTGAATTTAATAAAATGTTTGAGTTTTTAATTTAACAGTAAATGGCATTTGAATTTTTAATATAACTTTATTCATTTATTAAATATAAACATTTAAAGTTTTAAATTTTTGAGTTAATATACATGTATAATACACAAGGGATTACAAATACAGGTAGCTAATATGTCTTTTATGACATTGCTGTCACAGTCACGGATTGTTCATTATCAATTAATATATTTTTTATATTGTCAGTTAGTGTATTTATGAACTCACAACAATGTGCCTTACCACCATTGATAATAACAATGCTGTGTACCTGCGAATATTGATTTCATAAAAAAATATCAAAATATAATAAAAAAAATCATCCTGTATCACATAAGAATATTTGTATGCTTTGAAATTAAAAAATTGCATTAATTCAACATTTATCGAAATGTTTTATAAGTTGAAAAAAAATTTTAATATATTTAAAATGAATATATAAAATCAGAAATTTTATTACAAAATTACCCTATATTTTTACTATGGCGGCCATGTTTTTTTTTTATACACGACCAGTATTACTGTGGACCGCCCTGGAACTGCCGTTAGGCATTACTTCAGGGCGACCTACACTGTTTATATAATTCACACCACCACGTAGTGAATCAGCCCGAAATCAATCAAGAGCTGATTCGCAACATGGTGTGACCCCCTCCCGTTAACCGGATCCCAGAGTGGGAACCGTTAGGGAGGATTGGCAAAATAGCTCACAAAACAAAAAAAAATAGAACCTAAAGCACCGGCCTAAACGCCTCAGTCGTAGCTGCTTTTGTCTCAAGGGTTTCGCTTCCTCCTTCTTTTTCAAGACGGATTCGGCCAACGCCTGGACGAGACTCCACGCCCATCGGATTCTCAACGTCAGGTTCACCCAACTCGGAATGCGGACCCAATTCGGGACTCCAAAGAGTCCCACTACTACTGGGTTCAAGTCTCGCACCGGAAAAGGGCGTGCAGAGCGCTGTCAGCTTTTCCCGGGCAGTGGTCGCACGTCGACGAGGCTGCTTTGCGAATAAGGTGTAAGAAATCGTTAAAGCAGCCGTGGCCGGACATCACTTGGGTGAGACAATATGTCATCTCACCGTGAGTCCGGTCCACTCGCCTGTCATCGTTTTCTTTGAGAGGCGAGTCCGCGCCACCGGTGCATGGTCATCCGCCTGAGCGCCAGCCGGTCATCAAGTTAAAGAGGCCTAATGGCGGCCATGTGCACATAGAAGATAAGTTGTAAAGAAAATTATTATTTTTTAATTCATAGTACATAACATAAATTTTAAGAACGCAAGAAAAATCGACATTTTTTCAATAGTTAATTTGAAAAAGTTCAATTTTTCAAAAATTGAAATTTTAAAACCTAAAATATCTAAAGAAAATTCAAAATATTTGGATTTGATTTATTCATTTTTAAAATGTTATGACAGTTTAAAGTCAAAAAATGTATAAATATAACAATTTTTACCGATTTTAAGAATTATAATTATTCTGGAGGTTTCCTTCATTTACGTTGATCAAAATAATTTTTTTCAAAATATATAGTGATGATAGGTTAAACTAGATATGAGAAAATTTATCTTATGGTTGAGCAAATTTGGTCTAGTAAATACTGAGAAAAAGTAAAGATTGACACAAAAATAAATAAAAAACATTATTATAAAATTAATATCTTCTGAGCTTGGCAACAAAACTAAAATAAATATATTGTCTACTTGGTTATTATTTTTGTGGACATCGTACGGTCAACGATAAATCAGTCATCTGTATTGTAGTTTCATTTATAAAAATGTCTTTACATCTAGTCTTCTCTATGTGTAAACGTCGCCCCCACAATCAAACAAAATATATTATATTTGTGTAAAAAATTCACTGCGTCCTGTGGGTGTTTATATTATGGACCTTCAGTAATAATTAGAGAGTGGATTACTCTCCATATATATAGATTTCTACCAGACACCTTCTCTCATAAGTACTGCACATATTATAAAAGACGTAAAAACCTCTCCAGTTTCATGAAATAAAATCTAACTCTTAATACATACGCAACGAGACATGATCGAAATACACACTGTCTTGGACTATTTTTTGCTGTTGGAATTCAATCCTAAGAAATCTCCATAAAACACCCCAGTGACACCGATTTCAAAGTTCCACTAGGGCAGCTAGCCAACCTTCAAAAGGTTGGTCGAAGTTTGCAATTTAAATCAACCATTATAATTAATTAAAATATCAATAATTCAGTATAAATGTAAAATATAAAATCGAGAATTTCAACACAAAAATAGCATACGATAGCCATTTATACTTAAAGACAAAATAAAGTCCGAAATTTGTTTTTTCCATAATAAAGTATATTACATTATAGCTTTAATTTAAGATATATATAAAATTATCAGTATTTCCGGAACACTATCAAAAGTTAATTTTTTGTGAAAAAGTTGTCATTTTGAATCCATTTTAGATTCAAAATGGTAAAGGGTCAGATTTATAAAAAAAATATATCATATGTTAGGTAAAAACATCATGCATCTATAAAATAATGTTATATTAAATGGGTCATTTCTCAAAAAGTTACAGCAGTTTTAAGTAAAAAAATTGAAAAAATTTCTAAAATTAGCGAATTTTAAATTTGTAATTTTTTTTGGAGATTTTCCCTATTTATGGAGAACGAGGGAAATTTTTACTATTTTTGAGGGTAATGTCTTCGACTAGATACGATTTGTGATATTTTGAAGAATCGGTTTGGTGAGAAAAATTGGTAACAGATAAAAAAAAAAAAAAAAAAATATCATAATAAAACCAATACCTTCTCAGCTTCGCATCGAAGCTAAAAGGTAAACTTCACTTTGTAAAATATATTTAACTGTTAGGTTTGGTTTAATATATATTTATATATATTTATAAATATATATATTTCAGGTTTGATGCGAAGATGAAAGGTATTGATTTTATCATAGTATTATTTTTATTTCTATCCATGAAAATTCTCATCACTCGCTGGACTGATTTTGTTAGTTTACACATCAAAATAATCTAATTTTAATCTAATATTATCGTTAACTTATCGTTCACCAAAAATAGCATCGTTACCAAAAATAGAAAAAACCCTCAAATTTAAAATTTATAAAAATAAAAACCCAGCAGCACAGGGGTTTCGCGGCATAGTACTGACGTGGCATAGTTAAATAGACAAAATAAAGTCCGAACTTTTAATTCTCTTTAAAAAAAAAAAGTATATCGAATGAAAGATGTATATAAATACTACTTCTCGTGAAAAAAATGTATTGATCCATACATTTTTTTAAAAGTTATAGCCTTTTAAAGTAAAAAATGTAAAATATAAAATCGAGAAATTTCACACAAAAATAGCATTCGTTAGCCATTTTCACCACGAAGACAAGTCCAGAGGTCAAATTTTTTTTTTTTTCATAATTAAGTACATTATATTAGCTTTAATTTAAGATATATATATAAAAGTGTCAGACCTTCCAGAACACTTTCAAAAGTTAAGTTGTAAAAGTTAATTTTTTGTGAAAAAGTTGTCATTTTGAATCAATTTTGGTACAAACCTTAATATGTCGTTCTAATAAAGATGTAAAAAATCCCCATTAATATTGAGTGTGCTTATCAGGTTATTTAAGGTCAAATGTTACAAAAACAACATTTTGGTAAATATATTGCTTTATAATAGTCATAAAAAAAAAGGTTTCAAAATAAATTATTAAAAAAATAATTTCATCATATTTTCTTGACATTTACTGTTATATCGATATAAGGCCTTCAAAAAGTATATAGTTTATGAAAGAAGTGAGTTTTTTGTTAAAAATAAATGGTTTTCAAGCAAATGACTTGCTTCAGACTAGTAAATAATTGTAGTTCTATTATGTGGATCTCAGGCATTGTGGTATTTATAAAGATTTTTGTAATGCTTTTATTTTTCGGAGGGAATAGGGAGGAATATTAAGAATTTTGATGGATTATAAACGTTGTTTTATATTTTTATAAGATACTTAGGTTACTTTTATACTTGTGTACTTTTGTGAGTAATTATTTATTGTTGTATAATCAATCATTTTATTTTTAACCCCTATGATAAAAATAAATGTATGGTAAAGATGTATTTTGAATGGTAGTTAAAAAAAATCAATGTATATCTCCTCCTAAGACAAAACCCTGAGAGAACATTAGTAACACTGTAGCGTTATAACGCGTAGTGGTTCATATAACTATACCAAATTATCATAAAATAGGGACAAAGCTTATAATTAAATGAGTTAATTTTAAATTATTATGATATTGAATAAATAAAGAATATCAAATTTTCAATAAAACATTAATTTTAGATTTTTTACCACAGTCGGAACATATGCTGATGATACTGCCTTATTATCAGTTTCTTCGGACAGCACTATTGCGTCACAACAAATACAAACTCACCTAAACACTCTTTCTCAATGGTTCATCAACTGGAAAATAAAAATCAATGAATCGAAATCTTCTTTTGTCACTTTCTCGCTCAGACCCCATAACTGCCCAGCTGTATCTATCAACAACATTATCATTCCACACTCGAATGAAGTTAAATACCTTGGCCTTACTTTTGACAGGCGCCTAACCTGGTCTCTTCATCTTAAAGACAAACGAAAGAAACTTAATTCTAGACTCCATCTCTTAAGGCCACTCCTACGTTCCAACTTAACCACTTCCACCAAAATCATTTTGTATAAAACTCTTCTACAACCAATTTGGACATATGGTATTGTAATCTGGGGCTCTACCAAGACCTCAAATAAAAGAACTATTCAAGCTTTTCAAAACATCTGTCAACGATTAATTACTGGTGNAATTAAAAAAAAAAAAAAAAAAAAAAAAGATTTTTTACGTTGTCAATTTTTTAGGTTAAAAACAAATATATCCTATGAAATGTTAATAATAAAAAAAATAATGGTTTACCTGTCGCAGCATATGCTGTGCTTCCTTGTTCATTAATATCCAAACCGGCTTTTTGAATTACGTTAGATACAATGAGACTACCTAAACGCCCTGTTCCAATGTTTGTCAAATTAGCTTTTGACCCAAACATATCAGTTATTCCTAACTTTAATAAAAAAAAAAAAAAAAATGTTTTGTTAGTATTATTCATTTATTTTTAATAAATAAAATAAATTTTTATTGTAAATGATATGCGATTTATTTAATATATGATTCGTTTTTCTTATCCATTATTATTAAATGAATTAACACGATGCTATTCCCAATTTGTCTGAAAATAAGTTAAGGCAATATCATTTATAAATAAAAACTATTAATCAGTTTTATCTAAAGTAATATAAACATAATTAGTCACATTTAATAGTCTTTCCATCAAAGGACGAGTTAAATAATTATAAACAATTATTATTTAATACAAATTGGTTTAGAAATTGTGTATTTGTTTCCGTCATTCACTTTTTATTGAAGTTATACACGAAAATATTTGAAAAACATCTTGGGATTAAGGTCGTGAAGGTTCTTTGAAAAATTGTTTAGTTGAAAATTTTTTTCTTTTTTGTCTGAATTTAATATTACTGATTCTAAATTATAATTTTTATTACCTCATAAAAATTATTAATTTATTAACTAATAATTATTAATTTTTCCATCTTCTTGAACACACTTAAATTTAAATTAATATTTATTTGATGTTTTTAGACGACAAATGAAGGAATTCACCGGTTTTAATTATATATTACATATTGACTTTACTTTTTGTAAAACAGGTCCAAGAATAGATGTGTACGCAAACGTAAATTTAGGTAAAACAACTTTGGCATTCACTGATTTCATAGATTTAATTGCATTTGTTAAAATGTTTGGATTTATTTTACTAACTAAATCTGACAGTCCATCTGCTGAATCTGGCAATATAATATACATTGCAAATTTATCACCCTAAAACAAGTATATAATTAATATTTATTTATAATAATGCACTTAAATTTTAAATAAATAAACGTTTATTTTTTATTTCTTACTACGTATGGTAAACATATCATTCGAGAATTTAAGGTCGGTAAAGATGAAAGTGAAAAATAATTATAAGTTGTCATCAACGGAACTTCAACAGTAGTTTTGGAATTCAAATTAAAAGTTCCCACTTTAGTGAGATCTTTTATAAAAGGATTTGTCCAAAATCCTTGAAAATATATAGCGTTCAGCAATATAAGAGCTGTATTTTCATTTGTTTGGTCTAAAAAAAACGTCAATTAGGAAACTTCTATAAAAGCAGAAGTCAATAAGTTTTAAATTTAAAAAAAATCAGCGCAAAAAACATAATAATAATTGAATTTTTTGAATTTTCAAGAAATATTTATTTATTTTCAATCGATATTAATATATAGAATTTTAAAATATAAAATTCATAATTAGGGATATATACTTAAATAAAAATTGATTTGGATATGCAATACACTTTGATAATGTGAATTTCTTAAACTTTAAGGGATTATTATGTGTAAGACTTAATACAAAGTGATCCTTAACTGAGTACACATATTCCTTTGAGTTATACTTACCAGTGCTACATACCATCTCAACGTATTAAAATGCATTTAACTCAATAAGTACTTATCCTAAAATTGTATGCAAAAAAAATTTAAAATAATTACTATTTCAAAATTTTTATGAGAGACAAATAAAAAATATTTTTTTCAACGACATAGTCCAAACTGTAAAAATATTTAAAACAAAAATATTAATATAAATAGTAAGTTAATTGATTTATCAAAACATTGTGGGCCACACTGTTTGTAACAAATTTATAGTAACCCATTCATCATAGAGAGGAGCTATATTTATTTTAAATACATTCGTTAGATTTGGGAACGAATCAGATTACGACTGTGCAATATAAAAATAATAATAATATTTGGTTTTATAACACTGTTCAACGAATAATTTTCATCAGAATTAAAAATACAATTTTCTAAGACAATTTTTCATGCCAATTTCAAATTATAATTTTTAATTGACTTATGTTTAAATCTCGGAATATTTTCAGAATATGTTCAAAATTTAAGTTGAAAGATTAACATTTAATACAATAGTAGCTATTTTGAATGTCCCTTTGTGGGCAGGTTAATATTCAGATTATCGAAAAAAATATATACCTAATTAAAAAGAAAAACCTCTAGTATACGAAAAAATTGTTTTAACTCATTAACTTTAAAAAAAGTTATGATAGTTTAAAGTAAAAGAAGTTTAAAAAAAAATTTCGAAATTTACCGTTTTATAAAATCGTAATTTTTTGGAGTATTTTTTCCATTTACGGGGAGTAAAAAAAAATTAGTATAAGTTTTAAGGGTAATGTCTCCAACTAGGTAGATACATTTTGATATATCATTGAAAAAAATCGGTCCAGTGAGAACTCATGGTAATAAACAATACAAAAACGCATCATAGTAAAATTACCTCCTCAGGTGAAAATATTATAAGTGATTGTATAAATTACAATTACTTATGATATACATTTATATCAATTACTTCAAAATACAATATTGGAAAAGTAAATGAGAAAACTCTTTTTGTAGCGAAACTCTAAGAATTCCCTATATTTTTTGTTATTTAACAGTCATTGTTTTATATTTACTCATAATGTACAATGTCAATATTTTTTTAATGTTTATAAGAATATCTATTTGTTGGTTAAAGTTTAATAATGTAAGTTAGACCAAAACAAGTTTTTCGAAAATTCAACTTTAATTTTTTTTTAAATAATACTCAAACAAAACTTAAAATATGCAAAAATTGGTTTAACTTAATGCAACAGTCTCGATTTTACATAACTCTTATTAAACATCAATAAAATAATTTTAGGAGAGTTAAAAAAAAAAATTTTTTAGTGTTTTATTGTGTAAGTATTGCATAATTAATAATTATCTCAAAAACTATAAACAATGTAAAAAAAATTGTAGTCAGATTCAGAATCAACATCAAAATTACTTAAAGAATTCATATCAAAATTTTATAAAAAAAAAAATGAAAGCTGATGTGTTGTTGGATTTTATTTTAACCTAATTTTTTGGTTATTTATTAATAATATAAAGATTAATTGAAGTATGAATATTTCAATTATAACATTTCTTTTATCATCAAGAATTGTCTAGAAATGTTCACTATGATTTATAATGAAATATTTTATTATGATGTAAATATAAAAAATATAGTAATTTTAACGAAATGTTGAGCATTTCTCATAAATTAACTCTTAATAGTAATTATACAATTTCCTTGGCACATATCAATCTAAACAATATCATTTTTAGATCTTCATATAATTTTTTATTAAATATTATCATATTCAAACTTTCAATTTGAGCTAAAACATAGTAATGACAAAAATGAATTTTAAGTACTAAAAAAATATGATTTTAGGATTGAAATTTTGGACTGATTATTATTAGCATAACATTAATAAACAAAATCAATAATAATAAAAATAGAAAATATTAATTTAAATTTATTACTTTATTTTGTTTTTGTAATTACTCGTTTAGTAAAAACGATAAGAAGATATTTAATTGCATATTTGACGTATAACTTTGTCTCTGAGGATTAAAAAGTTTCATTTTATAGAAGAGTGTAATTTTTTTAACGATTTTATTTTTGGATCCGCAGCAATTAATATGTTCAATAGCTCAACCTCGAAATTTGACAACAATTTAATGTGTTAATTACGATGTGCGATGTTAATGTGTTAAATTTTTGAATCACTATCCAAATCAACCAATGTATATTTAAATGTGGGCATTTTTTCTCAGCGATAAGAAAAATAAATCAAATATAAATAAATTGTCAAAACTACTATTGTGAGGTAAAATAGACTACTAGATTTAACTGCATAAAGAAAAATATTTGTTATATTAAATAATTAAAATGTTTAATATATTATAAAAATACCACAAAATTACCAAATTTCATCTTTACCCCATTTTTACCCATTCCAGATAAAATGACCACAATTTGATATAATAACCAAACAATCGACTACACTGATCACGACCATAAAATTCAAACTCGACTAGATTCCTCATAATAATCAATAATATTCAACATTATTTCTCGGAATAATGTCATATAATATAATATACCATTAATAATAATAAGTAATAAAACATAAATTAACCTTCTGTCAAGAGTTCCTGTATGTGTCCGTGAGTTACGTTGTTTGCCCATTCATTAATAGATTTAACTGCGTTAAGTGGTTTGCTGAAATCAACAGTCTCAAAAGACGAATTATACCATGTACTAAGAATTTCATTGTACTCTTTTTTTGTTTTAGCTGTTATATCCAAAAACAATTTTGTACCAATATCCAAAACATAATCATTTGTGTCATAACTCTAAACACATATATTTGAAACATCAACAAAAATTTTTAAATAGTTAAAAAAAACAAACCAAGAAAATATACATTTATAAACTTAAAATTCAATCTTTTTGAAGTCCATTAAAAACACGTTAGGGTATCCCTCCATCTTAACAGTGTTCATTAAATAATATTTAATATTAAAAGTAAATAAAAACTTTAAAACCTTAAAGTAAATTATATTTAATCTATTAACATTTCTTTAACAAAAAAAATTAATTGACATCATTAAACTTTAAATTAACATAAAGTACAATTACTAATGATGAGATAATTGTTAACAAAAGTGAAGTAGTAATAAAAAGAATATTGAATACAAACAAAATAATGAATATGAAATGTCTTTATCTCAATCGAAGCCAGGGGAAATATGGTGTACGATCAAGGCGCCATCCTTTTTTTATGGTTTTGGGGTCCCACACAAAAAAAGGTCATTTGATTGAATGTTAATTATGTTTGAGGCTGGAACTAATTAAATTAAATTAATTATTAAAAATTAATTTTTCATTGATACATGTATATGACAAAAAAAAAAACATGATATAAATATAATATCAATTAGAGCTATACGTTTTGGCGGATTAGGGGCTATACTCTTCCAAAAATAAAATTATCCTCCAAAATTCAGAAAAACTATATAAAACCGGTTAAAATAAATGGTTGGGTTGGATATGCGATACGCGAGGTATATAAATTTACAAATAAAAAATTCTGTAATTATATTTAGCCTTTAAAAATTAGGGTGAATTTCCAGCCACCATCCTCTCAACTATCTATAAATACCTAGTGGCTCTTGCGATAAAAACACTAAATTGAAGCCCCTGTCCAAATAATTTATAATTGATTACCTATAAATTTAAAATTATATTTTAATTAGGTCACTATATCGACATTAGGGCGTATGATGATCTAAATGTCTACTTGAGGTGTCAATAATTATAAACTAAAATAAACACTCTTTTTATCTAAATTCTATATTTTCCTATGCATTTTATTTTAGATTTATAAATCTATTTAACTCTACCATCACTTCTTACCGCCTAAAATATTATCAACTAAATCCATAAATTTGTTTGATATAATCGTTAATAAAATATACATTATATATTAGAAGAATAAATTTAAAAAATGACGTATCGATAATAACTTTTGACCCAAAATTTCTAAAGCTATGAATGTGGCAGGAAAGAAATGGGGGACTGAAAAATGTCTGATTACAGTGACGTATTTAAGTGTTAGGGCTTATCACATCCTTCTTGAACAGATGCATTTTATTAGATGACGTGAAAAAAAAGAATCATATCATACAAATAATGATAAAAATTGAAGCAAGTGCATTGGGTACCTTTGCTCATCCGACGACCATTGTGACTAAAGTTTTTAAATATCGCTATTGTGTATTATTAGGTATGCTATTAATAAACAGTACAAAATATACAGAAAAGCATAATCAAGGAGGAAAATAGGGTTAAAACGTTCAGAGTGAAAATTATAGATCCATTAGATATTACAATTGAAGGGGATAAAAATATTTTTTTACGTATAACCTACTTAAACAAGTCACTAAGGAAGGTTTATTTAACATGATTTACCTGTTTATTATTTATTTATTATATATTTTAATTATTGCTGCAGTGTATTTTATTTAGAATATTTTTCTAACATGATCAGTTTCCACTTCTTAATTTTTGGTTCAAAACGAATAATGATTTTTATTATTTCTTTAATTTACTTGATGTATTTGTAACCGGCGGTTCAGGCCAGTATCAGTCAAATAGGAAAAGATGAAAAACCTTAATAATAAAATCATCATGGAAGCTGTACCCTCATACTACGAAACTTATATACTACTACATCAAAATATTTTTGACTATTAGATATGTATCAATGGTTTTCTTCTTATTATTGGCCTATTACAGGATTTAATTTTAAAATAGCACCTGGATAAATCTACTAACATATAAATAACAACCAAAACTTAAAATTTTACCTTCTAAATTTGTAGGATTAAAATTTTTTTCATACTAGTTATAACTAATAGGGAAAAATTATTGAGTATAAATGTTCAATAACTTTTATGATCTAATTAAGTCACCAAAAATTTAAAATATAATATATATAATGAAAATTGTACAAAAGTGTCAAAAAAGGCAAGTCAATGGGCGGGGAATCTCAAACACTAATTTCATCCCATTCAACTGCCACTCATTAACCCCCAAAAAACACCTATCAATATATTTCTAGGATTAAGTTACAAACAAAAACAAAGTCTTCAAATAATTAAAACTAAACTTTGCTTTCCGATCAAACTATATTCCCCCCACCAAGAAATCTTGCTACGCCACTACTAGTATGGCATAGAAAAAATAAAACATGATTTATTTAAATATTCCGGTTATAGATACAACTACCTTGAACTTACAATATGAAATGTTTGATAATATTTCAACAGGCTTTAATGATAATTACACTCATTCATTTAAAAAACATAATTTGAAAATAATAATGGTATAATTATAATTCAGAGTAACCTACAAATATAATCATTATGTGAAGCTTACTTAGTGTAAAATTTTTCAAAATAAAAAATTTCCATAAATTAGGCTATTAAGGTCAAATATAAACTTAAACATTTTTAAATTATCGAATCAACTACAAACTATTACTTGTAAAGACTGCAATTTCTTAGAAAACTTTTTCCTGATTGTTTCTTTATCTCCGTAAAACCCAACTATTCGGTCAATTTGTTTGGCAGTATCCCCAAGTGCTCCTTCATATATCATTAATAACACTAACTTAACACTTATTGAGGACAACACGGCATTACTATTTTCGATATCATACAAGGCCTAGTTAAATTTAATATATTAAAAAAAAACTAAATTTTTGTAGTTAGTGCAAAGGAATAACACAATACTTTGCATAATTTCCAATCAAATACATGAAAGTCGGGTACATTATTTTCGATTGCTGCAGGTTGAGATGATTGCGTAATTCCAAGACTATTATTTTTAGAATTAATCTTTGCTGCATAAATATTAGCAAATAAACATTGCGTAAAACAGTAAACAATTAGAAATAATGAAAAGTTATCTAAAATTTAACAAAAACCATTAATTATTCACAAATAAATCCTATTAGATTTTTTTCACTTGCCTCTCATTTCGATATTTTTAACAAATCATTTGATTCAACACAAAACAACTTAACGATGGCAAAAAAAAAAACAAAAAAAATAAACAATAACGGAGAATTCTTATAGTAACCGGTTAGCCGACACTCGTCATTGAATACTGTGAAGAACAACTGCTTGGTATAACGTTGACGTATTCGGAAGAAAACAAGTTTTACATTTTACTCCCACCAACAATGTATTTTCGTAAAATTGTTAATCTAGTAAAATTTTAGAGGGAGAAAACCAAATTATTTTACTCACTATATTATTCTTATCATTTTAATAGAGGGAAATTCCATTATTATTACAAGAACACACAATGTTTTCTAGTATATGTATATATAATCATCATACACACTCCATACAAATAATATAGCATATCCCAAAAGATGATTATTATTGAACTTAAATAATAATAATAAAAAAGATGAAATTAAAATTTTTTTCACAATAAAAATGAAGTAAGTATCATACAATGTTCACCACTTATCATTTTAAATATTGTTATTTTACAATATAAAATATTCTGTATAATAGGTATTATTATGGTTATTAGGTACTATAAACACGGCATTGAACATAAATATGAACTAGTCAAATAGTTAAACTATAAGTGAACATTAATTTAAACTGGATAGAAAAAGATTAAATCGTCTTAATAAAAAAAGTTCAGGATACAATTATTAGTCTAATCATCTCCAGATTGAGGGCTGGCATCACCATTTTTCTCTCTTGAAGGTGAACGGGACTTATCTTCAGGTGATCGTGAATCACGCCTGAAAAAAATGAAGTTATTATTTTATTTTTACAATAATAATGTCAGTATTTAGGGAATGGTTCTGTTTGGAAAAATTCTGTTTATTATGTCTATTGTTCAGGTCATTGCAGTTATAGTCTATTGTTTTCTATCATATCATTAAGCTAAAATTAAGAATTTCAACTAAAGAAATTTAAAGTTTAAATATTTTAACTTTGAAGGGAATAAAAAAAAATTGTGTTTACTGCAAATTATTGTAGCTTTTAGAATTAAACAATTTTTTACTTACAATAATTTTAAATTTAAAGTTTTCAAGAAAACTTAATTTTACAAAATTGAAATAAAAATATTTTGAGCTGAATATTTTAAACTTATTAGAAATAATTATTTTGGTGTAATAGGACACAACTTTTTCTCAACCTTTATCACAACTAAGAATACGATATATCATTATGCTTGTTAATATTTATATGAACATAATTAAGTGTTTGAAAAAGGTTGATCATTATTACATAGTCACTTATTAAGTTGCAAAGTATATTAGATAACTTAAAAATTATAGCTTATTATTATTTTATGAAACAAAAATGCATAAATTTCATTCGAAATGAATAACTTATAGTAAAAAACTATTTAACCAATTAAAATGACAACATAGAGAATTGAGAAAAAAAAGATATATGGATAACTTTGAGTAAAACATAAAAAAGTAATAACTCAATCGAATATTTCAACACAAATGATAGGGGGGTTAATTCACAAGGAATTTTTCGTTCTGAGTTACATCAATAAGATAAATAAAGGCAAAAATTGTAAAATTAAGTGTTATCGTCAAGTTTATTGTTCAATTATTAAAACACTAAACTTGTGATATTTTTCCCAATGCAATGTTTATAAAATATGAGTATTTGGTTCATGATATAAAAAAAAAAAAATTCAGTTCATATGATTATTTTACTTAAGTTTTACAACACAAAACTCAATATTACATTTATGAGCAAGTAACACACATTAATACTTTACATGGCAGGTATTTTTTTTTGTATTAAATGTAATTTTTTACTTTAGGTTATTTGTTTTTACTACAATTTATACATTTTTAATTCATTAAATAATAAGCTATAATTTAAGTTATCTAATATTTTTTGCAACTAAAAATTTGAGTAATTGAATAGTATTTTAAAAACTAATCACCCTACATATATTCTTACACATAATTATAAAAAGAAAATATTGTATTAAGTATGGTTAGTTAACATTTATGAAGTAACTTCATTCTTAGAACACAACTCTTACTTAGTTATCAGTTAGTTGATTTGAAAAATATTATTGTGTATAATTATTAGTGAATATAGCTAAACTTTAAAATGACATAACTTTGCTTTGTACATAGTTACAAAAATTATCTAGCTACTAAATAAAACAAGATGAATTTTATTAGAGTGAGGTAAGTTTTACATCAGTCAGCAATAAATTGTTACACATTAAAAGCACTATATCAAACATCAAATTTTATTATTATTAATACTCTTACTTTATACGTTTATTTGAAATTGATTGTGAACGAGATTGAGATCTCTTTTTATCCAAAGATGGTGAACGGGATCGGGACTTGGAATGAGCTGGAGACCTACAATTAATTTGAACAACAATTAATTAACCTTATTAATACTACAAAATATTCTAGATTTTTATCTAAATATTTCATACTTGTAGGGTGATTTTGAACGTGATCCAGATTTTGACTTGGAATGACTATTTGATCGACTTCTGTAATTAGAATAATTTAATTTTTAATCAATACAATCGAGTTTTACTTACAACTATTTTTGTTTAACAACTGTTATAGAAGTGTATTCTTTAAAGAAAAATTTATTTTTCTTATAAAAAATATTGTATAATTTACCTTGAATGAGAACGAACACGACGACGTGAACGCGATCTTGACCTGGACCGAGAACGAGAACTAGATGGACTACGGCTACGTCTACCACCACGACCACAGCTACTACTTCTATCTTCAATTAATCTAATGCGGCGTCCATTTAATTCTGTATCATCTAATTTATCAAGCGCAGTTTTTAGATCCGAATAAGATGCAAATTCAACAACACTTAATGAAAAATTTTTTAATTATTAATTTTTTATTTCTTTAAGTTTACAACTATTTATTAATTACCCTTCGTTCTTCCGTTGTTTATGTGCATCAGCATAGGTAACTTCTCCAGCTTGTCGCATGAAGTCCTTCAAATCCTGAATAAAATTTTGAATTAAAAACAATTGGTAATTATATTTACTAACAAAGAAAAATTATATTGTAATAATAACACATTTTATTTTTTTAATACATAATACAAATATAAAATAATTAGTTTCATTTCATTTAACTAAAAAGTATTTTTAATTAATAGAAACCTGCACAATTTGTTGTATTTAATATAACTTAAAATGTACAGATTGATTTCATAGAATAATAAAGCTGTTTTGATAATGATCAATGGCCTTGATACATTGGTAGTCTAAACCAAATTTTCTTTTCATTACTATTTCATCACACTTGAATTTGTTGAATTTCAAAATATCAAAAATGATTTAATATCCAGACAATTATGTTTGATCAATAATTATAAGAAGCCTGACAAATACCAAACATTGTTTATTCTATTACTTAAGATACATACCTCTTAAACACTTGAAATGGTATTGAAAATCAACTCGGTCTCTGACCATGTGGGGCGACATGAGTGGGGGGTTAACCATAGTGGGCAGCTGATCGGCTCGTATTGTTGGGAACACCTTTTGTGGGCCGATCATCCTAGACCCGGTATGGAATGTGTGATATCGTACTGTGATCATTTGTGGTATTGGCTTAGGTACCATATAGTGCCACTCTTATCTTATCGGCCAACGATCAAGCGTTTTATGTCATTGATATGGACATCAATCGAACCCAACACATTGTGGTGGCTCTTTAGAAAAATAATATTAAACTTTTCACTTTCATTTCTTTTTTCTACATTTTTTTTTTATTTTTCAAATTTATATATTAAAGAGATATAACTTTAACCACTTGTTTTACAAAATGTAAGTTTTATAGAATCAAATAAATGAATTACTCTTAGCTTAAAAAAGGTTTAAGAGGCAATTAAAAGTATACAAAAATAAAAAAAAATTTTGAGAGAACTAGATTATTTCATTACAACATAAGTAAAAAATATACAATTAAGTATTAAATGTCACTGAATATTAAAAAGAATTATATTAAGTTTAAAAATATTTGTTACAAAAAAATTTAAATGAACTTTTTTTTTTTACTAAAAATAAATAGTATTGAAATTAAATAACTTATGAAGATTATAGAAAACATTAGGTTATGGAATTTCAACAAACATACATTTAGCCGATTCTCTAGGAAAATAATTTAAATCAAGAACTTTTAAGTTAGTTTTTAAATTAATAAAAATTAATGAATTCTATTCATGTTTATAAATAAACTTTTTTAAATTATACTGAAAGGATAAGGTAAAATTACCAAAATATTTCATTATACGTTTAAAAATTAACGTAACTAAGATATTAAATATTTAATTTTATTAAAATTAAAGTTTTTATGAAAAAGTGCAATAGTTAAAATTTACCTATTTTACAATGCACAAAAAGTTAAACATATAAATTTGTGTATATAGTGATCCAAGAATTATGAACACTTAATAACTTACAAAATAATAATAATTGTATTATTTTTTGGTTTTTTCAGTTTCATAAAATTTGTATTTTATCCACTATTAAGTATAATTATATAATCTCTTATGTTTGGTATCAACTTTTTTTTTAATGGAAAAAAATATATTTAACTAGCTTATAAAATAGAAATTTAAATAATTAAAAAATGACTGTTCTATAAAAACTTACAAGACTAGCATTTAAGAAGTTATTAACAATTAAAAATAATGACTCAAGAAGTGGTTGCTGCTATTTTTAACTCTAAACATTTCTCGCTTTCAATCCACTTCCTGTCTAAGTATAAAAATATTAACAGTATCTAAAATAACGGTGCAAAAGTTTTTATCAATCAGCCAATTTTTTAATTACATCTTTTTTTTTTTATTTTATAAGCTAGTAAAATGGTAAGCTTCTACTTAAAAAAAATGTATAACCTTATAACATGTAAAGGATGAAAAAAAACTTAATACTGTATAAAACAAGAATTATATGTAACAAAAAATTCAAAAAAAAAATCTTTAAATTATTATTTTATGAGTTATCATCAAATGATTTAAGGATGACTTGTACAAATATATGTATTTTTTTAATTATTAAATGCTATATCAAATAGTTAGAAAGGACTTTATGTCATTTAAAAATAACTTGAATTATTTGAAGGTATAGTATATTAAAATAATTTTTACTTATTTTAAAGAATTATTCAGTAGTTGTCCTTCACACAGACATCATAGTCACCTGACTCTGGTGTATAACCAATGAAATTCCAATTTATAATTTAATTTTCCCAACAATTGTTTAATTGTAATAAAATATAATAAATTGAACCTAAAGTATAATTAGAAATAAATTTTAACTAATAATTTTGTCTAAGAAGTGATATATTTTTAACCAGTCCATTTATAACAAATTTTACTTTAATACTATCTATTCTACACGATATTTTTATTAATTTTTTTTTTTTTTTTTATTTACTCAATAGTTTTGAGTATTATCTAATTTTTAATCAGTAACCTGATGAATTTTTCCTAACCAAAACTAATAGTTATAATTTATATTTAATTATACCTTTAATTTATAATTTTTAATAAACTTATTTATTGAATTACACATTATGGTGGCATCATCAATCCTATCATATGTGAGGTAAAACATTTTATCACTATTAATTTTTTTTGTAAAAAAAATATTTGAAACTGCAATCAATCAAGCACAACTGTTTTGATATCATGAAAACAAAACCTATACAATTTTTAAAATAGAGAATGATTAAACATAAATGTTCATTTGAATATTTCCTTTGATGTAAAATTAAATAGTTAAATATAAAAAATTATTTTAAAATAAATATACAGCAAATATAATGCTATACAATAAAATATATGGTTCAAATTTTAATTGTAGTCATTATTACCTGTACAGTATCTACTGAATTAAATTACTTAAAATTTACTAGTCTAGTCTTATATTAAAAGATGAGTTATTAATAGTTTTAATTATAGTTTAACTATCTAAATAAAAACTATTGAAAGCAATTTTAATTTTGATCTATATCTTGATAATAACCAATAAAATCTTCATTTAAGAAGTTCAATTATATAATTTATCTCAATACTTATGACAGACAAATGTTTTAATGCATTACTATTAATAACAATGATACTATCATTGCAAAAAATTTAAAATATGATAAAATTTTAATTATGTAAGAATTTACATTCAAATTTATTTTGGTATAAATGAACCAAATTTACACTTAACTTATTATAATACAATTTCTTACTATAAATCAAAAAAGTAGCAGATACTAAAAGAAAAAATCTATAAAACAATAAAATCACGTTATTGAAAATTGATTGTTCTCATATAATATATGATAATTATCAATATTTATGTTGTCTTTATATTATATAGACAATAAAATAGTCAAATTCAATAAATGTTACATAATAAAATACATATTTTACTTTGTTATTAATAAAGAACTATTAAATCAAATATCCTTATAAATGAATTTATTTCTGAAAATTATCACCATTTATTTGCAAAAAATAAAAATTAATTTGATAAAAAAATTTTTTATTGAACAGAAAGGAAATAAATTATTACCAAAACTTAAATTTCCATTTGCCAAAGAAAAAAGCTTTCCGATTTTTACACAACTTTACTAAAAAATTGGAAAAACCTTCAAAAGATTTAATATAACCCACATATGAAGAATAATAAACATAAAAACATGATTCCAATGTATAGTTTGTGTTATTGTTAATGTAATATAATTGCTCTTACCTGCCAGCTAACACGGCTTGATAAATTTTCAACAATTAATCTATAATTTGTTCTTGTAGGTGGACCATATCTATCATTTCTATCATCTCTAAAAATATTTAAATATATTATCAAACTATATAATTTTAAATAATGAAATTTAAAACTTAGTTGAAAAGGGTATTTTATTGGTTTATAGCTAGATTCAAAATTAAAGAAAAAATAACTTTAAACTATGTGGATTTATGTATAATGTTGTATAAAGTAAAATTTTTTTAATTTATTACAAAGTTATTAAATAAATGAAATTACAAAGACCATTGTTTTAAATGAAACATAGGATCTTTTTCAAAGATTCTCTTAAAATTTGAAAATATGCAACTCTCTACTTTTCTTTAGCAGCAAATCCTTAGTAACAATAATAATCTTAACTAATAAGATCTAGTACCAATTGTCATGTCCTCATCAATAAAATACATCATGTCATGATAATACAATATTATACGTGATATTGTTTCAATATCTATATACTCTTAGGATTATAATTATCATGCATGGTGTTTACCTTTTTTTTTCTAAAAATTATGATGCATAATTCTCATTTTAATTTTATTTAGGAGGTATGTAACATTGTATTGACAATGATGACATAGATTAATATAATTAGATGCAGATGAAATAGATTAATTAAAAATAAATTTTATATTATACACTACATAAAGACCCATGTATAAATAATAATTAACTACAAAAAAAAAATTTAAGTACCAGTTTCTATTATTTAGTTAACTATAGATTATTTTTAATACCTAGCATCACGCCTAGGACGTCTTGGAGGAGGTGGTGGTAAATCACCACCTCGTCCTGATCCACGCCAAACATCACTACCTCTTGGTGTTCCACGAGCACGTTCTACAGAAACTCTATAAAATTGACACAAAAATAATGAAAGTATTAAAATAAACATACTTCAATTCTAATGTATACCTTTCACCATTAAGTTCTCGGCCATTTAATTCATATACAGCATCATCAGCATCACGATAATCATCAAATTCCTATTATAATATAATTTATTTTATATTTATGATATATTACATCTAACAATAAAATACAATGAAAATCTTTATAAAATAAACAAATTTATTGTAAACAGATAAACATTTATTAAAATAATTTACTTTAAGTCATAAATAATTAAAACTTAATATCTACTATACATATATTTTAAAATGAATGTAAAAAAATACTGAAAGACAATTAATTAAAATAAGAATATTTTTACCACAAAAGCATATCCATTTTTCATAGCAATATCCTTAACTCTACCAATTTTTTGGAAAAACCTTTCGAGATCTCTCTCTCGTACACGATGAGAAAGTCCACCAACAAAAACTCTTGTGCCATTACTCATTTTATCTTCAGATATAAGTCAATTTTTTAAGAAGTATCCTAAAAATGTAAATATTAGTATAAATAATATAATATAATGTATTTTACAAATAGAAATATAGTAACAGTTTAATTATATGATTAAAGTACCAATAAAAATAGGAAAAAGAGCGAAATAAAATTCTTAGATATATAACGATGACTATTAATTAAATTATGGTTTAAAAAATAATATCATTATGTATACTCTGAAGATTAACTATAAAATGAAATTACCCAAAAAAATCTTTGATTAACCAACTAGAAATCTGATAGAATGTATTAAAACAGATTGATTTGTTTAAAAATTTTAAAATATTATAAAAGCTAGTTTGATATAATCTAATCAAATTTATTTCCTCAATTGTAACTAACTTCAGAAAATTTAATTAAAAAGTACTGCATCCAAACTCAATTTAGATAATAATTATATATCTTTACAACTATATCTTTTATACAATTTAAATGTAAATATTCATATTCTTAAGAATATACAAACACTAATGTAGTAAATTAATAATTATCAAAATAACCAAATAATTTATAAGCTTTTTAAAACATAACAGTACAATATATAAATTACTATTTAAAAGTAATATCTTATTAAATTCCACGCGAATACCACATAATTTTATTTAGCATACCAGAAAATAACCTAGAGACACGTCGTAGAATAACGATCATGCAAACATATACCAAGTAAATATTATTTAGTACCCTGATAAACATACCCGAAGTCTTTAGGCAGGAATAATAATTTATAAACAATAACTCAATTTTACTAAACGTTAATAAAAAAATATATTAATTCACACAACTCACAACAGGAGCAAAAAATATAATGCCGATACTGTATATCTTAATGGAACAATATGGCGGCTCCTTAAGCGTTCTTACAAGTTAAAACGAATTAATGCGCGTGCGTTGACTCATAGTATAAATATTAATGAAGAGTACACTGTTTATATCATGGAGAATAGAAATAAAAAAATAACCACAATATGAAAACTATTTAAACCGTGGTAGCTACGAATGATAAATATTGCTTATTCACAAATTAAGATAAAATTGACTGAACACAAAACCTTATCAGGCGATCTCATTTTGTTAAGCATTTATCATAGAAGGGGGAATTTTAAAGTGACGGTGCCATACTCTCGCTATAACTCACTAGTCGCCAAATTTTGGCCTCAAAATTTCTATTACTAAACCAGATGACCAGTTTTGCCAGATTGGACGATTTATCGCCATTTGGACTATATTTTAAGGACAAATGGTAATTAATGAAGTTTATTTTTGTATGGTCACTAATTGGGCTACTTTTTAACTAGTATACTATTGATTTTGACGAAAATGAGATTAAACCCTCATAATTTTCTATAATAATTATATACTGTTAATAGTTATTTTCGTTTTTTATATAATTTATTTTTTAAAAAATCGGTAGAACAATGAGATTGCAGCACAGTGTGGATTTAACATAGTTGGAACAAATTAGACGATATCTGACAGTAATTAAAATCACTATTATAAGAAACGCTTCGATACAAATCTGTAGATAATGATAAATTTAAGAAATTGTGAATTATTCCAAAATGAAATCTCATTTCCTTATTTATATCCTGGTTACAAGTTTTATGATATATAAGTGTAATATATGAATAAATATTTAATAAATTTAAATTTATTTATTATTAATATTCATGAAATTTGTTCAACTTCGACAACCGTTTGCACATAAGATATCAGGACAACATTTATTTTTTAACTTGTACGTAACATAAGCATTAATTTATCATATATTTAAAAGACGAAGTATTTCCGAAACATTTTCAAAACTTAAGTTGAAAAAGTTAAATTTTTGTGCAGAATTTTTAGGAAAAAAAAAATGAAAGAAATATCGAAATTTACTGATTCTAGAAATCGTAATTTTTTGGGAATTTCACTATTTACGGGGAATGAGGGCAAAATTTTCTGAGGGTAATGAAATCAACTAGATACAATTTGTGATCTTTTGACGTATCGTTGAGTAAAATCGGTTCAGTGAGAGCTGAGATAAAGTAATGACACAAAAAAAACGGTGACACAGTGGAGTCGCGGCACAGTATTGATAGCTGAGTAGTGATAGACACAAAATAAAAATCAATAATAAATTAACACGTCATGGTAAAATTAATACTTTCTCAGATTCGATGCGAAGCTGAAAATAGACGATTTTGGAAGATTTCCTTTCAATACCTTCTGGCAACACTGATTATGACGAGTCCATTTTATCTTAGTTCGTAGGTTTATCAAGAGCATAGTCTTAAAAGATAAAATCGGCGTACTCAAATCCTTATAGACTGTTTCAATATTTCCGTTTATTGAATTGAAAGCGTTTCAGATGTTCGCAAAAGCACTGTTTTTAAACGCATTTAGGGTTATAATGATATATTTTGTATATATATTAATATGTTATATGTTATACATGTTTTTAAACATGTATAACCCCAAAATAGAGGGATTATAGGACACCCAAAAATTATACAATCCACACTATTTTATCAGAAAATATTCCACTCAACTTCAACTTTACTGAACAGTATTTTAGGCGTATTGTTTAATACGTCAAACTATATGATATTTTCAAGTCTAGATATTACATTCTTGACTCATGAGAGTCTTGGTTGATGATACCAACTAATTAAACTAATATAATTCGTTTTGTTAAATAGTAATTAAACTAGACGCAAAATCGAAATATTTTTATACAAATAACTCAAAATCTAAAATCAGCGCAATTCACCCCTCATAATTTTAATATTTTCTTAATAAAAGTCAAATTTAACATTCTAACTATAGGGTTGTTGGACATTCATTATGATTGTATGAGTAAAATTGCTGATTATACCATAAAATAATAAAAAATAATAATATATTAAATAATATTTATTTGATTGATCAGTATTAACTAATTATATTTAATAATTAATATATATTTATGTTTTCTGATTAAGAAACAAGGTCATCAGGTTAATGAAAATTTTACTCTTGTATTCTTATAATTTAAAGATTTTTCAGCAACACATTTTTCTTTGAACAATTACCTAATTTATTAACAATTTTTATATTCTTCAATTGAAATATGACATAATACCAGTTAAGAGTTACCAACTTTTTTTATAATAAACCATATTTCAATAATATTGAATAATATCAGCGCTATTCAATTGACTCATTTAAATCGCTTTCAACATAATTTTCTATTAAAAAAATAAGATTCTATTTATTAATGATTGTGGCAAAATTCATTAGTTAAGTTCTGTACAATACGTCCCAAATAATCTCATTCCTCGAAAGTACAGTTACTAATTTTTTTATTATAATCAAATAATATGCCTATCAATATTTCTACACTGATGAATATTTTACAAAAAAAAAATATTCTTATCTAATTTATTCTCGATTTGTACTTACGCCCAATGATATATATTATAAACAAATTGATTTATAGTATTTAATAAGCAAAAATAATTTTTGTCTATATTTTTTGATGATACGAATAATTGTACCATTGATTGAAACACTTTAAAATGTATATTTTGATATATGTCTCACAATTTATTGTTTGTAATATCGATATATATCGCTATTTTTCTTTTAATATTATTGAACATTAATATAAAAAAAAGTTATATACATATTCGATACTTAAATTAATATTGCCATCAATAATTATCTTAGCTTACTAATGACACGGAACCAAACAGTAATATTTAATATCACCACTATGTAAAAAAAGTATGAAAAACAAACAGCATTGAGACAGAGATAAAAAAAAACGGAAAAGGAAATATTTGCTACTTAATTAATCATAGCGCTTTCTGTGTAATACTATTGTTTAGAGCAAAACTAAATAGAGTAGTAGAATAGCTAATAAATAAAAATCATTACGATATTACCATTTAATTAATTATTTTAACTTGAAATATTCACCTCTACATTGCCTTTATTTAAGAAATCAAGAAATTATTATATATTATATAAAGTACATTTATAAATAAATATACATACATATATGTATGATACATGTAATATACAGAATTATTAAGAATGCTCTAATAAATGCTAAAACTAATGAAGTAATACGTTTTTTTCCTATGAAATTTTCAAATGTATTTTGTTAGTACCCCATAGCTCCTAAATTGTATCATTATTGTCATGGTGATCGCTACAAAACAACTTTGTTATAACAGTATCAAATAAAATCACATGACAAAAAAACTTGCGTTATGATATCAATGTTTAATTATACATAATTAACATTGAATCATTATTTTAAAAATATGATTGTCTAGATGAAATAATGTTTTTTTTGTTTTCAAGTTCGAAAATCATTTAAAAGTATTTAAATAGTATATTTCATTTGTTTATGATATATTTTAATTGAACAAGTTAAATATTTTTGAAAATGACTACTAAGGATAATGTTGAATACGATGTTGGTACATACAGATGTGAAGGTCCTATAGAACATTTTAAATTTAGGTATTTATCCAATAAAATTTACTTAAAATAACTCGATATAATAAATTTCAATTTAATTAATTTTATACAATTTTTAAATAGAATAAGCTTAGAAATATCTCGTACATCATTTCATCATAAAAATACTGATTTAGAAAAAAAACATAAAAAAAGAATTGAAAAAATTTTTAAATGGATGGAGAAATCACCAGAAGAAATTCTCAATCAAAATGATTTGGATGAAACGTCTTCATCAATTGAAGGAAAATTGCACGATAGCCATTTGTTAACTGACATAAACAATCATCACGTAAAATTTAATTTTTACTTATTCTTGCCAATTAACTTAAGCACGATCATGTATACCTATTACTAAACAATAAACAGACATATATCTTTTGAGTCAAATTATTTTATAAATAGATACAACAACTTTCATTGATATTTTTAATAAATATATTTAATTGATTCAAATAGAAAATACTAAGGGTTTTTTTAAAGTTTATGACCAGTTTTTATGTTTTTCATTAACATTATTTAAACTAACAAGGGGAGGTCACGGTGATGGGATCACCGATTTTCATAAAATTTATATAGATCTAATCTATATTGAATACAAAATCAGATGTATTTTGAATTTTTTGCCAATGCCCCCCCCCCAAGTCGAAAAAATTGACTTTGAAAATTTGTAATCAGCTTAATAGGTTCATTGTTCTTCCATAGACAACAGCGTTTTATATCTAGAATACGTGATCCTATGACGCGAACGGTCTCAGTATCGAAGAATCCTATAGACAATTGAATTTTTTTCATTGTTTTCTCTTTAAATTATTAATTTTACGTAGTATTTGTTAATTTTTTTTACATTTTATGTAATTATATAATTTTATCTATATAGTTTTCAAAACACATTTGATGTTACAAATTATCGATTGTTCAGTGATAAATATATGATGAAAATAATATTTTATGCACATAAATATAACTTATTTTAATATTAACCGGGTAAGAGTATGTTTATAAAAAGGTGATGTTGATTAATTAAATACATTACATTTCACATTAGGAAGGATGATATTTATCATAAAATCAGCAATATCATAAAAAATGATTACATTTTAAACAACGTATAAAATAATATTAACTTTACTCCTTTATTAAATATGAACTTCACGTAAGCCTAGCACTGAACTTGAGTTAAACCTTTCAAAAATCTCTCTTATTTATAATTTATATAAATTGCCAAGTAAAAATATTAAATGTTGACAAGTATTACCCTTTTCAGGACAGTCCATCTTTTATACATTTCCCTAGAACCTTTAGTTTTCTTATTCAAATTAGTAATTTTATTATATTCTAAAAAATTCAATTAATGAAAAATGTCTGCATTTCTTATATGAAACGTAAACGTTTTTATTAATTAAAAAATTATAAATTTTAATTCATAATTTAAACAAAAATATTTAAATAACAATTGATTTTTTTTTTTATAGAGTGGTCGAGCAATTCTTCATGATGTTGTTAATATAGATAATATAATAACTAAATCATTTAAACAAATTGGTGAATTAAAAATAAATAGTAAAAATATAAATATTTTTAAAAAGACATTCGTAGATGAAGCGCCATCTAATAATTTAAAACTTCAAAATAGATTACCATATTCAAACCATATAATGCATATAATTTTGGATCTTGATAATAGTAAGTAAGTATTATTTTTATATAATAATATGTTAAATTTGTTTGAAATAATTGATAGACAAATTACTGATAGAAGTGTTTCATTGACTTTATTCAAATATGTATTAAATTTGCAATAATGTAAAATTAATATTAAAGTTGAAAGATAAAATTTAATTTTTTTACTTAAAAGTTATTGACATGCCTAAGCAATGTTTTTTTTTATTGTGTTTAAATAATGTTTAGCTTATAGGTTTTATATTACTAAATAATTAAATATATTAACTAGTAATGAAACAGAAATGAATAGACACGTGCTAGCATCATTATATTGGAATCCTAACAGCCATATTTTAACAATATTGCCAGATTTTACTAACACTAATTCAGCTGGGTACATTCTTCCAATAAGCACTGTTAAAGATTCATGTTTTGAATATAGATTTTGGATTGAAAATATACCAACTGAAACTAAAGATTTACTTTATAACAATGTAAACATATTAAAGTTAATTTTTTTTTTATTAAGGTAGGAATAAGATAAATTATTATTCAAATTTTCAAATTTTCAGTTATATCTAACAAAATTTGACTGTCATGATTTTCACATGCCAGCGAATGACACTGTTGATATTGTAGGAGAAATAATATCAGCTTCAGGATTTGAGTATGATAGTTTATTTGTACGATATCAGATTTATATTCCTTCAGGTAATATTTGTTAAAAAATTTTAGTAAAATCATTTATCTACTATAGTAGATAAATAAAATATATTGAATACTATTTAGTCACAGTTGTAAATAGAAATTATCTAATTGATGCATAATTTTATGAGTATACGTAGTGACGTATTAAAAATAACTATTAGATCAGCGATAATGAAATGTTTAAATTACATAAAAAAAATTTGTTATGCAAATATTTCGTGAGAATTACCTTTTTTATTTACCAATAATATTTTTACCAACCCAACCGGAACGAATAAAAAACAAATAACATTACCTTTTAATAATTTTCTACTATGTTTAACACATTATATAACGTAAATAATGTCTAATTAGACAGTTCATCAAAAAATTCTATAAGGTAATTCGTCTCTAGAGAAGAGTAAAAGCTATCTGGAAATAACTCTACTCGCAATATCATATTTAGCACTTATTTTATAGGGAGTGGTGACTTAATTTACTTCTTTTAATTCATCTACGGTAAATATACTGATAATTTTATTTGCTTCAAATTTTACCTGAAAAAAATTAAATCTTTAGTAACACAATATAAATACTGGCTTTATCATATATAGTTAATACCATTCCAGAAGGTAACTATCGCTTAAATAATCAATCCACGTCTATGAGGGTTTAAAACAACAAAAATTTGTATAAAAAAAATAATTTATCCCTAATTTTTATTCTAATTTGACTGCCATTTGCAAATAGAGAATAGGTCGTAGGTACAAATTTATTTTTGAACTTATAGTACATAATGTAAGCTTTAATTTAACATATGATTAAAAAACGCATTATTTCCCGAACATTTTCAAAATTTAAGTTAAAAAAGTTAAGTTTTGTAAAAAAGGTTGGTATTATAAATCCTTTTTTGTGGGCAGGTATAGGGTCAAATTTCCAAAAAAATTACATCAAGTAAAAGGAATTACTTAAAGTTTCAATATAAAAAAAAATTATTTTGATTTGTTCATTTTTCAATAATTAACGGCAATTTTTAGAAAAAAGTGAAAAAATTTCGTTACCTATTTTTAAAATTGTAATTTTTTGGAGGATTTCCACCATTTACAGGGAACCAGGGAAAACTATTCAATTTTTGAGGGTAATGTCTTCCACTAAATACGATTTGTGATCTTTTGACGTATCGTTGAGAAAAATCGGTTTAGTGAGAGCTGAGATAAAGTAATGACACAAAAAAAAACGGTAGCACAGTGGAGTCGCGGCACAGTATGGAAGTGGCATAGTTGGGACAAGTATAGATAATATCTGATAGTGATTAAAATCAGTATCATAAGAAACGCTTTGATGCAAATCTGTACATAGTGTTTAATTTTAAGAAATTGGTAGATTATTTCAAAAGCAACAATAACTCTTATTCCCTTAATTTTATCCCCATTAGTTATTTGATTTATTATTATTATATATGAATAAATAATAAATATAGTAATTAAATTTAGTATGAAATTGATATTCAATAATTTAATGTTGTAATTTTTACGGAAATATAATAAAAATAAAAAAGTAGTTGTATATTTCTTTTCTTTTAACGTGTTGGGTTAAAAATTTAAAGGGCTTGATGTAATAATTTTCAATAAAAAATGTTTGTAACTTATGAATAAACACACTGGATTACAAGGAATACTTTTCTAAATCAACTTTTTACGATGTTTTCAAATGTGCAATTAGACTTTTTCTATCACTTCTAAGTTTTAACATTAATAATATTATTCAAAAATAAGTATTTACATATAAAAAAATAATTAAGAACAAAAAAAAATTGTTTTATATTAATACTGATTTTGATTATTAATATGTTAAACATAAGGAAAATGACATATTTAACCTATTTTTTTAATCCTTTAAAGTTAATTTTTGTGAAAGTTTATAGTAAAAAAAATTAATTTATTACCATAAGTTTTAGCACAATTTGCAAGTTTGAAATTGACGTCATTAAATAAAAAATTTTATGAGAATTAAAAAAATTGTATCGTTAAGATTAATATGCAGTCAGGAAATTTTATAACTATTTATAGTAAATTTATCAGAAAAGCTCAATACTTATTTGCATTTTTATCGTAATAGATAACTTAATTAGAAATAATGGTTATTATTTCCTAGTAACTTTTGGTGTTTAAAAAGATTCTATAATTGAAATGTGAACTGAATTAATTTTAATGATTTACTAACTGAAATAACTAATCAAAAAAAAGTTGTTAAAAAGATCTAAAAATTCTTTGTTAATACAAGAAAAACTAACAAATAATTTTTTTTAGAAATGATTTATATAGCAACATGTTATCAAAATATTTGGAATATTATAGTCTAGTAGTAGCACATACAAAAAGAGTAAAAAATATTATTAAATTACAAAGTAAAATGATTTAATTTTGTAATTGAAACTTATCATATCGAATTTGATTCGTCAATAAATACTTTGAAAACATTATAAATGAATTATTTTAATTGTCTGTATGGAGAACATGGGATAAGTAACTGTTTAATTGATAAATTAGAATTTTGTTTCAATTTTTGAGGGTTATATCTTCAACTAGATACAAATTGTAGTCATTTGACGTATCGTTGAAAAAAGTAAGTCAAGTTAGAGCAAATAAAATAAATGATAGTCACAAAAAAATACCCTGTCAGCTTTCCATCGAAGTTAAAACCTAATATATAGTTAAATAATTTTAATATGAACAAGAAAATTTATTCTAACTTAAAAAAAATTAAGAAAAAATGCATAAGATTCCTTGCCATTCACCGGTTGGAACCTTGTACCCCAAGCGCGTGACACACAAGTGTTACCGACTCGGCAACCGTACGTCGCTTCCATTGACTGAAATAAATGCAATTTAAGCTAGTTCAAATTTCAAAGTTATTTTAGTCATCTTAAAAAATACAAAAGAATTCAATTAAGTTTAACTTTCTATGATATATCAATTTGATTTATATAATATTAATGAAATAATATTATATGTAATAAAAATTGATCACTTGTAGCTAATTAATTAAGTAAAATTAAAACTATATTAAAAATATTATTAATTTAAAAAACTAAAAAATATTAACAATATTAAACTCAAAGCCACAAAAAAATTAATGAAAAGTCGCGGATACGTATTTCGGAAACAATGTTACCATTATCAACGCTAAACACATACTGACCAATATTATATGTAACAATATTTCTGTGTACTCTCCTTGTCAGGTATTTTAAAAAAAATAAAATACATAACCCAGAATTTTAACACAAAATAGCATATTTTTAAACAGTGGCGTTCGCAAGGGGGGGATTCAATCCACCCCACCTCCAGCCAATAAAAAAAAATTTATAAGCTAAGCGACAATTTTGGAAGATAAACAATAAGTCATAACAATAAAAACGATTATATAATACTATAAATATTTCCACAATAAAGTAATCGAAAACAAGAATTTTTATGAGCCCACAATATGAGCAATGTCTCATCTAATTTTCTTTAAATTTTAAACCCCCCCCCCCAATTTAATTTCTGTGTATGCCATTGTTTTTAAATACAGTAGTTATTTCCACCAAGAAATTGGTGGAAATGACTACCGTATTTTTTTTTTTTTTAATTAAAGTATATAAGCTTCGATGCGAAGCTGAGAAGGTATTAATTTTACTATGTTGCGTTTTTTTTTTTTGTGTGTCTGTGAACGCTCAATCTCAGCTCTCCCTGGACCGATTTTGATGAACAATACGTCAAAGATCACAAATCGTATCTAGTCAAAGACATTACCCTCAAAAATTGTAAAAATTTCCCTCGTTCCCCGTAAATAGGGGAAACCTCCAAAAAAATTCCAAATTTAAAAATCGTTAATTTACGAAAGTTTTTAAATTTTTTTTACTTAAAACTACCATAACTTTTTCAAAAATGAACAAATCAATATAATTTTTTTTTTTAAATGCTTGATGTCTATACCTATCATTTGGTATATATTTTTTATAAATTTGACACTTAACCTGCCCACAGGGAGGGATTTAAAATGACAACTTTTTTACAAAAATTAAATATGTGTGTGTTCCAGAAAGTCTGACACTTTTATATACATCTTAAATTAAAGCTAATGTAATGTACTTTATTATGGAAAAAAAAATTTCAGACTTTATTTTGTGTTCACGGTGAAAATGGCTACAAAATGCTATTTTTGTGTGAATATTCTTGATTTTGTATTTTACATTTTAAACTTAATTATGCTATACATTTTTGAAAAATGTATGGATCAATACAATTTTTTCATGAGAAATAATAATTATATCCCTCTTTCATTCGACATACTTTATCTTAATCAGGATATAAATAAAGAAATAGCAAATCATGTAGATTTTGGAATAATCCATCATGTTTTTAAAATTAAACACTATCTAAAGATTTGCGTCGAAGCGTTTTTTATGATAGTGATTTTAATCACTGTCAGATATCATTATACTTGACCCAACTATTCCATGTCACCACTGTGCTGCGACCCCCTTGTGCTGGGTTTTTACATAAGCTTTAAATTAAGATATCTATAAAAGTGTCAGTATTTCTGGAACGTTTTCAAAAATTAAATTGAAAATGTCCTAGTTTCAATACGCATGTAAAATGTTTTGACCCCCCTTGTATAAAGGGATATTATCTTATTAAAAAAAAAGGGTTAGATGAAGAGGTATATAAAAAAAACAATATTGATCCATACATTTTTGCAAAAGTTATAGCAATATAAATTTAAAAATATAAAATCGAGAATTTTTTCACAGAAATCGTACATTTTTCTTTAACTTTGGTGTTTGTTTTTACCATGAAGACAAATTCAGAGGTCAAATTTTTTTTTCAAGAGGTCAAATGTTCACAAAAATATATCAAAAGATAGCCAAAAACCTAAGGTATCTATAAAAAAAAATTATATTGATTCAATCATTTTTAAAAAAGTTATGGCAGTTTTAAGTAAAAAAAAATTGAAAAAATGTCGAAAATTAGCGATTTTTAAATTTGTAATTTTTTGGGGGATTTTTCCCTGTTTACTGGGAACGAGGGAATTTTTTTCAAATTTTTAGGTTAATATCTTCAACTAAATACAATTTGTGATTTTTTGACGTATTGTTCATAAAAATCGTTCTAGCGAGAGCTGAGATTAAGCCTTCATAGACACAAAAAAAAAATTAAAAAAAACATATCGTAGTAAAATTAATACCTTCTTATCTTCGCAATGGAGCTAAAAGTGTTATAAAAAAATGTAATTATATACACGATTTTGTACAGGACTGATAAATACATTAAGCAAGACCAGTAGATAGTTACATACATTTTGAAAGAAACTTAAGAGGGGCAGTTATTAACAGTCTTTAAAGTTAATAAGACGGTGTCTTCTTGCACTCCCCTTCGATTATACTTTTTTTGAAAGCTACTCTAGCAATTTCTACTCAAACTACACCCAAAGAAAAACCTCAATCAATTTTGATAGAGAAATTTTATCAAGGGTTTATGATAATGTTTTATTAATACGAACAAAATAACTATTCTTATAAATAATTATTGTTCAAGACAAGAAAAAAAAATATCATATTGATAAATATATCATAGGTTCAATAGTAATGATATATTTATCAAATTAAACAATGAATTTATTATATAGATCGAGGTTTTTCTCTGGGTGTATTAACTATTTATCTAAACAATTTGTATGGTTTTTAGAATGGAAATGTTCTCATCCAAGTTCTCTACACGGTGTAACAAATATATGTCAGCGTAATAACAACTTTATGTCCATATTTACGCATTTATTTAATGCCACGATTATTTTACCAGAAAATTATGAAAGTTTAAAAAGTAATAAATCCTTCTTTAATATTCTGTATTTATTATAAATAATATTCATTTAAAAGAAACAATAGCTAGACTAAACTTTTATTGTGGACAGACCCAATAGTATTGGACCTTAAAAATATTCAAATATAACATAATTATCAGTTTCCATGCAAAAAAATTAATCAAAAAGTCAAAAAATTATAAAATTTTTCGAGAGGCCATTTCTCGATACTAAGAGTTTATTAACCCCCTATTGCTTTGTTTCTGGGTAACGTGAAGTTAATATTAAATAATTGAGTTTCAGACACTTTTTATTAACATTCTTAGTATAACTAATTCATATCAGTGGCTGATCCCTGTATATGTGTATTACAATTCCAATACATGCGTCAGATGGGTGATCTATAGATACAAGCTTATCTTAATGAATGTAAATTATTTCACAAGAAGGACACCTAAATACTAAGTTATAAATAAAAAAAAAAATAAAAACGAATAACATAAAAATTTGGAGTTGGTGGTATCCCAATAAATATATTTTTAATATGCAATACACATTTGACATCGTTGCCACTGATTAATACTGAAATTAATCAAAAGCTTATAATTTTACTCAAAAGTATTTTTAAGCTAAAACTAAATCGCTTCAATAATTATAATTAAAATTTTTTTATATTAATTTAAATTGGTAATTTTTAAAAATGATAGCTCAAAAACTAAATTCAGCATTTTTAATATTTGAAATTTATTCAATTGATACTTGGAGAAAAGAACGTATTGAAGGATATGCATCATATGAAATACCAATTAATACTTCTTCAAAATCTTTATATTTTAAGAAGTTAGTATTAGAAACTTGGCTCCCATTACCGAGAAAAGTTAATGATAATTTACGTAGATATTTCATTGGTGGATCAATTAAGTTAGCTAATTTTAGCAGTATAAGTACACCGTTTTCTTTCAATGTAAGTAATAAAAAAAATTGTGATAAAATAAAATGAAAATCTGTTTTTATTTTTATTTAGTTAATTATTAAAACGTATTTATGACTTATATTTTTAGGAAAAATGTTTAAGTAAATTTGGTATGGAGATAGAACAAAAAGGTTCTATAGTTTTAAGGCTTGGACTGTTGAAGCAATATCATATGCCAGATAAAATTAATAGTAAAAGTATTTTGTCAAATGATACACAAGCTGCTGAAACATTATTGAACAGTGTTAATAACATACTAGCTAGATTTAAGGAAGCCAGACAAAGAATGCTATTAGCATGTGAACCTATGATGAGTTCATCTCATTAAAATTTTTTAGAATCATGAACATAAATGAATTTTAATAAATAAATTCTCTTTTATATAAATGCATGTTAGCTTCACGAATTGCCAATTGTTCATAGTCTATTTATGCATATGTTTGTTATTAACAAAGCATTAAATTGTAAAATAAATCATAGGGGAGAACGGGGCTAATTGTTACAGGGGCGAGTTGTTACAATCGAGACATTTTAATTTTATATGATAATAGCACTATGCAAAATACTTGATTTCATAGATAAATTAATTTTGAAATATTTTATGAAAATATTAGACATACCTTACCAAAATCAAAATTTATTCGTTTTTTTTTTTGTTTTTTTAGTAGTAAAATTTAGTATATATTTTCCTGTTCATTTTTTGTCACCAAAGATATAATTTGAAATACATTTGATAGTAAATATTTAGTCAATAGGTAATATTATTTTATTGTCTATTTTTGAATCATAAACATAATTATTTGTTTTAGTATGAAAATGGAGGAAAGTTAGTGACTATATATTTATTACTCATAAGAAAATATTTTTTCAGTAAATTTAAAAAATTAGTATAATTTACTTAATTTATAATGGAAAATTACTGAACACCAAGGACAATATCTATAAATAAATATAAAAATGCTATACCTGATATTTTTTGAGGGGTATAATAAAATAGCATAAAATAAGATTTTATTTTTTTTTTTTATAAATTTTTAATTCATAAGGATGTTATTATCATAATATTTTATAATGAGAATTTCTTTTCTTTGCTATGTTAAGTATATTATATTAGAAATATATTTATTTCTAATATTGTCACAACTATAACTATAACTAACAGAATTTAACGGCTTACCTTTATTTTGGGACAAGTTTTGACTTACTAAAATTAAACCTATTGGCGTGGTACTTAAAATACATATTTATTGAATAATTTATTATTTTATGATCGCATATAATCTATAGATTAATTCATAAAAATTTAGGCAACTATTGAAGAATAATTACTAAAAATTAACAATTGTAACTACTGGCTCTGCTTTCCCCTAGTATTATTATTTTTTTACTACCAGATCATACTGTATTAACTAATTTTTTTAATGTTAATTTTTAGGATTTTTAAGAAACTTTACATTTTTTAATACCTTATTTAGAAATACTTTTGGTTAAAAACTTCAACGTTTTATAATGCATAAATTCTAAATATATATATATATATTTTTTTCTATATTTTAGTAAAAATTAATAAAAATCACATTTTTTTTTTGTATTATTGCTTAAAATTTTGTGCTTATTTACTATTTAAGAAATATTTAATTAAATTTTGTATTAAATTATAAAATATAAAAAAGTAAATATATATATTTTTTAAACCTTTTTTCATAGTAATTTTTCAAGTGCATATTTTTTTAAATAATTAAAAAATCTTACATTTTCCATAATTTATTTATCAAATACTATTTTCTGTATTACCATAATATGCATATTATATTTTTGATCAAAAGATCCGACCTGGGTTGTAATGAGTTTTGCTGTTTTTTTACAATATTATATTAAAACCGGTGGATTATAGCTAATGCTTGAAGTAGCGGAACCTCATATAAAACATTTTTGCGAAGCTCTTGAAAATATTACAATAAAAATGTCATTATTTGTGATTTACGTGATTTGAAAATTTGTAAATAGCTTGCACCGGCTCTGTTTAATTAACTATAAGTAATATATTGCTAAATATGTAGGCAAAAGTGAACTGTCATTTTAACTTATTTATTTTTAGCCTTTATAATTAGTTAAGATATTTAATTATTTTTTTAGAACATTATAATTATTTTGCTGTGCTCTCTCAGGAGAGCACAGTATATACACTATGTAACCCCGAGAACTCCTAGCTCTTACTGGTGGAAAGCTTCGAGCGAGTGATTCCAGTAAGTAATTCTTAGTGTAGGGCAGCAGCTACATTAGTATCATGTTAAGGCGGAGACAAGGAAGTCAGAAAGGCTTAATTATGAATAAATGAGAGCGAAACTGAATACAGTGTCTGCTTGTGTTAAAATTAGGTTGAAAAAAGTAAAATGTAAGAAACGTAAGAATATTTTGGATCTAGCAAAGTTAAAAAATGTTGAAGTAGAACAGAACTTAAAGGAAAATATAAACAAAAAAGTACTAGACGTTTAATATGAAAACCTAAATACCAATAATGTTAAAAAAAAAATGGAAAAACATTCAATCAATCATACTGAACGAATGTAAAAAAGAGCTAATACCTGATAGAATAAAGGAGAAAGAATGGATGACAGAAAAAATTTTGGACCTTATGGAGCAAAGGCGTAAATTTAAAAATATAAGTGTGCAACAGTACAAAAAAGTCAATGCAGTAATTAGAAGAAAAATAAGAAAAGCCAATGAGAAATTCAATATAGAAAAATGTCGAGAAATTGAAATGCTAGACAAGATTTATGATAGCTTTAATTTACATAAGAAAATAAATGAAATGACTGGTACTACTAGGAAAAACAAAGTTGACATTATAAGGGAAAACGATGGTAGTATAGTAACAGATACAAAAATAAAGATTAGAAGATGGATGGAATATGTACAAGAATTCTTTTCCCAAAATAGGGCAGAACAAGTTAGTGTCAGATTGGATGAAGGATTTAGTACAATGAAAGAGGAATTAATTTTTATATTGAAGAGTACCAAACCTAGGAAAGCAGCAGGCCCTGATGAAGTACCTTCTGAATTGTTAAAACTGCTTGATGATGATGAATTAGATATGCTAATTGATTTATTCAATACAATATATGAATCAGGAAATATTCTCTAATGGAACCAAACTGCCAAAGTTAAAGTTAAAGTTCTAAGACGAAATAAAAATAAAACAAGGAGTTAGACAAGGTTGTGTTTTATCTCCTTTATTATTCAATATTTACAGTGAAGCAATATTTGAAGAAACTATCCTCCATGAACATATTAGAATTAAAATAAATGGGAAATTTGCCAAACAACCTAAGATATGCTGATGACACAGTCATTTTGGCGGGTACCATAGCTCATCTTCAAAGAAGCATGGACAGGCTCAATGTTGCATGCAACAAATATGGACTTGAGATGAATGCAAAAAAAATGAATTTCATGTTAATAGCAAAAGATCAAACAGACAATCGCAATAATAAAGACAAATTAATTTTGAATAACGCTATAATAGAAAGAGTATATTCATACAAGTATATTGGAACATGGATTAATAGTACTGGGGATAACTTAAAAGAGATCAAATGTCGAATTGAAATTGCTAGATGACGAGTGACGAAACCGGGGTTAAAAATAAATTAGGAAACCAATATTTTATTTACTTTACTGATATCTATACAGGTGTTCAGTAATTAAGGAAAAAGGTCAATTGTTACAAACAATGAGAACAATAGAAACCCTTACTGAACACTCTAAATATGTATGAATTACTATTTAATAGTATTAGAAAAAAAGATTTTTAAGAAAAATTACACTTGAGAATAATTAATATTGTAAATTAAAAATATATATTACACATTTTAGTTGTTACAATTTTATGAAAAGAAAGAAATATAGAACTGAATATTTTAATAAATTATAATACAACAAAATATATAATTATAAAAATGTATTAATGAAAATTTGCTTTATATTTTAGTACATATTGTGAGAGGAGTTGTTGTAAGGAATCGTACAATAAATATTTTATTTAGTTTAAATAAAAAAAACTAATGTTACTCCGCTAGTTTAAATTATTTTTCATATAGTTATTCTGATATAATCATTATAAAACATTAAATTAGTTTTACTAAAAAAAAAATTGAGCAGACTGCATAAGTGTACATTTAGTTATTATTATTTTATTATAATTTTTACTTTTATTTTAATTTTAATCCTTTTTAAAATGCCATTTTCAGTAAAAAAAATTAGGTTTTCGCATAAATTTCGGATAAGAGAGGGTTCGCTACTCCCTAGTCCTCATTAATACATCCCCACTACAAATTATTGAAATATCATTGAAGTTTATTCTCTACAATTTTTAAAACTAAATTTATATTTAAAAATAAAAATAGTGTGGTTATATTTATAACCCATATTCTACAAGAGTTCAATTTTTAGTCAAATTATATTGATTCAATATTTTTTAATCAAAAATAGCCATTGCTTTATATAAAATAATTGATTTAGATTTTTACCCTTAATAGAAAAGAAAACTTCTAATATAATTACTATAAAACAATTGTTTGATAAAGCGAGTTGTCAACAAAATTAGCTAATAACCTTATGGCGTTCAATGTTATCTAAAACACCTCTAGTGATAAACTTTTATTTTATTATTGGTATTTTTTGTGTAAGGGTCATTTACTTTAACACAATGAATTTTTTCAAATTTTATGTTATCTAATTGTTATGTTTCATATTGAAAGAAAAAATTGATTTTAATGTAAATGTAAGCTTATATTTGCCATATCCTTATGGTTATTGCTAAAATTATTTAATTTTATGAACATATTATTATGATTAAAATAAGTCTTTAACATGACGACTGTTTTTACATTAGGACAAGTATTTATTATAACTCATCTGAACTTCGATCCCAGACTTTTATAATATATGAATATATTAATTATATTATACATTTGTAGTTAAGAGATAAATGGTGAACTGTGGTCCAAATATGCGAAACATTTAATTTCTGATGGACGTAACAATAAATATTTTTTACTTAATTTGTGTATAATTATTAATAATAAAAATAATAATTTATATCTGAATTAATTGAATTTATAGTAATTTCATATTTTATATATCTTATTTTGATCAATAAGTATTTACTAATATTACTGAAGGGGTAGAACAATGGTGTTCTTTGAGTCTATAGGGGCATAAGCCAGAGAAATTTTTATACTACCCTCTCCAAAATACACATAATACCTAATATTATTTATCTCGTTTGAAAGAAAAGCTCCATTATCATAGACACATAAAGAAGGGGGGCTAAAGAAGCATTTGTCCTGGACAGAGGTTTGAGGTTTTTTAACTGAGAAGGTATTAATTTTACTACAATGTTTTTTTTTTTTGTGATTGTTACCACTTTTTCTCAGCTCTCACCGAACCGATTTCATTCAACGATACGTAAATAAATCATAAATCATATCTAATCAAAAATATTACCCTCAAAAATTGAAAAAATTTCCCATAAATGGGGGAAATCTTCAAAAAAATTACAAATTTAATAATGGATAATTTTCGGCATTTCTTCAATTGTTTTTACTTCAAACTGCCATAACTTTTTGAAAAATAGATAAATAGAAACAATTTCTTTTAATAGATAAATTAGGTAATATAAATTACCTATCATTTGATATAGTTTTATTTTATTCTGACCCTTCACCTGCCCAAAGGAGTGATTCAAAATTATAACTTTTTCACAAAAATTAACATTTATTTAATCAGACCATTTTTCTTTATACGAGAGGGGGGTTCATTTTAGGAGAATTAAAAAAATGTTGTTAAGATTAATATACAGTCAAAAGATTTTATAATTACTATTAACAGTAAATTTATCAGAAATCTCAATATTTGTTTCCATTTTTATCATAAAAGTAGGTCAAGTGAGAGCTGAGAAAATAAATAATAGTCACAAAAAAATCCATATAGTAAAATAATTTTAAAATGAATAAGAAATTTGTTCTCGCATGGGGAGACTACAGTGATAAGGTCCTTAATATTTATTGAAATTTTAGTGAGATCAAAATCAAACAATTTTTTTTAACTCAAAAATAATTAAGAAAAAAATGAAAAAAGAATTATTTTGTAGAGATAGATTTGAACCTCATACTCCAATATAATGACATAAGTTTTAGCGATTCGACAACCGACGTCGCATCAGTCTTATAAAAAATATAGCAATTAAGGCTAATTCAAATTTCAAAGTTATTTTTCTTGACTTAAAAGAAGTCAAACAGTTTAATTAATTTTAAATTTATATGCTATGTCAAATATATTTATAAAAATCAATGTACTTCCCTTGTAAGGTATTTTGAAATAAAATAAAATACAAAACCCAGAATTTTAACACAAGTAGCATATTTTTGAATACGGTAATCTTTTTCACCATGAAGACGAATTCAGAGGTCAATTTTTTTTTTCAATTTAAAGTATATTACATAGGCTTTAATTTTAGAATTATATATATATATATAAGTCTCAGTATTTCCGGAACATTTTCAAAAGTTAAGTTGAAAAAATTGTCATTTTATATGTACACAAAAATATATCAAATGACAGGTAAATATATAAGGTATCTATATAAAAAACAATAATATTTTTTTAAAAGTTATGGCAGTTTTAAGTAAAAACAATTGAAGAAATGTCGAAAATTACCAATTATTAAATTTGTTTTTTTGGGGGGGAATCACCCATTTAAGAGAAACGAAAGAAATTTTTTCAATTTTTGTAGGATAATGTTATCGACTAAATACGATTTGTGATCTTTTGACGTATTGTTCATAAAAATCGTTCCAGCGAGAGCTGAGATTGAGCGTTCACAGACACAAAAAAAAAATAAAATATCGAAAAAACTGTAACTATTGATGAATGATAATTAATGAATAAAAGTATTACAGCAAGTACCGAAATTTTGGTATAGTTAATAAAACTTGTGTTGAAATTAATACTGAATATGCAGTGTAGAATCCAGATATACTTCTGAATGAGGAAGGGGGGGGTTAAATCCCACACTTTTGCAATCACAAGATGATAATGATAATTTAGCTTTTTTTCCAAAAATTGTAGTAATGTTTAATATTGAGTTCAAAACCATTTTTTTTTTTTTTGCTCATTTGGTAGTAATTTTATGAAAATATAACAACAAATTTTTTGTCTGTTAGCACCATTGATTGCTGTCCTCTAGAAAATAATTCTGAATTCAATACTGTGTATGTGGTTTTGAAATATTTCAAAACCAGTAGAGCTACATTCATGCTACCAGCTTTTAAAACATTTAAATAATTTACAATAGTAATCAAAAGAGGTCTTTCATAACTGATTAATATTGAAATTCTCCCTCTTTTTAAATATTAATTTTGCTTAAGATTAGTCTTCAATTACATGCATATATAGCCAACGTTAACGCTAACACTGGTCCTGTATTAATTACTGCATTTCATGGATAAAATATATTTTATCCATGAAACACGGTAATAAAACATGAAAAATCTGGTCACATCCAATATATATTTTGGATGTGTACAGATTTTTTGAAAATGTACAAATTATTATCATTAAAGTGAGCAATTGTTGTTTATAAGAGCCATATTTTATAGTGGATTTTAAACTCTTAAAAAATAGAAATTCAAGACTAGATCAAACATTTGTTTAGGGTAATCCGTGTAATCTGAATACACATCCCTAAAAATAAATTTATTAAAGTCCATTTATAATATAACAATTGCAAAAGCCATATTAAATATGAATTATCTAAATATTATTACCTACTAACTTTTTCTCTAAAAATTAATTTCGATATACAGATAAATTTCGTTTCTGATTTAACTATCAGTTACTAGATCGATGAGTTTCACAACACTGAATATATTAAATCAGGAATGTCATTCAAAATTATTGCTTGTTTGTTGTATTTTAAATTTAATGATCATTAGTTATTGATCAAATTAAATATTTATTTAACACCACTGATTAAAATTATCAGTGATTATTATTATGTTAATTCTAATATAAGTTCTTTGATTAGCTTGCATCTAAATTTGGAAAATAATTCCTTGAATAATAGAATTATTGATCATTTCATCATAAAACTGTTTTTAATTGTGAAAAATTAAATAAAAATAATTAAAAAAATATTATCATCATAGGACTATTTCGTAAATTAATACCTAAGGTAAAAAATTCAGTATATTTGTTTTTAAAAAACGGTAGTATACAATTTTATTAATATTTTTTACTTTACACAAATTATGATACCTATACCGTAATCGAAAATCTTGATTTGAAAAACGTTTACGTATTATAATCCAATTAAGACTATTTGATACTAAAAAAATTAAGAGAATTATTCTTAATACCTTAAGCTCGTTTTATAAATAAATAACCTTATGATTGCATGACGTATTAATTTATTTTATTGTATCGCTTTGTTATGAAGTTCCATAATTATTGTACTGATAGACAGAACTGCAAGCCTGGTAAATCCATTTTGTTGTGTTTCGTTGGCGAATGACTAGTCGCCTTCCTTGTTTTACTTATTCCCCACCTAAACGGTACTGTAAATACCGTGAGACTGTACGTGGTACTTTACCCTCACGGGAACAACTGTATGGATTTGCCCGAACCTGTTTAGAGATGTTTGATGTCAGCGAGTAATCGTCCCCAGCGGAGAACTTTTTGTAGGCGGATTATAAAAATCATAGTAGCGAAAATGAGGAAGAAAAAATGTTGATATTTTTGTTTTGTTGTTAAAAGTTAGTTGTTATACAATTTGTTCGTAGTTCAAGTGCTTTTAACTAAAATAATTTTAATTAGTGTATTCGGTGCGCACAATCGCGTAGTGCGTGGTTGTAATAAAATGGTACAGATTTGTATGTTGGAAATTGAGTTCCCGTTGTTGATATCGCAAATCCAATATCTAAAACATGCTTATTTGATGCAATAGTGAAAAGTAAATATAATATTTATAATTTTTTTGGGTCATAGGCGTTGATATTTCATCTTCACGTGGTCCGTCGAAAATGACCTAATAAGTTTTATGTGGCCATGTTGTAGCATTTTTTATGTTAAAACAACTATTGCATGTTTCTAAAACCAAATGATAAATGATAAATCAACAATGTCAATGCCGTGCTTTGATTGTTTTTCAAAAATCAATTAAATCTAGTTTATACAATTATAAGATACATATAATATTATTTCAATTGCAACCTATTGTTATATTGATTTTTAAGAAATTATTTTCAAAATTATTTATAAACTAAAGTTTAAAACTCCATTTTTTTTTAGTTTTGTCTTTAATATTAAAAACTGAATTTATACAGTTTTAAACTAGTTTTTTTTCAAAATAGATTTTTTTAATAATTATTAAAATTAAATAAATGTTTATTACAAATAACAGTTTTTTATATACCAATTGCTTTGAAAACTTTATATTTAAAAAAATATAGGTTAATTTTAATTATAAGAAACAAACATTTTAATTGGACAACATACTGATCATATAACCTATCTATAAACACTCAAAACAGTGTATCAAATTGTTTTTAAAATCCAATTAAAAACTTCTGTAAAACTTGACAAGATATTGGCAATGATAGTGATTATATATTTGTTAACTTATGAAATAAGACTTTTTCAAGCTTCAATTTGTTTGCATAAATGAACTTAAAGAATATCTCAAATGCTAATTCATATTTTAATAAAATGACATTTATTTTTCAATAGTTTTATAATTATATGAAAAGTTTTGAAATATATTACCAAAATATTGAATACATCTCAATATATTGAAGAAATAATTAAATCCTTAAAAAAAGTAGTTTTTGATAAGAAATAAATTCATTATTATTATAAATTATCAAATTAAAAGAGATAGCTATTTTCTATTTCTTAGAAAATTAAATATTAATTTTATGTTTAAACAGCTTATTTATAAGATCTGTAGAATTCCTTTAACTTAAATTTTATACAAATTAGACTGTTTTGTTATAGTTTAGTTAAGGCTAGTGTAGGACCATATGATCATATTTATTATCTATCATCATATTTTTTATTAAATTTACTTTCAAAATTAAAAAAAAAATGTTTATTATTAATATTATTTTTATAATTCTTACAGTGGAAAAAAAACAGCTTTGGTCCAGTTAATATTGTTATGGAAGCTGTTCAACAAACAGTTATTCATTTGGACCGTCCTGCCATGCCTTCACAAGCACAAATGGCTTATCCTCAAAGAAATTCTCAAATTCATGGGTATGTTGTATTTTATTAATGATTTTATATTACTGTACAACATTTCAATTAAATACCCTGTAATGATAATTATTAAATAGATTAATTTATTTTAGTTAAATGACATAATTTTTATGTAATTTATTTAAATGATATAAATTTAAAAAATATAGTTTCATTAGCCAGTGATTATTATATTATAATTTAGTTTTAAAATAGTTAATCTCTTGTAATTTTTTTATTTTCCTAAGAATAATTTAAAATTTAAATATTTAATTTGTTAAAAATAATCATTGAAGAATTGTATTACTATTATATTTTGTATTGTAACTATGCTAATCTCATGATATATTAAGTATAATTTATTATATATTAATTTTTAGAAGAAATGTTAACCATGGTGCAGCTCAAGTATCAGGTGAAAATAGTCCATTTAAGACATCTTCATCTGGTGCTGGTCCAGTGCACAATAGTTATGTTGGATATCCTGCTAATGTACGATACGTTTCTCAACCTATGTACATGCCTGCTACAACAACAGTTTCAAATGCTTACAGGGATGTTCCATATCATTCAAGAGGATTAAATGTAATTCTTTTTATATAATTAAATTAATTTGATAAAACCAACATGATAAAAGTATTTTATCAATTTTATCTAGATATCTGATAGAGGTGTTACAATTGGTGTTCCATTTGAGCTATCAAGAAGTGATATGATGCCAGTAGTTGGAAGACAAAATCGTATATCATTGCTATCAGCTACTAGTGATTACTATCAACGAAGTCGTTTGCAGTAAGTTAATATTTTTAGTACTTTATAGATTCATAATTTTTCACATAAAAATGAATGTTGATGAATATAATGATAAAAATTTCTGTTAATATATTTATTATTAAAAATGTGTTTTTTACTTCAAATAAATCCTATAGAATTTTACTACTTATTCATTGTTATAGATTGGAACATTATAGAGATGAATCCTTAAACCATAATTCACATAATACAGTCTCTATGAGTTTTATGAGAGAAAGGCCAGATCATGGACCTCCACCACCTTTGAAAAAACCTAAGTTGCTTCATCCAATATCACCACAGCAACCCCTTAAAATAGAAATAGCTGTAAGTTAACTTGCTAAAATTATTATGCTTTGACACTAAAACTTTTTATTTGTAGGAACCCCCCTCTACAAGTGCATATAATCCTCAAGTAGAAGCAATTTCACCTACCATTGATGAACCTGCCCCTGAATATAAAAAAATTAATGATATTGCTCCAAAGTTGAGTAAAATTGAAAATGATATTAATCATATTACTCGGGAGATTGAAGATTTGATAAAACTTAAAGTAAGTTATCAATTAAGTATTTATTTAAAAAATAATTTTGATGAGTTATGTATAAAAATAAATTATTAATTTTTCATTTATTTCAAAATTATCAAAGTTAGATTTATAGAGATTTACAATAAATCATTATTTATTTGTTACAAATTAGAAGATTTTAAGTAAAAATTATGGTGTGGCAAGGGTATATAATCGACTATATTATAATATAAATTTCTAATTTTAAATAATCTAATATCATGTACAATTTTTTTCTCTGATAAGTGATATTATAATACATATAAATTATAGCTGTATGATTTAATATAGTGCCTTGTTGGAATGATTTTTTTTTTTTTTTTTTTT